ACAATGCATGCATATTCGGAATCTACTCATCAAGAGCTTGCTTTCGGCTCCAGAATTGTGTTCACAAAGCGAACATTGGACTTCCGTCGCTTCTCTTGCAGAATTCCGTTTTCCAGGTTCTTAACTGCATACAAGCTTCACGACATCCAAGATGGCATGAGCAAGCAAAGACAGGTGCAAGTCAGGGTCGGAAATACAAATACAAGGATTCTGTTAAACGTAACATCTTCAGGTTATCAGTTTTTGCCGCCATTCAACGACCTTCAAAGACGGAAATCTTCACACGGGATCAAGCAACATTCGTTCAGCCTTGTGCTTCTTGCCAGAGGACTGGCTGTTTTTGTTTAAGTTCTTCAAGGCAAATCACGTCGACAGCTAGCTCCAGTTCCGGATCAGAGATATTTTACGAAGGAAGGGATAACTTCAAAACGGCAGATCGGGAAGATTTGCTATTTTTCCGCATGGCTACTGAAGCGACTATCAAAGGAGATCATATATACATGCTCCTGGACGGTTGGAATGAAAAGGAGGACGCTGAAGGCACTAATACGAATAAAGGGAACGGGGGGTCAAGCATTATAGATACCGAGACAGGAAATTCTCAAGAAGCTTCTATGCAACTTCACGACATTAATCTATGGCGTCATGACTTGGTTATGCTGGAGTTAAGAGGAGCGGGTGCATCAGCTGCAGCATTGTTCACTCGCCGTCGTAAGAGAAAGCTACGGAAAGCTGCTGCATCACTGGACCAGAGGTTTCAGTTTCACCCAAGCAAGATTGTGGCCAGAACCACTCTCCACCGCTCTCAAAGTGGTGCAACGACCGGAGCATTCAGATTTCGCCAAAAGAATGAAGGGATCGAGCCCCACAGGAAGCAGGCCAGCAAGTGTGCCAGGGAACTCCCAAACGGGCAGGATGAATTTTTCAGGCGCCTGATTTATAAACCCCCGTAAGGCAACCGCGAGGGTACGGTATGATTGTACCTAGGCCCTCTAGCTCCGGTTACGACCGATGGTGTTTTTGCGTTGTACGTTGTATCTGTCACCTACCCAAAAAAAAAAAAAAAAAAAAAAAAAAGCATTGACTCACAATATACAGCCATTGACCAGCGTTGACTCACACTGTACCAGCGTTGACCAGCGTTGACTCACAATGTACCAGCGTTGACCAGCGTTGACTCACAATATACAGCCATTGACCAGCGTTGACTCACACTGTACCAGCGTTGACCAGCGTTGACTCACAATGTACCAGCGTTGACCAGCGTTGACTCACAATGTACCAGTCTTGACCAGCGTTGACTCACAATGTACCAGCGTTGACCAGCGTTGACTCACAATGTACCAGTCTTGACCAGCGTTGACTCACAATGTACCAGCGTTGACCAGCGTTGACTCACAATGTACCAGCGTTGACCAGCGTTGACTCACAATGTACCAGTCTTGACCAGCGTTGACTCACAATGTACCAGCGTTGACCAGCGTTGACTCACAATGTACCAGCGTTGACCAGTGTTGACTCACAATGTACCAGCGTTTACCAGCGTTGACTCACAATGTACAAGCGTTGACCAGTGTTGACTCACAATGTACCAGCGTTGACCAGCGTTGACTCACAATGTACGAGCGTTGACCAGCGTTGACCACAATGTACCAGCGTTGACCAGAGTCGACTCACAATGTACCAGCGTTGACCGGCATTGACTCACAATGCACCAGCGTTGACCAGCGTTGACTCACAATGCACCGGCGTTGACTCACAATGTACCAGGGCACAGACTTCAAATTCCGGATGAGAAACGCTGAGTCCTGCACCCACGCGCCTGCATCATTGTGCTTCAGAAAAAACTGCTCCGCCTGCTCGTCATGGGGAGGGAGAGAAATACACAGGGAAGGGGAAACAAGGGAAAACTTGCTGCAAGAAAGAGAGGGGTGAAGAGATGGGGAGAAGGGACTAAGTAATTGCTTGAACTGTGGGCTGACGTGGCTCACTCACAGTCTGCTCCACGATGACGCCACGTAGGCTGCTGTTCTCGCACGTGATTGGCTGGTCGCTGCCCACTTTGCCTGTGACTGCAACGACCAGAGGAGAATACCCCTTCGTCCCTTGTAGCATCCTTCCTGCAAAGGCGGTGAGAGCACAGACACAGACAGGGCAATGGCAATCTCTTTGTGAGACACCTCAGATTTCGTGACTGCAATGCAACAATCAGAGGGGAATACCCCTTAGTGCCTTTGCAGCATCCTTAATACGGAGATAAAGGCAGCACGGATAGCAGAGCAGAGCAGAGCAGAGACACTGAGGGCACACGAAAGCACAGAGAGCAGCCCGGAAATACAGATGCAGGGAAAAGTCATTGCAGAGAGCGTCATGGGTAGCTTTTTTAGGAATCTAGAATGACGATCAGATGATGCAAAGAGTGTCTTAGCGTTCAAGATAACCCAAGAGAGGGAGGCTGCTTACCGAGCTCTCTCAGCCTGGGCACCCTTGGGACTGCCTTGAGTGACGTGGCCTCCCTGCAATGATTCACAAAAAGAAAATACCGTACTCATAAAAGGGTCAACTATGTGTTCATGTTATAAGGTGCCGTACGGAAGCCAAATAAGGGGGGTCAATATGTGTACACGTTATGAGGTGGCTTGATATGGTGCTCCGGACCAAACACGTTTATGAAGGGATAGCATGTGGGCTAAGGTGGAAGCATATGGCTTACAGAGTGGAATCACGCAACTGTTGAGCACCCAACCCAATAAAGCTTCTGACCCTAAACTTTGCGACCATAGACTATACAACCCTATTCTGCGACCCTGGATTGTGCGACCCTGGACTGTGCGACCATAGACTGTGCGACCATACTAGACTGTGCGACAATAGAGTATGCGACCCTAGACTCTGCGACCGTCGACTGAGAAGGTATTAGGCAAAATATGGAATCACGCATTGGACATGCTGCTATGAGCTATTTTTGAGGCGCCTTAAAAAATCGTCAGTGAAGGTATTAGACACACATGGAATCACGCATGGGGCATGCTGCTATGAACCGACTCACTTTCCGCTTCGCGAGCTCAGCCAATGAAAGGCGAGGCCGCTGGCGCAGGCGAGCACGCCGTCCCAGGGAATACCGCTGCTGACATCGCCGCTCATCGCACACGACCTTGTTACCCTCTCAGTAACGAGTTTGGAGCAGCTTATAACGGGTACAGAGTGAAGCTAACAGCAGCTGAAGATTACAGCAACTAGGAACGGCAACGTCCCCGAAAACCACGCGTTCTCAAGTGCTGGCGCTTCTACAGAGCGTTCAAAGGCGCGTCGAAGCGCTGAACTGTGGGGTTGCTATTCGCGTATTTCATGCAGCGAATTAGGACACACGCTGGGAAGCGAATGGCACGGCGACGGGCAAAGGTAGTCGAACGAGGAAGCAAGAATGGAGGGCAATTTTATGAGTGGGTCCGCCGCCCTAAGGAATGAAACACAGTCTGTCTGCTGTCACATCACGCAACGTCAATAAACTTACTGCCGCTCATTTCCTGCAACATAGTACCTTGTCAGAATAGCGGGGCATCTAATAAAGAAGAAAGTGAGAGTGGTTGTCCTTCCACGTCTTTTGCCTTTTCCCCTTCCGTTGTGCGGGGCAACTGAATTGGACCCAAATGTTTCGTAAGTCGTAGCGCGAAGCCATGTGCGTATATTTATGGTTGACAAAGCTTCTACTGTACTCATATGGTTTGCTTGAAATCGGCTACACTGAGGGTTTTGTGACAAGCCGAATAGGCGTTGTTAAATAAATGGAACCTCCCTGGAAATTTGACGTCTGACGATTGGCTCAAAGACCGCCTCTGTGGATAGTGACCGTCCGATCTCTCACCATCTTCACCTCTGCGGAAACGTCGGATCTACGGCGACTGGCTGGGACCTTGAAATGATTTTCCCGCGCAGACCCTCTGAACCCCAACTTCGAGGTTCTCCCCCTCAACCCATCTCAACTCAACTCGCTGCTTCTAATAAAATATCATACCCTCTTCGTTCCTCCTCTTCCCTTCAACACTACCTCGAGATCACATTTTCGACCCTCGCCCACGTTTTCTGCTCATTTTGATGCCTTGCGTTTCTGTTGCCTTTTCCGCTTTCTCGTTTCCACAGAACGTAAAGCCGGCAGCAGCGGCTGGTCGTTCCGAACGAGCTAACGAAGACGTATCGGAGCCGTGCGGTGGAGTAGTAAATCCTCGGGCCTAGTGTTTTTTGTCTCTTGCAGTTTTTTTCTTCCGAAGGACGTATATTCGTGGCTGGCCAGGCGAACGGCGAAGATTCGCTCCTTGTGCGAAGGAGCCCGTTAGAGATGCCACCGTTTACTTTGATAAGCTGAACATTCGTTTTTCTTACTAACCCTAACGTTTTGAAGTGCTCTGTGGGCGTTTTTAAGTCAGGACCCATCCGTTCATTCTCGTCGAGCAGGCTGCTTCTTTCTCGTGTGTCGGTGCTTAATTCGCAACGAGGGGAGATTTTTCGGAGTAACGCAGCGCGTGCGATACGATTTTCCGACAATACTCGCTATGAATGTCAGTGCTTTTATTTTACTGATAGTCGCGATTTGCGATGCTCGTCGTGCGTAGAGGGTTCGTGATTCTCGCCGAGCCGCACACCCATCAGGCGTCTGATTAGCGTTGAGAGAGTTCTCCTTTGATTTTGTTGTTTCTTAACTTTCGACGAGCGCTTGTCGTTCTAGCAAGCTGTCCTTGCTGTTTGCGTCATGGAGCAACGTTTTGAGGGTTCCTTGTGGTTGGAGTTTTAGACTTCACTAATTAGGTTATTGTAATGTTTTAACTCGAAGGTACTTCGCGTTTGCTTCTTTCCTCGATTCTCTCTATTGTGCAGACAACGCGTCGAAACGTCATGGATTTGCGAAGCGGATTTTCCTTCGTTCGTCTACACTCCTAAAATAGGACCGTTCTACAGGGACTTCACCTGATTCAATCACTTCCTTAACAAAATATCGCGGAAAAATGGCGGATTCATCGCGGGTCCAGTGTTTTCGTTGTGGTGGTTTCGGTCACTTCTCCCGAAACTGCGTCTGGCCCGGTTTCGGCGGCAGGGGCGGTGCTGGTGGCGGACTACCCCGCAGTCTTCCCCCAGCCGCGCACGCCGCCGCGGTAGGCGACCGCAACGCGCGCGCCCTCTGCGCCGCGTGCGGGCACTTCGGGCACACAGAGGCCAAGTGCGGGCGCGACCTCCCCATGGGTCCCCTCCCGCCGCACCCCATGGGTCCCCACTTCCCCCACCCCGACCTCCACCGCCCTTTCGATCCGCGTTTCCCTGGCGGAGCCATGCCGCGCTGGCCGCGAATTCCGGGAATGGACGACGATCCACGTAGGCTGTACCCCAGGGGCCCTGCTGGTTGGCGCGGGCCTCCTCCTAGAGATGACACGTGGCGACCCGCGCGGCGGGATATACCCGGGAGGGGGGACTATGGCGCGGATGCGGGGGAGCGGGAGGATAGGCGCGGTCCAGGGTGGTTGGAAGAGGCTGAAAGGGGTTTCGCTAGGTCCAGAATAGAGGCTGGGGAGATTCGCGACGAGGAGGCGGGGGAGAGAGCAGGGAGGGGGGGCGACGAGCGATGCAATGGTGGGCAATTTCCCCGGAGGCTAGCGGGAGGCCTTCACCCTGGGCCGTTGGAGGGGGGGAGCAGCGAATTCAGGCAGCCGCGCAGCAGAGAGCGCAGGGACGGGGATGGCGGAGGGATGGGGGAGTTTGCGGGTGCGTATGATGTGAGGCTGGGGCATGGGCGCGGCGGGGGATTTCCGCATTCTGGTGGCGCATGGGCGGAGGATTTTGTTCCGCTAGGGTGGGGGGATGGGTGGGGCGGGGAGAGCTCGGGGGTGTGGCATGGCGCGCTGGATGCGGGCGCGGGCGGCGCTGGTGGCGGGCCTGGCTGGGGCGCTGGCGCGGATAGGGAGGTGCGCGGGGATGTTCGGGGGGAAGGGCGTGGGGAGTTTTCTGGTAGGCGGGGGGAGCGGGGGAGCTATGGGGGAGCTGAGCGGGAGGGGCGGGAAGGAAGGGCTTATAACGGGTATGAAGAGTGGGAGGGTGTGGAGGGAGAAGGAAGGAGGGGGTGGGGGAGGAGAGGGGTGGAGGGGCAGAGAGAGGAGGTTGAGAAGGGCGAGGTAAGGGAGAGAGGGGATCAAGCGGATGAAGGGGAAGTGGGGGTGGATGAGAGAGAGGAGGGGGAGGATGTGGAAGAGGGATGCGTAGAGGGGTCCGTAGAGGGACGAACGGAGGGAAGAATGGAGGGAAGAATGGAGGGGAGGGAGAGGCCATTATCTTTGTCGCCTAAGAGACGAGCCTCTAAGAGTCCTCTTGAGAATGGGCCTGGATTGAGCGAGCATGGTAGTGAGGCGAGGAAGGAGAGAGAAAAGGGAAGGGGAAAGACGAGGGAGAGCGAGAGGAGGACGAAGGAGGTGGATAAAGAGAAAGAGAAGGAGAAGGAGAATAAGAGGGGGAAGGAGAAGGATAAGGAGAGGGATAGGGAGAAGGTTAGGGAGAAGGGGAAGGAAAGAGAGAAGGAGAAGGGGAAGGAGAAGGAGAAGGAGGAGAAGGAGAAGGAGAAGGAGAAGGAGAGGGTGAAGGAAGGGGAAAGAGTGAAGGATAAAGAGAGGGTGAAGGAGCGAGAAAAACTGCGGGAGAAGGGGAGAGGTAGGGAAGCCAATGCAGCCACTGCTGCTACCGTTCCAGAGCTAGACAAGGAGCGGGCGAGTAGCAAAGTAGATGCTGAAAGGCCGCAAGAGGAGAAAGCAGGGAGCTTGAAGGACGAATCGGGGGCGTCGCGACCTAGGAAGGAGGATACGGCAGTGGGAGATCTAGTGGCAATGACTATTGAGAAGGTGGATCGTGGTCCTGTGTTGAAGCAACATGTGGATGAGCAGGAGGCTGGCGGTGGAAAGGCTGCTTTGGAGTTGACACACAAGTCACCAGAGGAGAGGGCTGGTGAGAAGGCAGCTATGGAGAGGGCTGCGAGTGAGGTGGTAGTTAGGGATACGATGACTGCTAGTGACACGGGTGCTAGGGAGACGGGTTCAAGTGAGGGAGTAGGTAGGGAAGAAGTTAGTGAAACGAAGGCTAGGGATAAGACTAGTGAGGCAGTAGAAGGCAGGGAACAGGTTAAGGGTGAGAAGGTGACTGAAGCCTGTCTAATTGTACAACGTGAATCATCACCTGTGCCGTCGAGTCGACCTCCAGGTGATTCTTCAGGTGGTAGTTCACCCAAATTACCTGCTAGGCTTGCTTCTGGCAGTGCTGCCTCCGAGCCTGCCACCGTACCAGCGGCCAGCATCCCCAAACCTGAGGGAGCTTCCGAGCCTGCCACCGTTCCTGACACCACAGCTTCCGATATGGAGGCGCGGGCTTCCAAGGCTGCTGCTGGTGCCGAGCCTGCTGCGGCCGAGCCTGCACTTGCGGATAGGGTTTCATTGCAGCTCTGCCCCTCGTTCTCCCGCCCGTTTGGTGGGTTTGGAGAAGTGGGGGGTACAGACGGGCCGTGGTGGCCTCCCAATGCTGGGAGAGAGCCTTTAAGTAAGGAGCAAGCAAGTAAAGAGCAAGTGAGTGAAGAGCAAGGGGAACCGGTTGGGGGTAGTGGCCTGGGGGAAGGAGCTCCTGCTAGAGTAGAGGGGGAAGGTGGTGCGGTTGGAGGTGAAGGAGAGGGCGTGACAGGTGGAGATGCAGGGGAGCGCGATGTGGGTAGAAATGAGAGAGGAGAGGGACAGGTGGATGCTGGTGGGGATAAAGGGGGGAAGCAGCTGGGTGATGCAGGGGCTGTGGCACAGGCAGAGGAGGGTACAGCAGGGGTGAATTTGGGTGCAGAAGGGGCGGAGGGAGGGGAAAAAGCGGCTGGAAGGAGTTTAGATCCTTGTAGAGGCGATTGCAGGGAGCTTGAGGCACAGAGGCGTGAGGCTGGAGGAGTTGAGGATGGGAGTGATCAGGCTGGGTGCAACAGAGGGGTGGGTGAACGGAGGCTGGTGGTGGGAGGTCCCGTTGATGGGATGCAATCGGAGGAAGAAGTGCAAGGGAGGGGAGGTATAGAGACAGGGAGGGAAAGGGGTGAGGAAGTGAGGCTTGCAGAAGGTTCGGTGAAAGGAAGGCAAGGGGGAGAAGAAGATCAGGCGCGGAGGGATGCTGCTTCTTCTTCTGCTGCTGCTTGTACTGCTTCTGGTGCTGTTGCTGTTGCTGCTGCGGCGACTGCTGTTGCTGTTTCTGCTGAAGGTGTCGAGAGGAATGAAGTGGAGTGTAGGGAGGCGGAGAAGGATGGTGGCTCAGGTGCTGCTGCTGACGCTACTGTTGCTGAGGTGGCAGGTGCTGTTGCAGCAGGAGCCACGGTTGTGACTGATTCTGAGGTGGCAGGTGCTGAGGCGGCATGTCTGGAGGTGGCATCTGTTGAGGTGGCAGGTGCTGAGGTGGTTACTGCGGAGTTGCAGAGTGTGGATGAGAGGGTGGAGAGGTTGATGCAAGGCGTGGTGCTCGTGGCTGGGAAAGAGAAGGACATAATTTTTGGTAAGCTGTCTGTTTGTTTGCCAGCCTGTTTTTTGAGAATTCTCAAAAAAGAGACTAGGCGTGGTGCTCGTCGCTGGGAAAGAGAAGGACATCATCTTTGGTAAGCTGTCTGTTGGTTTGCCAACTTGCTTGCATCTGTTTTTTCCTAAAATTTCTACCATGTTCTACGAATCTAAAAAAGACAAGTTGCTAGTAGTGGACCGGGAGACTTTTGTGTTGACTCAAAAAATCATCTCTATTAACTGGTGGTGGCCAGGGATAAACCGGTGAGCTTGTTGCTGCACCGTGCCTCCTCCCTGTGCTATTATTTTGATCATGCATGCTGCCGTATTGTGCTTCATATGAAATTTGCCCTTGTGGCTTCTCTGCTGTTTCTGCGCCAATTCGCATGAGGAACTTACCGCATGAACTTGCTTGCTCTTTCCTTTCTGCAGAGCTGCTGAGTGCAGCAGCAACGTTGGTGGAGGAGCAGTTGGAGAAGGAACTGGGAATCCTGTGCGAACCTGTCGCTGGTACTGGTAAGGTTTTATTTGCAGGTGCAGCAGGCAGGCTGTACTTTGTTGTTATATGTGCTTTAACATTTTTGCCTAGTTACCTTTTGAGTCGACTCAAAAGTCAACTAGGTTTGAGGAGTAGCAGGCAGCACTTTGTTGTTATGTGTGCTTTAACTTTTTTTGCCTGGTTACCGACCCTGTTTCTTCTCCACCCCTCTTCCTTTCACGTGCCCCGCTTGCAAGTGCCAGTCTCTCCCTTTAAGCGTATGGTGAGCTTCCCAGCCCATTGAGAGGCACAGCAGAGAGCAGCTCGTTGCTGTCTCTGCCTTTGAGCTGCAGGGTGGTTTTGAGAATTCTCAAAAACACCCCACAGCAGAGAGCAGCTCATTGCTGTCTCTGCCTTTGAGCTATTTGCCCAGCTGCCCACTTTCTTCGTCGCCACTCACCTAGCCTCTTCCCACCCTTGTCTTCATTCGTCCAGGTGCTCCACTTGCAAGCACTAGTCTCTCCCTTCAAGCGTATGGTGAGCTTCCGAGCCCATTGGGAGGTGCAGCAGGCAGCATGGCAGAGCCATGGGCATTGGATGAGCCGGCTGCAGTGGCTGCTGCAGTGCCTGGAGTGGCTGCGGCACTGGTAGAGGCTGTAGATGCTGCTGCTGGTAGTACTGCTGCCACTGCTGCTGGCCCTGGTGCTAGTGTTGCTGCTGCTGCTGGTATGAGCACCACAGCTGCAGCTGCGGATGGTACCACTGAAACAGCAGAGAGGGGTGCAAGTGCGAGTGCAGGGGGTTTGGAGATGACTCAAAAGTCAGCTGGAGCAGCGGAGAGGGATGGAGGTGCTGTTACCGGGAGTGGGTTCGGCGGCAGCCGTAGTGAGGTGGAGGAAAGGGCAGGAAATAGATCAGAGGCTGGAGGGACAGAGGCAGCAGAAGCAGGAGCAGCAGAGAAAGGAGCAGCTGCAACAGTGTCTGTAAATGCCCCTCTGGGGTCATCACTAGGTGTAGCTGCTGCTGCTGCTGCTGCTCCTGCCCCTGCTGCTGCTGTAGGCATTACAGCCCCTGATGCCATTGCTGGTGCTGATCCTGCCGCTTATCCTGCTGCCGGTGCTGCTGCTGGTACTGGTGAGGGTGTTGTGGCTCGTGATAGGGTGGAGGAGCAGAGGTGGACCGGGTCTTGGCTCAGGGGATGTGATTGGATCCGATTCTCTGATAGCCAGGCGCTTAGCGAGCGAGTAGACGTTTCGAGGAAGCTTCCTGTAGGGTTAGGGTTAGGGTTAGGGTCAGGTTTAGGGTTAGGGTTAGGGTTTGGACAGAGGGCTTTGCAGGGGTTTTGCATGGGTGACTGGCCGAGGGAGAAAGCTCGTGATCCTAGGATTCTTTCGAGTCAGAGTCGTGAGGAGAAATCTAACTTCAGCACTATGACTATACCAGCTTGGGCTTATAGCGGGGCTGTGGCTGTGGACAAGGAAGGGTCTGGGCGGGCTCTGATTGGAGGAATAGGAACGGGAGTAGCGCAGGGGAGAACGCCGGGGAAGCAGCAGCAGCAGCCACAGCAGCAGCCAGAACAATCGCAGCAGCATCGAGTGGAGGAAGGGGGAGGATCGAAAGTTGTAGAAGCAAAGGAAGGACTGAAACCAGCAGAAGCGACTTTGTCTATGGATTCAGGATCTAAGTCCCCCTCATGCAGCCCATTGTCTCAGGCGTCCACCAGGCGAGGCTCGTCCCTCTCCCTGCAAGCAGCAGGCTCCTCTGTTTCGCTGCAGGGCGCGAGGGAGTCAGGGGTTGACATGGCTGCTGCTGCTGCGGAGCTGGTAATGCGGAATGCGCTCTTGGTTCAGCAGTTTGGCCTGGCGATCCTGGGAGAAGGTGAACCTGAAACTGTAACTGGAAACGAACCTGGTGTCGAACCTGGTGCTGAACCTGATGCAGAACGTGCGGCCAGAGTTGAACCGAAGCTGGAGTTAGCTTCTCAGGGTGAGGGTGCTGAAGAGAAGTTGGGGAGAGAGAGGCATGCTGGGACGGTGGAGAGCGGTGCTGTGGTTCAAGGGGAGGTACCAGGGTCAGCAGCTACAGGAGCAGCAGCAGCAGAGGCAGGAGCGGGCACACGAGAAGCAGGAGGAGCAGGAGAAGAAGGAAAAGGGGCAGGAGAAGCAGGGGCTGCTGTTGGGGCTGTGCGCGAAAGAAATGGGGGAGGAGGAGAGGCGAATGGGGTGGGGCGAGAGGGAGAGGAGGGCAAACCCAGGGAGGTGGATGGTGGTGCCGACTTTGGTCGCATTTTCAACCTGCTGACGGCTCAACTGGAGCAGCAGCACATGCATTCGCTACAGCAAGACTTGTTAGTGGAAAAGGACTCGAAACACGAGGGAACGTGCATGGAGGAAGCATTTTCAGATGCGCAGGGAGAGCTAGGAGCGGAGGGAGGGCAGGGCGGGAGCAGCTCAGTTGCTGTCCCGAGGTTTGTTCCTTTCGCTCTGAACGTTTCTCCCTTGGGGGAGGCGAGTGGAGACGAGAAGGAGGGCGAAACTGAGAGTGAGAGTGAGAGTGAGAGTGAGAGGAGTGATGGTGGTGAGCTTGGTGGGTCGGCCCAGGCTGCTCTCAGGGAGACTGGGGCAATGGCAGAAGAGGAAAGGAGAGGAATGGAGTTGCGGACTGAGGCAGGAACTGAAGTGCGGGTTGGTGAAGCTGAGAGCAATGGACTGTCTGGCGTGGGAGCTGGTGGGAAGCTTGGCAGTGGCGGTGGTGGTGGTGATGGTGGGTCTGACCTACAGACCCATAGCTCTATGGAGGTTGACGGTGGTGCTGCTGTTCGAAAGGATCCTGCCAGAGACGGAGAGAAGAATGCCGGGAAGGTTTGTGCTGGTCGGGATGGGGGAGTGGGGTTTGGAGAAGGCGAGGAGAGGGAGGAGCGAGGGAAGGAGACCGAGGAGGGAGGAAAGGGCGAGGAGCAGGAGAGAGAGGGAGGAATGGGGGGTAAGGAGTCAGGGGAGGATAGGTTTGGTGGAGAGAAGGAGAATCTGGTTAAGATGCAGGCAAGAGAAGAGAGGGAGGGGAGGAGGGAAGATGGGGTAGCTGTTGATGGAGAGAGCACGGTGGTGTCAATCGAAGGGGAGCGTGCAGCTGTTGCTGCTGCAGTGGAACCAGTTAGTGGCATGCAAGCAGCAAGTGTAGGGTTACCAGCAGCTACAATGACGCCTGCTGCGCCTCTGAATGCTGTGTCTGATGCTCGCGTTTCTTCTAACTCTGAGCCTGCTGCTGAAGTGAAAGGCAAAGCACCAGGTTCTTCAGTAGCTTTGCAGCAGGAGAAGGGAACTGTTGTTGCTACTGCTGCTACTGCAAGAGCAGCTGATGTGGGGATCCCTGCCGCAGAAGCTTTACCAGCTGAAACTGTATCTGCTGAGGCTGTAGCGGCCGAAGCTGGGGCTGTAGCAGGTGGAGTTGCAACTGCCAAGGCAGCACCCGCGGAGTCTGTTGCTGCCAATGAAGCAGATGCTAAGGCTGCTGCATGTGCACAAGTGGTATCTGCTGACCGTATAGCTGCTGCTGCTGATGGGGTGACTGGTTGGACAGAGAAAAACACAGAGGTAGGCGGAGAGAGGAAGCAGGGAGTAGGGGATAGTGGTGAGGGAAGAAGTGATTCAGTGGATGGCATTAGGGAGAGGAGAGGAGCTGAAGCGGGTACAGAAGATGGAGAGGAGGAGGAAGGGGCGAGTCTGGAAGGTGCTGCCTCTCGTTCTCATGATCTTCCACAGCTGCAGGTGCAGCAGCGGGAACAGCACGAGGAGGAGGCGGAGGAGGCGGAGGAGGCGGAGGAGGCGGAGGAGAAGGAAGAAGGGGAGGAGAAAGGGGAGAAGGACGGGGAGGAGGAAAAAGAGCAACAGAAGGACAAGCAGCAGCAGCAGCAGCGGTGGTTGCAGGTGCCATCTGATCTGTTTTGGAACCGCAATGCAGCAAAGGCAGGTCCGGTACTTAGGTCTCTCTTCCCAGGCATATTCACCACTAAGGGGCGCTTACCTAAGCAACATTTTCTCAAGGGAAACTGGTACTACCGGGACGGTATGGGCAAGGAGCAGGGCGGGGTGTCATTCACGCGCCTGCAATGGATGGTCAGTGCAGGGTTGCTGGTGGAAGGAACGAGTGTGTGGCGCAAAGAGGACGACCTCTGGCTCCCTGTGGTGAAGCTCGCCCTGCTCACGCCCTACTTGTCACAGTTGCAGGACCCTGCGTTTGTTTTCGCCCTCGGGCTGAGATTAGGGTTAGGGTTAGGGTTGGGTGTGGCCCCGCAGGTGCCTATGGCTCGGGATGGGTACCCCCTGGTAGTTCCGGGGTTGGATGGGGCGGAAAAGGGGGTGGTGTTGCGTGGGCCAGTGTTTGCTGCTGGTGGAGGCAGGGAGGGAGTGGTGGAGGAGGAGGATTGGGACCCTAGGCTGGACCGAGGGGTTACGGTGGATGCAGGGAGGGGGAAACGCAGTTTGTTGGGGCAAAAGGAGGGGAGGGATAGGGCTGAGAGGGGGGTGGTGTTGCGCGGGAAGGTGTTAGCTGCTGCTGGCGGCAGGGAGGGAGTGGTGGAGGAGGAGGATTGGGACCCTAGGTTGGACCGAGGGGTTACAGTGGAATCAGGGAGGGGGAAACGCAGTTTGGTGGGGCAAAAGGAGGGCAGGGAGGTGAGGGAAGGGAGGGATGGGAGGGAGAAGAGTGGGGGCAGGGAGGGGGTAGAGATGGAGGGGCGTTGGGAGGATGTTGCTAGGGAGGGTGGCAGAGAGATGGTCTTGGTGAGGAGTGCTGGGAGGGAGGAGCTCGTGGGTGATGGGGGTCGAGGGGATGGAGATGGGGATTCAGAGGATGGGGATGGGGATGGGGTTGGAGATGGGGTTGGTGATGGGGTTGGGGATGGGGTTGGTGATGAGGTTGGGGATGGGGTTGGTGATGGGGTTGGGGATGGGGTTGGGGATGGGGTTGGGGTGGGGGATGGGCTAGCGATATTGGTGCAGGCTGGGCTGCAGTCTGCCGCGTTAAGAGCTACTCCAGAACCAGATAGTAGACTACAATGTGGGAAACGTCTGAATGATATGGGTAGGGGTTGCAAGGATGAGGAGGTGGAGGAGGGGGAGGAAACGTGGGAGAGGATTGGGTTGATGGGGGAGATGGAGGGGAAGGTGGGAGGTGAGGGAACGGGGGAGAGGATTGGGGGGATGGAGAGGGGGGTGGGAAGTGGGGATTGTGAGAAGATGGAAGGAGCAGAGGCGGAGGGGATAGGGGAGGGGATGATGGAGGGAGTAGGGGAGGGGATGGGGGAGGCGGAGCAAGGGGTGGGGCATGGTCTGCTGTTTCTTGCAGCAGCATGGGAGTCGGTAGGTGGGGAAGTGGGTATGGGAGGGGAGAAGGAGGAGAAGGGAGAGGGGCAGGAAGAGGAGAAAGCAGAGGAGCAGGCAGAGGGGCAGGCAGGCAAGAAGGCAGGGGAAGAGGCAGAGGAGAAAGAAGGGGAGAAGGGCGGGGAGAAGGGGCAGCAAGAAAGACCACTCGGGGAGGAAGGTTCTGTTTCTCACTGTGTCCAAGGACCAAGGGGTGCTGGCAGTGGTGGGTCATCCTGTCCTCTAGTGGAGGGGGCTGCAGCAGCAAGGGGAAGAGGAAAAGAGGATCTGACTATGGGAAATTTCAAAAAGGAGTCAGCTGGGAAGGGGGAGACGGAGGCGGGTGATAGCAGTGCTGTAGATTTGGATGCTGCCTCAGGGTTGGGTATCGAAGGAAGGGTGGGTACGGGTGCAGGAGAGGGGCCGATGGGTGGAGGTGCAGGCACTGTAACAGCAGCAACAGCAGCAGCAACAGCAGCAGCAGTAGCAGTAGCAGCAGCAGCAGCAGGTGCTGGCACTGTAGCATCAGCTGATGGTGGAGCGATGCTGGTAGGGGGTTCAACAGCAGGGGCTTTCTCAGGGTGTCTGCCCGAAGTGGGGCAGGAAAAAGATTTTCTCGAGCTGCCACAGAAAAGTCTGGCTGATGTGGGAAAGGAGAAGGATTTTGTTGAAATGCCGTTCAGCCGCTACTCCCGTCGCAGAACCATGGGAGTTGTTAAAGCCCATGTGCATGCCAGTGCCCCTCTTGGCCCCTCCGTAGCCTCTCATGTGATCCCTATAGCCTCTGTTCCAGCTCCCACTACTGAGGTCGTTGCCTCTGATTTGTTTGGTGCAGCTAGCGCTAAGTCTTCAGGTTTTGGTGCTGCTGCTCCCTCCGTTACAGTCACAGCAACCGAGGGGATACTAGGGAATCGCAGCAAGACGGAGGGGGAGGATGTGACTGAAAAGGAGGTGATAACCCTCCTCTCCTCAGGCCTCGTTAGTCCAGACCCCATTCGTGAGCCTGTTCTTTCTACGGGGCACTGTGGGGGGGAGGGTGGGGAAGATACTACTGGTGAAGGTACAACTGGTGCAGGTGCATGTGAGGGGCTCGGATGGAGGTATCACCACTCCATCCATCCTTGCCGCCAGAGCATTGGGGGTTCTGCGCCTGGGGAGAGTGAGCATGGGGAAGATTTGCCTGGGGGTGGTCTGCCTGTGGACGGTTTGCCTGGGGAGAGTGTGCCTGGGGTCGGTTTGCCTGGGGGCGGTCTGCCTGGAGGCGGTTTGCCTGGGGACGGTTTACCTGGGGACGTTGTGCCTGTGGGGTGTGCTCGTGTGGGGTGTGGAGGGGAGGGGAAGGCGGGGGAAGGAGATCAGAGTGAGGGTGTGTGTTATGGTGGAAGGATGGATGGGGGAATGGGGGGCAGGATGGAGATGGATGGGCATGAGGCCACAGGATGGGGACGCAGGGGACAAAGAGAGGTGGGAAGCGGAGAGGAGGGAAATGGAGAGGAGGGGCACAGAGAGGAGGGGCATGGAGAGAAGGAAGTGTGTCCGGACGAGCGGCATGCAGAAGGGGAGCAGCAGTACGAATCAATACCACATGAGTATAAGCCGTGGGTAGGGCCAGGAGTTGGGTGGGCGGACAGTAGAGGGCTGTCAGATGCAGATGACTCACGTGTGGCCACTCCAGAGCTGGCAGGGGCAGCTGCGCTCACCACTCTTGAGGTTTTGCCTCAAAGGCCACACGAGTACAAGGCATGGGCAGTGCCAGGAGGGTGGGGGGATGGTAGGGGTTTGTCAGACGCAGATGACTCACGTGTGGCTACTCCAGAGCTGGCAGGGGCAGCTGCTCTCACCATGCTGCTTCCCTCTGCTGAGATGTTTGAGCTGACTCACAACAGGTCACCGCTGACTCACAACAGGTCACCGCTGACGCACAGCAGGTCACCGCTAACTCAGAACAGGTCATTACTGACTCACAACAGGTCACCGCTGACTCACAACAGGTCACCACTGATTTACAAGTCACCATTGACTCACAAATCACCGTTCATGGAGTCGATTCACAAGTCACCGTTGGTTGACGCAGCTCACGAGTCACCAATGGTGGAGTCGACTCACAAGTCACCTGCTGCTGTGGTCACTGTGCAGCTAGCAGCAGAGCAGGGAGAGGCAGGTAAGGTGGGAGCTCGCAAGGCAAAAGGAGAGCCCGCAGAGTTGAGAGCGGGAGGAGGAGGAGAGGCAGGAGAGGGAGGAGATGAAGGGGAAGCTGCGTGCATTGGTGAATTCAAGGCTGGCGGTGCCTCACTTGCTACGGCTGCGACTGCTGCGTGTGCTGATGGTGACGCTTCAGCTTCCGCCAGTGTTGGTGTTAACCCTGCTTTGAAAGCGGACGTGGAATCACAAGGCTTCCGGAAAGATGCTGAAGGATTGGCTGGGGCAGCTGGAGGAGATGGGTTAGGAATAGGGAAGGGGGAGACGAAGCAGGGTGGGCAAAAGCAAGGAGAGGAGAAGCGGGGAGAGACGAAGCAAGAGGAGGAAGAACAAGAGGAGGAAGGGGACAGAGAGTCAGGGAAACTGGGGGAGTTTGCGGTTTGTGGCACTGACGGCAGTGGTGCAGCTGATGGTGCTGGCGGTTGTGGTGTGGGTGCTGGTGGTATTGCCGGTGGTGGTGCGGGTGGTGGTGGTAATGCCGGTGGCGGTGCTGGTGGTAATGCTGGTGCTGGTGCTGGTGGTGGTGCTGGTCGTAATGCTGGTGGTGGTGCTGGTCGTAATGCTGGTGGTGGTGCTGGTCGTAATGCTGGTGGTGGTGCTGGTCGTAATGCTGGTGGTGCAGATGGAATGAGTGTACCGCGAGAGAAAAGCAGCGGGTCAGCCGCTGCCGCTGCTTCACGGGATGGGGGAGGAGCAGCAGAGAAACAGGGGCGGAAGGCACAGGAACGGGAGGAAGCACAGGGGCGGAAGGCACAGGAACGGGAGGAAGCACAGGGGCGGAAGGCACAGGAACGGGAGGAAGCACAGGGGCGGAAGGCACAGGAACGGGAGGAAGCACAGGGGCGGAAGGCACAAGGACGGGAGGAGGCAGCACAGGGGCGAGGTAAGCAGCAGCAGCAGCGCAGCCCCATCACCCACCGGAGCCCCCTCATTCAACGCTTACAGCAGCAGCACACGCAGTCCCCTAGAAGCATGTCTCTGGAATCCGGGGAGGTGTTACCTGGGGACACCATATCAGGAGGCGTAGACTCCCCTGTTTCTTGCGGCGCCAAGCCCACAGTTCGGAAAGGGGCGAAAGAGGAAGAGGAAGGGGAGGAGGCAGAGGAAGGGGAGGATGCAGAGGAGATACCCCGTGACCGGGCCTGTGGGCGTATTCGTGGCTCCTTGACTGCCCTATCTGCCCCTCCTGACCCTTCTGGCGCGTCTGACCCTTCTGCTCCGTCTGCTCGGTCTACCCTGCCTGTTTCGGTTCGGAAGCCTGTGGAGCTAGGGTTTCCGTACCTGCAGTCGTCGTTCTGGGTGCTGCCTTCTGCTTCGGTGGGGCGGGAGGTGCTGCCTCTCATTCTGCCCGCGCAGCTGGGAGGAGGGGCTGCGCTGGCAGTCACTGGAGCAGCAGCAGCAGAGGAGGAGGAGGAGCAGGAGAGGCAGGGAGGTTATGAGGGGCAGATGCGGCAGAGGCAGGGGGAGCAGCAGCATGTAGCTGCGGCAGCGGGGAAAGAGTTGGCCCTTGCCGCTGTGTCGAGTCATCCTGTGGAGGGGGCAGGTTTGGAAGGACACGCAGTTGTAAGTGCAGGGGGCGAGCTTACAGCCTTACAGATGGTGTCCGTAGTTCCATCATCAGAAGCTGCAACTGCAGCTGCAGCTGCAGCTGCCACAGCAGCCGCAGCGGCAACAGCAGCAGCAGAAGAAGAAATTCTGAAGGAAGTTGCTAGAAAAGCTGGCTGCTGTGACGGCTGGCAGTCAGCTTGCGGGCTTAGCTTCTTTGCTTATGTCCGATCCAAACTGCATGATGCAGCTTTGGCTGCTTTCCGAGCCAAGATCGCCAAGGCTGCACTTGCCGAGGCTCTGGATCGGTTCCTGGCCACTGGGAGCGCCGAGCTGCCTGGACCTGCTCCCGAACCTCTGCCACAGGGTCGGAGTGCAGGTGGGGCGCTAATCGGTCAGGTACGGAGGCAGGAGGTAGAGGATCGGGACGAAGTGGGGAGGAGGGACAATAAGGTTGGAAGAAAGCGGGAGGAGGAGGGAGATGTAGTGTTCAGGGAACGGCAAAAAATGAAGAGCCAGCAGGAGTTGTATAAAACGAAGGGTGGAGAGTCGAGGAAGAGACAGCGGGGGGCAGGAGAAGGGGCAGCAGGGGTAGGTGGGGCGGGTGCGGCGGGTGGGGCAGGTGGAGCACTGAAAGGGCTTCCTGCAGTGAGAAGGAGGAGATTCCTGATGGGAGGAGACAGCAGCGATTCAGAGGAGGACCAAGGAGTGGCGGCAGTAGAGGCTCGGAAGAGGGTGAAGCAGGAGGAGGGCGCGCAGGGAGGAAGGGAGCGGCAGAGGAAGGGGTTGGGACAAGAGGTGGCTGTTGAGGGGAAGGGAGAGAAGATGGAAGGGAAGGAGAGGAGGGTGGTGAAACGGGAGTGGGAGCAGGAGGAGGAGCGGGTGGCGATGCAGCAGGGGAAGGCAGGGAGGAGTGGGAGAGAGGGGAATGAGGGGAGGCAGATGCAACAGCTCGTTGCAGGCCCAGGGGAGGATGGAGGTGGTTCAGGTGCTGCTGCTGCTGTTGATGCCTCTGCTGCTGCCACTGGTGCTGCTGCTGTTGGTCTTCCTGTCGATCACATGGCAATTCCTGGGCCGTTGATGGGTGTGAAGGTGGAGCCAGAATTGGTGGGAGAAGCAGGGGTCGTTGGGCTTTCAGGTGAACCGTCAGGTGGTTTTTCAGGTGATGTGAAGCCGGACAGGAGGTTGCCAGCAGGGACGGTACAGAGAAGGGGTTTCGAGTATGGAGAGACAGAACCTATCATCCTTCCAGACCCCCTGGCGAAGCTTCTTAGTGCCGCCATACATCCAGATGCATTGAATCCGGCCGATACGCTTTCTCTGCCGCCTCGTTCCGAAACACAGAAGGACCTCCAAACACAGGCCAGCGTAGAGCCGCAAGAGCTGGTAGTCCTTACAGCACACCAGACTTCTGAGGGGCCTCAAGCACCACTTCAAACACAGTCGAATGTGGGCTTGGCAGAGCTACTTCTGGGGGGGCTGAAGGGCGATGCTGCTCTGCTGGCACGCTGTGCTGTGGTGTGCCGTGCATGGTGTGAAGCCTTCCGGCGAGTGTGGCGGGGGCTGCAGCTGCTGGATCTGTCCAGCCTTGGGGCTCGCGTGCAGGACTCTGCTCTTGTAGCATTGGGGGTACGTAGCTCCTGTTCTCGTGCATGCTGTGGTGTGCCCTGTGTGGAATGAGGCCTTTGGGAGAGTGTGGCAGGGGCTGCAGCTGCTGGATTTGTCCAGCCTTGGGGCTCATGTGCAGGACTCTGCTCTTGTATCGTTGGGGGTATGTAGCTCCTTCACTACCTTTTAGATTGCTGGAGGTATGTTTAAGTCAATGACACTTAAAGTGAACACAGGACTGAGGTACCTTGCTCTTCGTGCCGCCCCCTCTCGCTTTGCATCTCTTCTGTTAGCCTGCCCTGCTTGCTTGTCGCTTCTCGCCATTCCTTCCTTGCTCCCTCCCGCTTCTCGCTCATCTGATTCTTCCCCTCCCTCCTTCACCAGTTTCTCAACTCTTCCCTCCCACCCCCATCCAACCCCGACCCCATCTCAATCCCCATGTTCCCCATTCTCAGAAGTCCGCCCCACAACTTCTCCAAGCGCTCTCACTCGCCCACTGCACCGCTCTCACCCCCACCGCTCTCCACCGCTTCCTTTCCTCTCGCCCATCCCTCTCTGCCGTCATCATCACTGGTTGCCCCCGACTCGCCCCTCTCGCCGCCTCCTTCCCACACCTCCTCTTCCTCACCCTCTCACCTGCACGCACACTTGTCCGAGTCTCTCCAAACCAGAAACTGAGTGCCTTTGGTGCTTCGGCTCCTGCTCCCGCTCCGAATTTCTCTGTTGCTGCTGCTGCTTTTGAAATGGTGCCTCCTGCTGCTGCTGCTCCTGCTGCCACTGCCACTGCTGCTGCTCCTGCTGCTGTTTCCCCTGGGCGGCCCAGGCCCCCACGAGGAGCCCCACTGGCAGCAGCAGCAGCAGCGTCACTGGCCAGGGCAATCGCAGCAGCCAATGTGGACGGGCGGTCACAGAAGGGGGGTGCCCGAGCTTCTGGGGGGGGTGGAAGGGCAGCAGGAGGGGGAGTCTCACGTGGTGCTGCTGGCGCTGGTGCCGGTGCTGCCCGTGGTGCTGCTGGTGCTGCTGCTGCTGCTGCTGGTGGTGTTGCTGCTGGTGGTGGTGGTGCTGGTGGCAAGAGGTTGGGTAGAGGAGCAGGGGGAGGGGTGGGGACTGGAGGGAGTATGGCTCATCTGCCTGTTGCTTCATCGAATGCGGGCAGTGGTCAGTCCAGTGCCGCTGCTGCTGCTGCCTCTGCTGATTCCGGGGGGAGAAGCCATGGGAATGCAGGCAGGGTAGGCGCAGGAGGAGCAGGGGGGGCAGCGGGAGCAGGTGGGGCAAGGGGAGCAGGAACAGGGGGAGCAGGAGGGTTGGGGGGCGGAGAGAGGGGTTGGGAGAGGAGGGGCGTGGAGAGACGGAGGGAGACAGATGGGGATGGGAAGTGGGGGAAGGACAGGCTAAGGGGGGGCATGGAAGGGGCGGGTAAGGACAGAGGCAGGTCGGATCTACAGCAAGAGAGGAAGAAGGGCGGCATGCTGCCGCCCACTGGGGGGCGGCTGTCCCTCAAATCCAGCTCAGGACAGGGCGCGCCAGGGGGAGGTAGACCTGGGGCAGGGCGGACTGGCGCAGGGGGAGGAGCCAGTGGGGGAGGAGGCTGGGGGGCGGGGGGGCAGGCGGGGGCAGGGGGGAGAGGGGGCGGAGGGGGAGGGGTGGGGGAGAGGAGGGAAGGGTTCAGGTCGCCGCCTGCAGTGGGGAGGGGGTTAGGGAGGGGGGATATGGAGGGGGAGGCGGTGCGAGTGCTAGAGAGGGAGATAGGGGGGGCCATTCGCAGGCTGCAAGAGTGGGACAAGCAACACTACTTCTCCAGGGGGATTCTGCTGGTACGTGTGATTCAAGTCCCGCTTTGCCAATTTTTCTGTGTTCATTCTTTTCATTTCTTTCTTTCTTTCTTTCTTTCTTTCTTTCTTTCTTTCTTTCTTTCTTTCTTTCTTTCTTTCTTTCTTTCTTCCTTCCTTCCTTTCCTTCCTTCCTTCCTTCCTTCCTTCCTTCCTTCCTTCCTTCCTTCCTTCCTTCCTTCCTTGCTTGCTTGCTTGCTTGCTTGCTTGCTTTCTTCCTTCCTTCCTTCCTTCCTTCCTTCCTTCCTTCCTTCCTTCCTTCCTTCCTTCCTTCCTTCCTTCCTTCCTTCCTTCCTTCCTTTCTTTCTTTCTTTCTTTCTTTCTTTCTTTCTTTCTTTCTTTCTTTCTTTCTTTCTTTCTTTCTTTCCTTATTTGCTCTTCAGGAGAGTCCGTTGCGTTGATGCACTTATGCCATAATTGACTGCCCTGACTACAAAATTTTGGTTCTCATTTTCTTGTAAATCTCCTCTCCACAATTCCAACCACAGGATGCAGCGCCAGGCGCAGCAGCAGGAGGTGGGGCCGGTCGCAAGGGGCGACTCTCCTTGGATCTGCCCACTCTGGAGAGGCGGTTGAAGGAGGGCGTGTACAGTGACGCTTCTGGCTCCGCTGCTGCCATTGCCCGTGCTGCTGCTTCGACTGGAACCACTGCAGCAGGAGGAGGAGGAGGAGCAGGGGGGAGTGCAGGGGGTGCCTTGACAGCAGTGGGAGGAGCAGGGTTGGCTGGTGGTTCTGCAGTGGTAGGGAGTGCAGCGGCAGTGGCGGCGGCGGCGGTGGCAATGGGTGTGAGGGTGAACGGGCTCGCTCGATTCGAGAGTGACATTCAGCTCATGTGTCGCAGCGTGTTCACGTGAGTCGCGGGTTTTCACTCGAGTGTGTCCGTTTTGTTGATTCATAAACTCTGTAAATTCTGGATCACACTCTGCACATGACAAGCTTTTGTGTTTCCCTCTGTTTATCGCCTGTGCTCCCCTCCCCCCTCTTTCCGGTTTCATTCTGTGCAGTGGTGTGAGGGAGAAGTAAATCACCAGATTTCCTGCCGGCCCCTTTTGAGTCGACTCAAAAGTCAAAAGTCACCTTTTGAGTCGACTCAAAAGTCAAAAGTCACCTTTTGAGTCGACTCAAAAAGTGGTGTGAGTGAGAAGTAAATCACCAGATTTCCTGCCGGCCCCTCCCTTGATGCCCCCTTTCCCCCATTCCCCTTTGTTACTCGCTTGCAGCAACGTGAATGACAAGTCCCCGATGTATCGAGCAGCGCGCCAACTCTTCGCTCTCAGCCGTTCCACCATCGACGGCATCAAGACCAGCTTTCTCACCTCCCTCCTCCCTTCCCCCTTATCAATTGATGTGCAGCAACGTGAATGACAAGTTCCCCATGTATCGAGCAGCACACCACCATCAACGTCATCAAGACCAGCTTTCTCACCTCCCTTGCCCTTTCTTCCCTCCTTTTCCCCCCCTCTCCCTTACTCCTTTCCCGTTTCACTGTATGCAGCAACGTGAATGAAAAGTCCCCCATGTATCGGGCAGCGCGCCAACTCTTCGCTCTCAGCCGTTCCACCATCGACGGCATTAAGACCAGCTTTCTCACCGCCCTTGCGGCGACATATATGGCTTCCAGTGATCGCCCTGCTTCTGCTTCTGCTGCTCCTGCTGCTGCTGGCAGCAGTTTTGGAGGTGCTGGTGGTGGTTTTAGTGGTGCGAGTGGGGTAGGGGCTGGGTCTCGAATGGTGTTGGGGAGGGGGAATGGGCCTGTTTCTGCGAGAACTGGAGGGAAGAGGGTGAGAGAGGGAGCAGGGGTGAGACGAGTGAGTAAGAGGAGGAAGAGTGTCGCTGATTCGGATAGCAGTGGGTATCAGAGTGATTCGGAGGAGGAGGGGAGGTTTGGGTATGAGATGGAGGAGGAGGAGTGGAAGGGAGATTCGGGCCGAAACATCTGGTCAGAATCAGAAGAGGAGGACGAGGAGGAGGAGGATGAAGAGGATGAGGAGGAGGAAGGAGAAGAGAGAGGGGATTCGGACTTGGACGAATTCGAATCGGCGGAGGAGGAAGGTTCTGATGCAGGTTCCGAGACCAAGAAAGCTGCAGCAGCCGCAGCTGCCGCCGCTGCTACAGCTGAAGTCGCAACCACTAAGGTGAAACTCGGGAAACTGCAATCAAAAACTGGTGGACGCAGGGGAACCGAAACAGCCCACGGTGCTGCCAGCAAAGCGAAGCACACCCCAGCTAACGGTGGCGGACATGGTATCAGAGCAGGCCGTGCTGACTCCTCCTCTCCCTCCTCTCCTGCCACCCCAGCCACCTCGGGCACCTCTTCTCCCTCAGCCTCCTCCCCCGCCTCCTCTGCTTCAGAGGGAGAGGAGGAGTCTGAGAGTGAGTCAGGCTCAGATGCCCAGTCGTCTTGCTCCCTGGGTGGGTCTGTGCGGCCTGTGGGAGGGAGCCGGAAGGGAGGGAAGCAGGTGAAAGGGAGGGAAGGGAGGCGGCGGAAGCAGCAGCGGCAGCAGAAGAAGCGGAGGAGGAAGGAGGAGGAGGAGGAGGAGGAGGAGGAGGAGGAGGAGGAGGAGGAGGAGGAGGAGGAGGAGGAGGAGGAGGAGGAGGAGGAGGAGGAGGAGGAGGAGGAGGAGGAGGAGGGCAGGGAGCAGGGCGGGAAAAGCAAGGGGAGGGGCAGGGGAGCGAAACGAGAGGAGCGGACGGGGAGGAGGAAGGGAGAAGGGGCGGAGGCGAGGGGAGGAGAGCGGAAGGGCCGGGTCCGCACCAGTGCTGGTACAGCCAGTGCCGGCGGCACCGCCGCCACTGCCGTTGGGAGCAAATCCGACAACTCAAAGGCAGGCCGGGCAGGGGAAGAAGAAGAGGCAGGCGAAACCTCCTCCTCCTCCTCCTCTTCCTCCTCAGAAGGGTCTAAGGGATCGGGTCCTGTGGTGGTGGTGAATGTGGCTGATGAGGAGATGAGGAGACATTGGGGGAACAGGATGACAAGAGCCGCCATGGTGCCGCCAGTGACTCGGCAGTACGAGGTGGTCGAGGAGTATGTGATTGTGGAGGAGGAGGAGGGCGTGCGGAGGAAGATGCGCGTGGAGCTGCCCGCTGGATTTGCTGAGAAGGCCCGGCAGGCGCAGGCCATGGCTGATGCTAACAGGGTGAGCTGGGCTGGGGAATGAGAAACAGGACAGGGTAATTTGGAAGGGAAACGAAGCGTGGGCTGGAAGGGAAGGTGCGCCTCTCCCCTTTCCCGTCCCCCATATTCCACCCCATACAATACCCGTCCTTTCCCCCACACAAATAGTATATACACCTGGAGCTCCCAGAAGTGAGGGATTGGCGGCCGCGCAAGGCAGTGGGGCCGGAGGTGGGCGAGCAGGAGGTGTATGGCATCGACCCCTACACACACAACCTCAACTCACTACCCCCCGTCCTTTTCCCCGCTGCGCTTTCTCTCCTCTTCCCCCTGTCAACAGTACATACACCTGGAGCTGCCAGAGGTGAGGGATTGGCGGCCGAGAAAGGCAGTGGGGCCGGAGGTGGGCGAGCAGGAGGTGTACGGCATCGACCCCTACACACACAACCTGCTGCTGGACACGCTGCCTTTCATGCCTCCTACTGAGACGGACGAGGAGAGGCACTCCTTTATCGAGGATGTGAGTGCCCTGGTTGTGTGGTTGTCGGTGTAGCCTGTAGTAGGGGCATTGCTTGTGGTTTGATGGATGCTGTTGCAGCCTCTAGAGGTTGGGGAGGGGACGTGCTGCTGGACACGCTGCCCTTCATGCAGCCTGCTGAGACGGACGAGGAGAGGCACCCGTGCATTGAGGATGTGAGTGCCCTGGTTGTGTGGTTGTCGGTGTAGCCTGTAGTAGGGGCATTGGGGATGTGAGTGCCCTGGTTGTGTGGTTGTCGGTGTAGCCTGTAGTAGGGGCATTGGGGATGTGAGTGCCCTGGTTGTGTGGTTGTCGGTGTAGCCTGTAGTAGGGGCATTGGGGATGTGAGTGCCCTGGTTGTGTGGTTGTCGGTGTAGCCTGTAGTAGGGGCATTGGGGATGTGAGTGCCCTGGTTTTGTGGTTGTCGGTGTCCCTGTAGTAGGGGCATTGGGGATGTGAGTGCCCTGGTTGTGTGGTTGTCGGTGTAGCCTGTAGTAGGGGCATTGGGGATGTGAGTGCCCTGGTTGTGTGGTTGTCGGTGTAGCCTGTAGTAGGGGCATTGGGGATGTGAGTGCCCTGGTTGTGTGGTTGTCGGTGTAGCCTGTAGTAGGGGCATTGGGGATGTGAGTGCCCTGGTTTTGTGGTTGTCGGTGTCCCTGTAGTAGGGGCATTGGGGATGTGAGTGCCCTGGTTGTGTGGTTGTCGGTGTAGCCTGTAGTAGGGGCATTGGGGATGTGAGTGCCCTGGTTGTGAGGCACCCGTGCATTCGGGATGTGAGTGAGTGCTGGGATGGGATTGTGTGGTTGTAGCTGTAGGGGAACTGCGTGTGGTATGAGAGAGGCAAGGTCCCTGTGGATGGAACTAGACCTGATGCCCCTGGTGGCGTTCACGAAGATCACTCCTCCGCTCCCCCTGTCGTCCCCCCCCCCCCCCACACGCACCCCTGCAGCGCCTACACCCCTGCAGCGCCTGCACCCAGCGCCTGCACCCCTGCAGCGGCTCTTGCCAGCACTCAATCAACTGGCGGCGTCCTTCAGAGGCAAGGTGCCCTTGGAGCTCGACTTGATGCCCGTGGTGGCGCTCATGAAGATTGACGCGGACAAAGAGGGCGACCACTCTCTAACACTCTCCTTCCTCTCCTGTATCCCGTACACCCCTCCTTACAGCGCCTGCTGCCTGCCCTGAACCAGCTAGCAGCCTCGTTCAGAGGCAAGGTCCCCTTGGAGCTGGATCTGATGCCCGTGGTGGCGCTCATGAAGATTGACGCGGACAAGAAGGGCGACCATGCGCTGAGGGACCTGTGCAAGACGCTTTACTCCGCCATGCGGGCACGGAGGAACATGAAGAAACCCGACAAGTACCTGGCTTACAGAAAGGTACGTCTTTCAGTCAGCAAGTACGGTATATTCTATTGCAATGCAAGGAGTGCGCACTCACAAGGGAGGGCGACCACGCATTGAGGGACCTGTGCAAGGCGCTGTACCCCGCTATGCGGGCGAGGAGGAACATGAAGAAACCTGACAAGTACCTGGCTTACAGGAAGGTGCGTGCTGCACTCTTGACTGGTACCCTGGTAATAATAGGTAGGAAGGCGAGTGGTGCAGAGACAACAAGCGTGGTGTGGGTTGTAGAGAGGGCAACCATGTGCTGAGGGACCTGTGCAAGACGCTTTACTCCGCCATGTAAGCACGGAGGAACATGAAGAAACCCGACAAGTACCTGGCTTACAGGAAGGTGCGTGCTTTGCTCCAGGCATTTAGGATGGTGAGTGGGTTTTTTATTTGGGAGGACTTCGTGGTGAATGGAGCTCTTCAGGGAGGTGTATCCTCCGTGCTTTGGCTAGTATGGTGCTTTAGTATCCAGCGCCGGCTCGGCTCTCGTCCTGCTTCTGCTCTCACTCCTGCTCCCCCTTCCTCTCCCGTTCCCGCTTCTGCTCCTGCATCTGCTCCCTGCCTTTCTTCTCCCAACAGGGCCAGGGTGTCGTGTGCAAGGCGCCTGAGGGCATTCTCAAGGAGGATTCCGTGATGGATTTTTTTTGGGGGAGGTGTACGCTCCTTGCTTCGGTTATGGTGCTTCAACCTCCTGCTCCGCTCCCACTCCCACTCCTGCTCCTGTGTGCGTCTGTGTCCCCCCATTCTTGTCTGTTCCAGGGCCTGGGTGTGGTGTGCAAAGCCCCTAAGGGCATCCCTAAAGAAGATTTCGTGGTGGAGTTCTTTGGGGAGGTGTACCCTCCGTGCCCGCCTTGGCTGGTACTAGTAGGTTGCTTCAAGTTGCCGCTCCTTCTCCCACTCTTGCCTCCTCCCTCCTTCTTGTCCCTCACAGGGTCTGGGCGTGGTGTGCAAGGCGCCTGAGGGCATTCCCAAGGAGGATTTCGTGGTGGAGTTCTTTGGGGAGGTGTACCCTCCGTGGCGGTGGCACGAGAAGCAGGACGGCATTCGCATGATTCACAACAAGGAGGCTGTTTCTGAGTTTTACAACATTCTGCTGGAACGGCCAAAGGGTGACGAGGCGGGGTACGATGTGTTGGTGGTGGATGCCATGCATCGAGCCAACTTTGCTTCTCGCCTCTGCCACTCCTGCAGCCCCAACTGCGAAGCCAAGTGAGTGGCCTGCTTCTCCTAGTTCGTTCAAGAGCAGGCGTTTTGTTAAGCTGAGTTCTGACTAGGCGCATCGTTTTTCGTCAAAAGCATTATTCATTGGAGCAGGCTGTTTTTTTTTTTTTTTTACGGTAAAAGTGACTTGAGTTTCCCCTTATTCCTCCATGTGCGCAACGTTTTGTCATCTCCCAGGGTGGTGGCAGTGGATGGGTCATATATGATTCACTCGGCACCTCATTGCTCTCCCTCCTTTCTCCCATACTTGCCTTTTTTCAGGGTGGTGGCAGTGGATATGTTTTACATGATAGGTGTGTACGCCATTCGCCACATCCTCACGTGTTGTCTTCTTCCACTCCGCCCCCATGTGCTCTCTTGTTCGTTCCCGTTGCAGGGTGGTGGCAGTGGACGGGTCGTACATGATCGGGGTGTACGCCATCCGCCACATCTTGCCAGGGGAGGAACTCACATTCGACTATAACTCCGTCACTGAGGTGTGTATGAAGCAAATGGTGAGTGAGGTGTGAGAAGCAATGAGGTGAGTGAGGTGTGAGAAGCAACGAGTTAGCTGACTCTGCCATAGTAGCTGACCACTGCTCTCACCTCACCTGCCAGGGGAGGAGCTCACATTCGACTGCAACTCCGTCACAGAGGTGAGGGCGATAAGTCATTGAGATGGGAAGGTGGGAGATGCGGCGAGGTGAGGTTGAGTGAGGCAGCGAGGTGAGGTTGAGTGAGGCAGCGAGGTGAGGTTGAGTGAGGCAGCGAGGTGAGGTTGAGTGAGGCAGCGAGGTGAGGTTGAGTGAGGCAGCAAGGTGAGGTTGAGTGAGGCAGCGAGGTGAGGTTGAGTGAGGCAGCGAGGTGAGGTTGAGTGAGGCAGCGAGGTGAGGTTGAGTGAGGCAGCGAGGTGAGGTTGAGTGAGGCAGCGAGGTGAGGTTGAGTGAGGCAGCGAGGTGAGGTTGAGTGAGGCAGCGAGGTGAGGTTGAGTGAGGCAGCGAGGTGAGGTTGAGTGAGGCAGCGAGGTGAGGTTGAGTGAGGCAGCGAGGTGAGGTTGAGTGAGGCAGCGAGGTGAGGTTGAGTGAGGCAGCGAGGTGAGGTTGAGTGAGGCAGCGAGGTGAGGTTGAGTGAGGCAGCGAGGTGAGGTTGAGTGAGGCAGCGAGGTGAGGTTGAGTGAGGCAGCGAGGTGAGAGGGAGATGGGGAGGGAGAAGCACAAGACATGACTTTTGAGAATTCTCAAAAGTCATTCCAATATAGATGGGGAGGGAGAAGCACAAGACATTACTTTTGAGAATTCTCAAAAGTCATTCCAATATAGATGGGGAGGGAGAAGCACAAGACATGATCGGCGTGTTTTGAGGCGCCTCAAAAGAAGCACAAGACATGATCGGCGTGTTTTGAGGCGCCTCAAAAGAAGCACAAGACATGATCGGCGTGTTTTGAGGCGCCTCAAAAGAAGCACAAGACATGATCGGCGTGTTTTGAGGCGCCTCAAATGAAGCACAAGACATGATCTGCGTGTTTTGAGGCGCCTCAAAAGAAGCACAAGACATGATCGGCGTGTTTTGAGGCGCCTCAAAAGAAGCACAAGACATGATCGGCGTGTTTTGAGGCGCCTCAAAAGAAGCACAAGACATGATCGGCGTGTTTTGAGGCGCCTCAAAAGAAGCACAAGACATGATCGGCGTGTTTTGAGGCGCCTCAAAAGAAGCACAAGACATGATCGGCGTGTACGCCATTCCCTTCGCCACATCTTGCCCGGGGAGGAGCTCACCTTCGACCATAACTCCGTCACTGAGGTGAGGCCGATGCAGAGACAAATGGAGAAGCATTTTTCTTCAACAGTAGCTTTTGCTGCAAGGACAGCATTTTTCTTCAACAGTAGCTTTTGCACTTGGGAAGGGTGGGGGGGCAAGTGGCAGAAGGCAAGGCAGTCCTACATTCACGTGATGGTTTTTGAGAATTCTCAAAAACCAGCAAGTGGCAGAAGGCAATCCTACATGCACGTGATCATCCAGCACCATGAGGTGGTGCGGCGGCAAGGGGGGGAGAGTGGGGGGGCTTGTGCTTGTAGAGCCTTTTTAACTCGGTTTCTCTTCCTCCTTTCTCCCCTTCCCCTTCCCCACATTAGAGTGTGGAAGAAAACAAGCAGGCTGTCTGCTTATGCGGCCACCGCTACTGCAAGGGAAGCTACCTGCACCTGGGGGGAGGCCAGTCGTACACGCACGTGATCAGCCAACACCATGCGTTCTTCCCCTGTCCCATCCCTCCCCCCATCAGAGCGTAGAAGAGTACAAGCAGGCCGTATGCCTATGCGGCCACCGCTACTGCAAGGGCAGCTACCTGCACCTGGGGGGAGGGCAGTCGTACACGCACGTGATAAGCCAGCACCATGCGGTGGTGCGGCGGCATGCGCTGCTGCTGATGGCGTCAACAGGGGGAGGCATCACGGAGGCCGAGGAGAGTGCTTTGCGCCGGGCTGGCATTGGCAGCAGCTTGCTCTCTGACCTCCCAGATTGGGCCATCCGCTACACTGCCCTGCTTGTAAGTGGTTACGTGCTGCTTTTCTCTCTGTCGTAGGCTGGTGAGGCGGCATGCGCTGCTGCTGATGGCGTCAACAGGGGCAGGCATCACGGAGGCCAAGGAGAGTGCTTTGAGAAGGGCCGGCATCGGCAGCAGCCTGCTTTCGGAGCTTCCGGATTGGGCCATCCGTTACACCGCCTTGCTGGTGAGTGCTGCTGTGCTCTCTCCACTAGCGCTTGACCCTCAACTAGCGCCTTACGTATAAGCGGCAGTCGTACACGCACGTGATAAGCCAGCACCATGTCGTGGTGCAGCGGCATGCGCTGCTGCTAATGGCGTCAACAGGGGGAGGCATCACGGAGGCCGAGGAGAGTGCTCTAAGAAGGGCCGGCATCGGCACACCACTCGTTACCTGTTACCGGAGCTGATACTCGTGGAGCGGGAAGCAAAAGGGAATCATTCTTTGTCTGATTCGTTCTTTTTCTCCTTTTTCTCTTTTGCTCAGATGGAGTTCATCGAGGAGGAGAAGTACCTGTTACCGGAGCTGATTGTAAAGGAGCGTCTGGGCGAGAGGGCGAAGCAGGGCAGGCACAGGCGTCCCTCTGATGCCACCGCTGCCGCCGCTGCTGCTTGTGGTAGCGACTCTGCTGGTGCCAAGGCGGCTGTTGCTGGTGGTGGTGCTGCTGCTGCTGATGGCGCTGCTACTGGCGGTAATGGTGCGGGTGCTGCTGTTACTGGTAACGGTGCTAATGGTGGTGGCACTGAGAGGGAGCAGGGAAAAGGGGCGGATGAAAGGGTAGGAGGAGGAGTGTGTAAAGTTGAGGAGGGAGAAGGAGGGGGAGTAGGAGGTGGAGGCGGAAGAGGGGGAATAGGGGAGCTTGCTTCTGGTGCTGCTGGTGTGAATGGTGGGAGGCGCGATGGGAGTGGGGATGGGAAGAAGGAGGAAGATGAGGCAGATGTGAAGGCAGATGTGAAGGCAGATGTGAAGGCAGCTGCAGCAGGAATTGAGAGGATGGATATGGCAGGGAGAGGCAGGGAAGGGGATGGTGGTCGCGGCGGCGGCAGTGGTGGTGTTGCTGCTGCCGATGCTGGTTGTAAGGTCAATGGAAGTGCAAAAGGAGCTGCTGCTGGTTGTGATGTTCGTGGCGTGAACGGTTTTCACAGCAATTCATTGAAGAATGCTGGTGTAGCTGCTAGTGCGGTTGGGAACGGTGCTAGAGATGGTGCGAGCGGTGCAGAGGGGCATGATTGCAATGATGGCAACAATGGTGATGCCAAGGGTTGTGATGGTAAGGGTTGTGATGCCAATGGGGCTGGTTCTAGTAACGGGGATGGTGATAAGGAGGATACTGAGAGTGAGGAGAGTGAGGAGGGGAGCGACGAGGAATACGCTCAGGAGGAGGAAGAGGAGGATGATGAGGATGGGTACTCGTCAGGTGAGGAGAGGAGGCGGAGGAAGAGGAAGAAGAGAGAGAAGCAGCAGAAACAGAAGCAGCCGGAGCAGCAGGGTCAGGGGCAGCAGAAGCAGGAGCAGCAGGAAGAGGAAGAGGAGGATGAGGAGGAGGGGTGGGATTTGGAAGAAGATGCCAGAAACGAGGTGCGTTCAATCGAGCCCCATTTGGAGGCCATGGTGCAATACGTGGCAGCAATTTATTGAAAGTGACACCGGAGTAGGTGAAATGGTGTTTACGTAGGAAGAAGATGCCAGAAACGAGGTGCGTTCAATCGAGCCCCATTTGGAGGCCATGGTGCAATACGTGGCAGCAATTTATTGAAAGTGACACCGGAGTAGGTGTAATGGTGTTTGCGTAGGAAGAAGATGCCAGAAACGAGGTGCGTTTTATTGTTTTTACAGTAGGACGCAAAAAACAATCTGAGGAGTTAGGAAGGAGATGGATAGTAGGTAGCAAGGTGAGAGGGCATGAGCTCGTGCACAAGGTGTGGTGTGGGAAGGCTAGTTTTGAGGCGCCTCAAAACAAGGTGTGGTGTGGGAAGGCTAGTTTTGAGGCGCCTCAAAACAAGGTGTGGTGTGGGAAGGCTAGTTTTGAGGCGCCTCAAACAAGGTGTGGTGTGGGAAGGCTAGTTTTGAGGCGCCTCAAAACAAGGTGTGGTGTGGGAAGGCTAGTTTTGAGGCGCCTCAAAACAAGGTGTGGTGTGGGAAGGCTAGTTTTGAGGCGCCTCAAACAAGGTGTGGTGTGGGAAGGCTAGTTTTGAGGCGCCTCAAAACAAGGTGTGGTGTGGGAAGGCTAGTTTTGAGGCGCCTCAAAACAAGGTGTGGTGTGGGAAGGCTAGTTTTGAGGCGCCTCAAAACAAGGTGTGGTGTGGGAAGGCTAGTTTTGAGGCGCCTCAAACAAGGTGTGGTGTGGGAAGGCTAGTTTTGAGGCGCCTCAAAACAAGGTGTGGTGTGGGAAGGCTAGTTTTGAGGCGCCTCAAAACAAGGTGTGGTGTGGGAAGGCTAGTTTTGAGGCGCCTCAAACAAGGTGTGGTGTGGGAAGGCTAGTTTTGAGGCGCCTCAAAACAAGGTGTGGTGTGGGAAGGGCTCTGCCGTTGCCAGCCATGCTGAAACTGTCTGCTGCTGCTTCTGTTTGCTGTGCTTCATGATTTGCTTTCCCCTGCCCCCTCCTTCCGACTCTCAGGCTGGAGGAGTGTACCTAGAGGTGCGGCTGGTGGAGGAGTGTACCTAGAGAATTCTCAAAAGTCGCACCAATGTACCAAGGAACACTACCTAGGCAGGCTGCAGAACCTGGCGATCACAATGGGCCGCGTGCGCTACGGCCTCAAGTCGCTCTCTCTGTTGCCTTCTGCTCCCCCTTCTCCTTTCACTTCTCCCCACCCTCAGGCTGAAGGAGTCTACCTAGGTCGCTTACAGAACCTAGCGATCACAATGGACAGGGTGCGATACTGCCTCAAGTCACTCTACGGAGATCCCAAGGCCGGCCCGCCGCCCCTGCGCCTGGTGACGGCGCACGAGCTCGTGCGCAAGGTGTGGGGCGGCGAGGGCTCCGTGGTGGCGGTGCTGCTGCGCTGCATCGCTCTGCACCTCGACCGCCCGGCGTTTGTGGCGTTCCGGCAGCGCGTGAGGGAGAGGACACCTAAACCCAATGCTCACGCGCTCAAACGCAGCCTATTGTGGTGAGTTGTGGGGAAAGTGGCAGGGTTTAGGGTTCGGGGTTGCATAAGTGTGGGGGGGAAAGGGGGGGTAAGGGAAGAGGATGTGCGAGGGTGGGTGGGCAAGCACAACCGCAGTTACTTTCTCTGCTCCTTCTCTCACCTCGGTGGCTGATTCTCTCCCCTATTCTCACCTCTCTCCCTCTTCCTCTCCTGTTCTCTGATTTTTTCTCGGTCCCCTTTTTCCCTTTGCATTCTTCTCTTTCCCAGGCTGCGGGATGAGCTGCTTCAGCTGCCCGTGACTGCGGGCAGCCGAAACGACGCAGCGGCCGATCTGATCCATCTATACGCCTACACCACCAACGTATTCGCCTTGCACGAGTACCCCCCTTTCGACTCCCCACCCATGACCATAGTTGCATCTGACCTCGGCCGAAACATCGCCTCGCCCTCTCCCTCCGTCCCACCGCCCTCCTCCTCCTCCTCCTTCGCGCACTACCCTCAGCAAGACGAGTGGGAGTGGGTGAAGGAATACGACAGCGATTACATTTCCGGGCAGCTGATATTTTGGTTCAAGCAGACGCTGGTGGATCCGGGCAAGGCGTTGAGGGCGTTGAGAAGGGGGTGTCTTCTCTTGCCAGACCCATCGTCTTGTTACTCCAAGAACCCGCTGCAAGCTCTGCCGAGGGCGTATGGGCAGAGGGAGAGGAGGTCGCTGCTGCATCGCATGGTGAGCTCTGTCAGTGATGAGTTATGTTGATATTCCGCTTTTCCCGGCTGTTTCTCCTCCATCCCTCTCCCCTCCCTCCCATCCCTTGTCTCCCCTCCCTTCCTTTGGCCCTCCCTCATAATGTTCTCCCTTGTCTCTGCTACTGCGCACCCAATCCACCCCCTCAACACACAATCAATTCCTGCCCTAACAGGAAAAGATGCCCGAGAAGCCGTGGCCCAAATCGTCCGAATCGTCCATCTGGGACTTCCGGTCAGCCCGAAAACTTTTCGGCTCGCCAATGCTTGATGCTGCGATCGCAGCGAAGCCGTTGGATCCTGAGATGGTGGCTTGGTTCAAGAACCGACCAATCACGTACGTTGGCCCATATGACACGTAAGCGAAGTGAGTAATGAGTGAGTAGCAAGCAGTGACATGCACCAGAACGCATGTAGATAGTGACTCGGAGGATAGTGTAGGCCTGTAGCTGGCTAGTCGCTGAAAGTCTACAAGGACAACTTCACTGCTGCGGTCTTTCAGGCGGTAATAGCAGTTGTTGGGACGCATTAAGGATGTAGGATGTTTAGCTTCAGGTGGTGGCTGAGTGCCATAGCTCTGACAAAATCGGTTGAGCAGCCATCGTGGAAGAATGGATGAGGGTTGTAGATTCGATCTGGTGGACGCAGCAACACAGCAGGTTGGGTTGGAGGAGCTCCATGGAGCACTGTGCAGATAGCAGCCGGTAATTAGGCTGGATATGTTCGAGAATCCCTACTGGAGCAGCAGGCAGTTAGGCAAGAGGGTTGGAGGATCCCCAATGGAGCAGCAGCAGATCTCTCATGCACTGCGCGGATAGCAGCAGGTGGTTAGGCTAGGTGATGGAGCTGAGTGAGAGGAGCAACATGCGAACTCGGTTTGTCATGCGCGAACAGAGGTAGTTAGGCTGGATGGGTTGGAGGATCTCCAATGGAGCAAGCAGCAGATCTCTCAAGTGCTGCATTGATAGCAGCCAGCAGGTAGTTAGGCTTGATGGGTCAGGATTCCCACTGGAGCCGTAGCAGATCTCTCAAGTGCTGCACTGATCCCAACAAGTGGAACAGACAAGCTCATTCTGTTTATACACGAAGGAGCAGCAGGCATTGCATGGGTCCTCTACAGAGCTAGATGTCACGATACGGTAGAAGAAGCAGCAGCTGCGAGTAGTGGAGGGGCCATTACTTACTGCTGCAGACAAACTTGCAGCTGAGCATCACCTGGGTTAGCAGGGCTCCTCTGTGTATACATGCATGGAGCAGCATTGGTGCTGTGTTTCATGCACCTCTGTAGGCTCGACTGGGTCGTCGCCAGCAGGGGAAATGGCATTGGAAGCCAAGCTGATGGATATACTTACGCTTGCAACATATTAGTTGCAGAGCAGGTTGACCTGGTGGTTGACCAGACACAATACCACAACTGGCAGTAACTAACAGACTGATCCATTGACCTAGAAACATTATTGACATAAGATTCTGAAGCTTGCCTCTTGTCTCCAATTGCTTTAATTTTGTTGTATTGATAGTAGTTATGCTGATTCCATCACCCGAACTCACCAGCATTTACAGTTTCTGCAGGGCCTTGGCTTATTAGGCACACTAGATCTTACCTGGTTGCTGCTGTGTACTTGCTTCTGGTCCTAGTTAGTGAAAGCCAGTAACGGTACATCAATCATATTCTCTTTTTCATATACGGTACCATAGTTGATGGCATGAAAGCAATGCATATTCTTGGGCCAAGCAGGCCATAGCCTTATGGTATGGTACCACAGTATGGTGGTCACATCACATACCGGTATCCCGGAAAAAACTAGAAACTGCTTCAGCCTTTTGTAAGGGAATTCCTGTTGCCCCAGCAATCTTGCTTGAACTTGCAGATGCCACAGCATCAATAGACCCAAAGCTGGAAAGTAGCTGCAACAAATATATGGCACCTTCAGTATACATTTGACAGAACAATCTAAATCCCACATAGACAACTCATGGTATGATACCATCTGTGCTTCATGAGGGGCCAAGCCGGGTATGGTTAGTAAGGGTGCAATAATTGCTTCTGGTGATTGCACGAACTCGGTCCTCTGCAAGAATAAGGGTAAGGTTGTAAGATTGGCATGGCTCAAGTTGAACTTAACTGTGCTAGACCTTGAGGGCATCAATGCTGTGAACAGAAATCCGAGTAACATACCTCTTCGTTAAGAAGTGAGGCAGTCTGCTGCTTCTTGGCCTCTGCAAGTTGGTAATGGTCAGTCCTGACTGACTGACGGTTGAAACATGTAAGAGATAAATTCGCTTAGCCCACCTGAAAGAACATGAACCATCCGCAAAAGCTTTTCCACTGCAGATCTCTCGTCAATGACTTCAATGATAGGCGGCTTCACCACACCTTGGTTGTTGTGTCTGAAACCATGGCATGTTAGAGCTGGTCAATAGAGCCAGAAGGGTGTCGAATAATCCGTGTGCCTTACCGGCAATACAGGCGAGCGAAGTCGTTGCTGTCTTGAGAGCTTGGACAGACGCATAAGCCGTATGAATGCCTAAACATCTGGCCGACTTTGATTATCCTGTGCATGACGTTCGTGTCAACATCACTAGGAAAGCGGATCATGCTGGAAACCGAACGTGGCAATCTTACTTTTGCCAGAGCTCACTGTCTGATCTTTGGAAGCTTCCAACCATAAATGCTATGGACATGCCGCCGGAATTGACAATGATGTCCTACAAGAGCATAAACAAGTTAGGGTAACGCTCGACTAAGTTCGGCATTGGTTTTCAGGCGTGACTTCATACTGGCAGTATATTGGATTCCTTTGTTCTAAAGCCGCTTTCAGCCATGAGGAGCTTGTAAACGTTGTAATTGCGAGTCGCCCATGTTGAATTGACGATACAAACACTGGCAGCCATGGGAGCTATGAGAGCACAGAGATTGTTTGGTTTGCAGTGAGAATCTTTCAAAATGTAAAATTGTTGCTCTGCTTGATTGTGGAACAGAATGGGTTCAGCAAAGAGAGATCTCTGTGAGGAGGGCGTACTTTTCACATATGGTCCAAAGTTCAGTACTTTCCCAGTCTGTATCTGCTCGCCTCTGATAGGTGGATACCTTCACAGCCATCTTCACTGTGAACAAAACCCTTCGGTGTTACGGAGAATGCTACGGATTCTGAAAAGAGGAATTTGAACTGTCACTACTCAGAATACGACCCTGGTCATTCAGCCCAAACAGGCTTGTCTGGTTGTACCACCCTGAGCAAAATTGACCTCGAGATTTGCAATGAAGCACTACTCACTCACCACTCACCACTCACTCAAAAAAAATGACTCATGGCAACTCCATCCGGCTTCTGAAGCGACTTCGCCAGCTTCTTATTCAACTTCTGACGTTTACCTGTCTCGTGCTTTCACTCAAGTGCCGGTCTTGCGACGCATTCGCTGGTTCTCCTGATCCTTCCAAAGCTCCTCCCCAGCAGCTTCAGAATGCACAAGGACGCCGATTATTGTACGAACCAGATGCGGCTCTTAGAGCTCGCCATCATCGTTATCGTCATGATTACGGCAAAGTCGCTTCGGTGACATCTGAAATCAACGGTGCTGATGGAAACCTCGGTGTTGCCGCTGAGGGAAGCAGCACTGGTGTCAATGCGGATCTTGATTCTCCGGCTCGCTGTTGGAGCATGTCTGAACGACGTTACTACCGATCTGTATGGCTGAATGGCCGCATGAATATGTATGCATTCTGCATGTGCTCGGATGCATGCAATGGGCTTCTACATCTGGTCGCATGTATGTGTGTGTATTGTACGTGTGCTTTCTATGTAGCACTTCGCATGGATGTGTTTCTGCATGCCTCATTCACGGTTGCATCGTGTTACGATATGGATGTTCCTAGATTCTTGTGAGTGGACATGTCTTTCCTCTCATTCCCATGTCCATATTGACATGTGTTACCTTTAACATGTGTGTCTGTTCACATATCCGTGTGTTGAAATGTGTGGCTTTTAACACGTATTGACATGTCTGTCTAACGACATGTGGGTGTATTGATATCTGTCCCTTGACGTGTGTGACTGTATCGCAGTCGTACAGCAACAAGGCACGCATGTCAGAGGCCCTAGTGCAGCGACTGCAGCATTATTCCACCCTCCATGCAGCATGCACGGCTCCCGTTATCAATTGGCCGGCATTTTTCAATGATTCGTGAGCCTCTTCTCCAAGTCAACTCTAACCTGTAGAATTAATTACCATGTCCAACATCAGATGCAATGTGTTTACACCCAGCAACACTGCATAAGCCCCGCAACGCTGACTCTGCTTCCCCTGCCTCCCGTCGTGCACCATTCTCCTGCCGATGCATGAAGTTCCAAGGGCCTTCAAGAAAATGCGACCGCTGCACACTTGGCCAGGTGCAAGTACCTTCTCTGGGTTGAGCCTAACTACAGTGGTAAGTTCTTCGGACATTACCAACATAGAGCCACAATACATGTTCCATCTCGTCCACTTGTTTCCTCTGTCATATGCACTCCCTCCCATTCCTTTCCTCTCCATCAATCCCTTTCCTCCTCTTCCTGTTTAGGTGTCCATCTCCCTCGTTTCCTCTTTCACCTGCCTCCTCCCCTTCTATCCAATTACCTCATCCTCTCCGCATTTTTACCCCTCCTTCCCCCTCACACACGACACACCCGACCCTTTCTTCCAGGCCTGGGTAACCAGCTGCTCTCCCTCGTCTCCTCCTTTACCTACGCCCTCCTCACCAACCGCACTCTCCTCATCAACCCTGAGTGCTTCCCTGCTCGCCTCCTCTGCAACCCCTTCCCCTACTCCTCCTGGGCTCCTCCCACTCTCAACAGGGGATCCTTCAAGTGAGCACTCGCATTGCTTTCTTCCACTCGCCTTGCTTTTCACTGTAATCTTTTCACCATCTGCGTTTCTCAATGTCCTGTCCCTTATCTTCTTCGTGGCTCGATGAACACCTTTGTCGCCACAGAGCAGACTCAGCGTATGCTGTGAGCAAGCACAACGCCCTGCTCTCTTAAACGACCCTTTGTATCAATTCCACAGCGTCCTGCTCTCCCCATCTCCCCTTGCATGCCCTCGCTGCCCCGTTCTTCCACTCCCCCGTTCGCCCATCTCCAGCCACATGAGGCTGAGAGCTGAGAAGAGGCGTGTGGGTTACAATGCGTTTCAAGAACCAGGTGCACCTGAAGCAAACACCACGGATGACGATGCTGCTGATGCTGTGTTCAGCAACCTCAATTACTCGTGAGTCACACCAATCTTAATCTCAAATAATCACACAGCAACCTTCTGTTCCCTCACAGTCACCTCACAATCTCATGCCCTTCTCCTCTCTCTTCGTCGTTACTTCCGTCCTCTCCCTCCCATCTGCCTTGCGCACAGAGTGAATGACACAGATCTCATATTCTTCTGCTCGCAGGAGCAAGAGAGAATCGCAGCCGTCCGTTTCCTGGCTCTGCTCACAGAGGAGTACGTTCTGCCTGGCTTGTACCTCGTGTCCGAATTCGATGTATGTGTCCTCTTCCTATCCATCTTTCTCTTCTCGTTCCCATGCCCCCTTTCTCTTTCATGCAAAGTCTGTTTTTCTTCGGAAGTGTTGCCCACATTCTCATATGATCCTTGTCAGTTGCTTTCTCGCTGTCCCTTTCTCTTAAAAGGAACCCCACCTTGCAATCTGATGTCAAGAGGCTGGTCCCGGGATACCTGTTACTGGTGCACGTGGCCCAGCAGTACGGGTCCCCTTTCTCCCTCGTCCCCCTCCTGCTGTTCTCTAATCTTCTCTATGCCCCTCTTTTTCCAGGCTGACCTGGAGCGCCTGTTCCCCGACCGCCTGCCGTTGATGCACGTGGGGCGCTACCTGCTGCACCCCGCCAACTACCTCTGGGAGGAAATCACCCGCGCCTTCCGAGCCTACCTCGCCCCGCACCAACGCAGGGTCGGCATCCAGGTTCGTATGAACCCAGCCTCAGCGTTCAAGTGCTTGGTTGGAAGAGCAGGTTTGGCACCCAGGCGGGGTCCAATGCAAGATAGGAACTCTGGTAGTCTGAGTACTCTTCGTTTTATTATTAGTAATAGGAAGCTGTCGGACCTATCCTTGAGGCTCCTCCCTCCTCAGCCGGGCCCTTTTCCTCCTTCTTTTTCTCCATTCTCCTCTCCCTCGCATCATCCGTGACTTTACCCCTGCCAGCAGCAACGAGGGAGAGGCCCTTGCCCGTGTCTTTTGTCTGCTCCCTCCTACTTTTTCCTCCGTTCTTGTATTGCGTTCCTCTCTCCTCCTCCCTCCCGTGCATCAGATCCGTGACTTCACCACAGCCACCAGCAACGAGGGTGAGGCCCTTGCCCGTGTGCTGCACTGTGCTGCCAACATCTCCCATGGGCTGCCCCCCACACTGCCCCATGACCAGTGGCGACTTCTGGCGAGCAACCAGGTAAACAAAACAATTTAATCTGGGGAACCTCCCTGCCCTCTCTTTTGCGAGACGCTTCTCCCCAACGTCGTTCTGTTTGATGCATCATGATCACAGCACATATCACCCCAGTCTTGTCTCGTTCGCATTAAAGTTTTTTCTGTTCACATCTCATCTCCGTCCATGCTGTCCTGTTCCACATCATAGAGCGCAGCCAACTCAAGTGATATGGAGCCAATCCGGAAGGCAGCAGGAGCCGGCACTGTGCGCAGCGTCGGTGTGTTGGTGGCTTCACTAAAGCGCTCCTATGTGGATGCATTACACGAGGCATATGTGGAAGGGTTACCACTGGAGGGTTACAATGTTGCAGTTACCAGGTGAGAATTGCTTCTCACATCATAAAAGGGTCATTGCATCATACCTCATAGGATATCATCACTACCGCTCCCTTTTCCTTGTTCTCTGTTTTCTGAGGCACTTACAGCACGGCTTTCCCTCATGTCACTGCCTCCTTCGCTCCATGTGTGCAGTTTGAGTCATGAGGGCGAGCAGAAGACAGGCGATCTGCTGCAACTGGAGAGAGCTCTCAAGGAGATGTGGCTGCTCTCCATGTGGTGCGGTTCATGTGTTACTGATCATGTGGTACTGTTCATGTGGTTTTGTTCGTGTGGTATTGTTCGTCTATATTGTTCATGTGGTATTGTTCATTTTGTACTGTTCAAGGGGCACTGTTCATGTGGAACTGTTCACCGGAATCGCTCATGGTTTTTTCTTTCTTCTCTTTTCGTGTGGATTATATCATGCAATCATGCTTATGCCTTCAATTCTGTCCATGTGGAGTTAGGAGTTTACCTATTACCCACCATGCATCGCCTGCTTCTTTTCCACCCACCCTCTCCCCCACCCCTCCACCCCAGCGATCTGCTGCTGGTGAGTGACAGCTCCACCTTGGCTACATGGCAGTCAGGCTGGAAGGCAGGAGTGCAGCGTGCCTGTTGATACCCTCCTCACCCACCTCATGCCCCACCTCTCCCCACTCCCCTCACCCCCCAGCGACCTGCTCCTGGTGAGTGACAGCTCCACCTTTGGGTACATGGCAGCTGGGCTGGCAGGGGTGAGTCCCTTCTCCCTCAACATCGTGCCACGGATGAAATCTGACTGGCTGCACAACGGACGGCCAGCGTGCGTTGCTACGACTCCAGAGGCCTGCTATCTGACTATGCTAGACAACAAGCAACAACATGTACAGGTAATGGTCATGACAAGAGTACATAGGTGGATCTGAGTTTTTTCTCCTTCACCGGATGATATCTTCTCTTTTAAATTTTAAAATATTTATAATATTGTTTCCACATTCTTCCATCTCAACCAATAAATTCGCATTCTCTTCCCGTTTTGCATGTGCTCTGCATGGTTTTCTGCTCTGTGGTTTGTATTGCACCAGTGTCCAGGCACTGTGGCGCGCTCTCCTCTCAATATAACTGCTAAGCTTAGATTTTGCCATAATTTCAAGGCTGGAATCGTTCTTGACGTTCCTAATGCTGAACAGCTTGCATCCTTTAGGCACACTTAGATTTGGAATCATCTTGTTGTTCTGATTCAAATAGCGAGTTCCAGAATCAGTGGTTTTCGCAAGGCTACCCCCGCTAGAGAGCAAGCGACCCGTATCGCCGTGGATTGGCTGGAGGCGCTGGCTATTTTGGGACACGCCCTCGTCGTGTGTGAATTTCGTTTTCTTGATATGCATAAATTACTGAATTCTGCGCGCCTCCACTTATTATATCCACGCTGTTCAATTCAATCCACTCACGAGCTCGTAATTCACATCTAGCCATGGCGAGGCGTCCGTATTTCGTTCTTCTATTCGTCCTTGCCACGCTCGCTAATCTCCACGGACAGGCGGCTTCCCCGCCTCCCGCGCCGGGCTTGCCGGCTGCCCCAGGCATGGCGTCGTCCATCTGCCCGTTAACAGGGCTGCCCCCCAAAAAACCCACCATTCCGATTGCACGTTGCCCGGCCGCCAAGGACCAATCATGCTGCGACAACTGTACGGATATGAGCACGGCTTTGCAGCTGGTAGCATCAAGTCTAAAGGACGTGGTGACTCAGATTAACCCCACCATCGCTGATGGGATCGATTCTAGCATAGCGGTGCGTTGGCAGGCTTAGAGGCGCAATTGTCGCATGATGCGGCTCTTATGCAAAATTTTCCATGGGGGCCCTCATAGGTTCAGCTCAAGAGCCTGATTCCGGAGTCATGCACTCAAAAGCCTCGTCATGAGACTCTCTTCCTCGCCTGCTCCATCTCATGTTCCTCCAGGTGTGCGATATCTTCATAGGCATGACGCCATGCTTGCAGCTCCTAGAGGACCTTGTGTGCGGGCTCTCCTGCAACCCTAATGCTGGGTCCTACGCGACAAAATCCAACACGGGGGTGATCATGAACGTGTGCTCGGATCTAGCAGACAAAGTATTCGCACAGTGCAAGGGCCTTGCTTGTGAGTACCATCAGAGTATCCATATACGTATGTGACACTAGAACCATTAGTCGTCTTGAATGTGTGCTCGGATCTGGCAGAAAGAGTATTCGCATGGTGCAACGGCCTTAAGTGAGTATCTTCAGGATATTCACTCACACTTATAGAGTTTTCTAGTTCTAAATATTTAGACGTTTTAAGCATGAACGTGTGCTCAGACCTAGCAGACAGAATATTCGCACGGTGCAAGGGGCTCGAATGTGAATGTCATCAGGATGTATACATTTCAAATTTCTCCAAGTTTTGATATGTCTCACAGCCTGATGTTTGCTCAAATCTGGAAGACAATGTCTTCGCATGGAGCAAGAGCCGTGCTTGTGAGTATTCATGTCCTGCTCAGGGTGCAAGGGTAACTCATATGATTATGACAGACACATGAGCCTGCTTCTTGTTACTAGTGCATGTTCTTATGCATGTCAGACCCGCTATAAGCTTCTCTGTTACTGTCAATTGTCTTTTGCTCCACACTTTGTTTTCACTGGATTCCCCCCTTTTCCTTTCTCTGTTCACTTCACCCTTCGCTCCAAGCACAGTCGGTGACATTTCCCTTTCAGGACTGGTTACCACAGCTGACGAATTCATGAACCTCATTGTTACAAACGTGGTCAAGACACTTGGAGTCGAGGGCTTTGAGGTCCAAATATCCTCAGTAAGCGCTTCTCACACGTTCTTTTGTGCTTCCCCTTTCCCGCGCTCGTCCACTTCTCTACCACTTGTTTCTCGTGTTGTTTCTCCCTCCATCCCTTCGTTCAAGTTCATCGTGAATTGTCTGTGGTAAGGTTTTGTTTCAATTGGGATGCCAAGCAGAGTGAGGTTTTCTTGCACAACCAATGTGCAATGCACCATACTGTTCTGAAAGGTTTTGATCTCATCTCTTAGCTTACTGACCTAATTTTCTTCTATTTCCCCCCTTTTCTTTCTCTCAAACATTCTTCCCCCCCCCGCACCCCCCACTTCACCTTTCTCTTCGTGCCCATAACTTCGTTTCCTAGTCACCTTGCTTCAACGGCACTGGCGCATATCCCCCATACACTGCCTGTTGCGATCCTCTCGACGTGCCTGCCACCTGTCCTGCCAACATCACCGCAAAATATGGCGGTCGTATTGGTCGATCCATTGATTCGGCTACGTGCCAAGCCACCACACCCCCTCCATTGCCACCCACAACTAGTACCACGGCGAACCCCCCACCCCCCCTTCCTCCTCCCCCTCCCAAAACTGGCTCGTCAGCTATTGCAGCCCGTTATTTATTTTCTAGCTATGTGCTTTATGTGGCCATAGGGATGCTTGCTCCTATAGTATTTTGAGGTATAAGTATGTGGGGATTTTTGGGATCCTGCTGTACAGAACAGACAGACATTGGCAAACCAACATTTGTATTTTGACCCAAGGAACGATTCATACACAGTGGTGATTTGACCCAGCTATGACCTCACAAGTCATGTCACCCTAGTCTGCTGCTCTTACGTCTTGCCTGATAAGCCCACCCCCCGGGATACACCACCACCTCTACGGATTTCTCAGCCTTCAGAAGGTGATACAATCAGCTTCCTCCTACTTTCCCCCGAAGGGATGCCCCAAATCCGGACTGTAACGTGATGGACCGCATCTCAGTTGAAGGGAAGTTGCCACGTTATTGAACCGTGGAACCAGCCAGTGTCGATGCAATCTATCTGATGAAGACCAAACAGTTGCGGAGTGTTATATTTGATTGAACTTATCTCATTTATCCCAAGGTTATGTAGTGTACATTCCAGCCACACTCGAGGTTGAATAGAAATCCATGTTATCGGACTGCGAGGCCCAGCAGTTTCTAGAAACGCTTTTCTTCATTCGGTTCCAAAAGGAAACACGGCAGTTTTCGGCGGATTTCGGTCGCCATTTGGAGGTGGAGACCGTCAGAAACACCTGTCGACCACCTGAGCCTGACGGGCCTCCAAATTTTTGTTAACGGTGCAGATCTAAAGTTGCGGCAGACGATATTTGTTTGGCCGTTCAAAACTCTTTGACAGCTCGTTTGGAGCCTTCTGATCACCAAAACGCGCCCTAGCTCCTGGAACGACAGAAGATGCACTATGCAAGCACGTTCGCTGCCACTGCTGTCGGCGGTCCGTGACGACGATCGCTAGGTTACCTAGTTCTGCAATTCGACGATCTCGTCAACCGTGCCGCTGCAGTGATTCTGTTAGTCACTGAGCTGGAAACGAATATTGTAGCTCATTTATGCGCTCTCGCCGATCAGTGTTTCCTTCCCAGACCTAGATAATTTATCTGTCGGTGTAGCAAAAAGAAGTTATTCTCTGGCCAAGTTCCTCATCTGCCCTTAGCTCAGCTGACGATTGCATATTCCTTCTCCTGGAGTAACAGGCTCGTATATCCTCGATTACTTGACCACAACACAGATGCGACCATAGTGCAGGGATCGCATTGTAAAGTTTGCGGCTCAGGTTGACACGAATCCTGTCGCCGAACTTTGTGGGCTGTCGCTTAAGGGACGCTAAGGTGGTACTCGTAGCGTGTGGGCCGTCGAGTGGAAAAAAGAAGAAAAACATAATGGCGAAAATCGCTGCCCAGTTGTTGTTCCTCGTCGTCGTCGCCACTCTCTCCGTCGCACACGTCCACAGCCTGTCGCCAGCAGCATCGCCGTCGCCGAAATATCCCGCGTGCCCGTTCACGGGGAAGCAGCCGACAAAACCGGCGGTTCCCCCGTCGCGATGCATGGCCGCTGTCGATGCGTCCTGCTGCGCGGACTGCACGGATCTGAACACGGCCCTCGGGATTGTCGGGACGAATCTTACCAGCGTCGTGTCGCAGATTAGCCCGCAGTTTGTAGACCTGATCGACCCGAAGCTCAAGGTGAGCCGAGCCCACCGCGGGCTGTATTTTCGAGTTTTGGGTCAACTAGAAGCTCAAGGTCGGCCGAATTCGTTTGCAGTGGCTGTATGTTATCAATGCGGACTTGATGGCAACACCAGCACGTTTCGATATTGCTTCTTGTCACGACAAAACAATAACCCGAGTAGCAAAGAGCGATTTGACTAATAAAAACCTAAGACTTTTGGCAGTTCCGTCCGTCGCGTCTTGCGCACGGCGGTCGGTTCGCATACGCGATATCTGCTGTGCTTCTGCTTTAAATCTCCACGATCTCGACTACATGTCTCATTTTTCATTGTTTCCTTTCCTCATCGTCTTCATTTCTTCCAAATGCTCAATCAACCACCTCAGGTATGCGATCTATTCACGGGTCAGGCGAAGTGCGCGCAGCTGATGGAACATCTGCTGAGCGGTTGGTTTACTGTCCATGATTCTCTTTCCCATGTTTTCTTGTTTCATCAAAACAATCACCGCAGGTGTGCGATCTATTCACGGGTCAGGCGCAGTGCGCGCAGCTCATAGAGGATCTGCTGTGCGGAATAACATGCAACCCTAACTCCGGGTCCTACGTGGCGGTTGTTCCCAACAATTCCACCACCATGACGGTCTGCACTGGCTACGCGGACACCCTCTTCAAAGCATGCAGCGGCCTTTCACGTGAGCATTCCTCGTTCAAGCCTCTCCACCATGTAATCAGTCCTTTCCTCACCTGTCCATCATGCAAGCAGTCGCCGTTGTTCCCAGCAATCCCACCACCATGACGGTCTGCACTGGCTACGCGGACACCTTCTTTCAAGCCTGCAGCGGCCTTTCCTGCAAGTTTTTTCCACTTTCTAGGCTCGTCAAAAACAGATTCCCAGACACATCCATCCACCACCATGACTGTCCGCAGTGGCGCTCTCCCGTAAGAATTTGTTTCATTTTAGGCTCCTCAAAACTTCACTTCTGGCTCATCCACCACGAATACCGTCTGCATGCACTGGCTAAGTGGACACGCGGACACCATTTTCAAAGCCTGCAGTGGCCTTTCCCATTCTTTTTTCTCTTTTTAGTGGACTAGGGCTTGCAAAGTTGTAATGACCAATGCGAATGGTCGACCCCCTTTTTTTCCGCGCGAGCTCAACTCCTCTCCCTCCCTCTCCTTTCATTCTTCCCACTCTGAGCAACAGTGGGCGATGGTATGGATCTGACGGGGCTCATCACCTCTTACCCGGACTTCATGAACATCATCGTGGCTAACGTTGTCAAGTCCCTTGGGATTGCCAACTTCAAGTTCGAATTCACTACAGTGAGTAACTGTGCTACTGTGAGTAAAACTGTATTACATCTTACCCGGACTTCATGAACATCATCGTGGCTAATGTCGTCAAGTCCCTCAACATACCCACCCAACTTCAAGTTCGAATTCACTACAGTGTGTAACTGTATTGCAATGAGTACTAGCTGTGCTACAGTGAGTAACTGCTCGTATGCAGTGCTATCACTGTTAAGAACTGCGTATCTGTTCCGTAGCTGCCCCCTAAACAGTCTGTGTCACCAGCAGTGAAGTCTACCTCACAAGCGTTGGTTGCTGCAACCTTCCGCAGTCCCTTGCTTGTGCTGCTCTGCCTCTCCCACCCATCCGTCCCCCCTACCCTCCCTTTCTTTAGACTCACTGCTCCACCAGCAGCGGAGTCTACTCAACCAAAATTGCCTGCTTCAACCCTCTCAGTGTCCCCTCCACCCTATTGCCCCCTCCCCCCCTCTCCCCTGTTGCCCCCTCCCCCCTTCTCCCCTATTGCCCCCTTCCCCCCTCTCCCCTATTGTCCCCTCTCTCCCTCTCTCCTCCCGCCTCCCTCCCCTCAGACTCGCTGTTTCACCAGCAGTGGAGTCTACCCCGCCAACATTGCCTGCTGCGACCCTCTCAACGTCTCCTTTCCCCTCTCTTTCAACCCCCCCTCCCCCCTCCCCCTCCCACTCTCCCCCCTCTCCCCTCAGACTCGCTGTTTCACTAGCAGTGGAGTCTACCCCGCCAACATTGCCTGCTGCGACCCTCTCAGTGTCCCTGCCACCTGTCCTGCCGGTTCGGTCAACACCACCGAATACGCCGATCTGATTGGCCGAACCATCGACCCAGCCAACTGCGCAGCCTCCACTCCTTCCGCCCCTCCCTCCGCATCTGCCCCTGGTTCAGCCCCCCTGCCCTCCCCGCCCCCAACTGCGTCCCCCTCCACATCTCCGCCCAAGGAAACCACCCCCTCCCCACCGCCGCCTATGGTTACCACCCCCTCCCCATCTCCTGCAGTTTCTCCCCCCTCCCCTTCCCCGCCCTCTTCGTCTTCCTCTCCTCCCACCCCGCCTGCTCCTGCATCTCCCAAAACAGGCTCGCCCTCCGCTGCTTGCTATGCATCGGTGGTTAGATACCTTATTTATGGGGCTGTGGCTTTGCTTGTGCTGTAGTGTGGTGGACTAATTATTAGCTAGGGGACACACTATACGATGACACTTATTGCGTAGGCACTGTATTTGGGTAAATGCTTTTGGTTTAGTTGATTCAGCTTTTGGGGTTGAAGCAGACTCCCTATACTGTATTGATAGTCTGGTTGATGTGTATGAGCATTTGCTGAAATGGAATATCTGCATGTAAAGAGGCTGTTCTATGGGGACATCAACGAATCGCGTGGTCCGTATCATAGAGGGTGGTCGCAACGAATTGCGTCTCTTAGTCGGAAATTCGCCAGACCCTCTTGGCCAATAACGTTGCCCGACAACTCTGTTTCCGTGTCTTCCAGCCGTGCTTGAAGAGATACACCTCGAGAATAGGAATATTTCTTGGAGTACTGAAAACAGGCTTTCATGTACAGAACACCGCAAACTGCAATTCCATGTGCACTGGAATTCCAACCGTCCACGTGTATTCTCCATTTCAGCCCTAGATGCCCGACGATCCACCAGCGGGGTGCGATGCGTGCGGCACCGAATTGTGCTGCTTCAAGTGCGAAAATTGTCCCCTTCGTGTCGTTCCATCTTCCCCAATGAGTACCTTCTTAGTCATTCATTAGCAGAAAGTGTTTGTAACCTCGTGTTTCACTGTCTGATGGAAGAGCATGATGCTTTTGGCAATGCTTCCGCTACCCTTTTGCTCCAAACAGCTTCATTTTGACCTCTGACGACTTTCTGGATAATGTTCTGAAAATAACTTACAAATACGGGTTCTTCCGAAAGCTAGGGTTTACCGGATCAGAGAAAGCTCGCCCCTTCCTGCTCCCTCCACCATCAATTTCATTTCCATTTCTTCCTTTTTCCATCGGGAAACTATATTCCAGGTCCATACTTTCAGATTTCTCTCAAATTTAGCCCCAGGTTCACTCAAAAAGTACTACTTTCTAGAATTTCGCTCACGCGAGGCCTAAAGTATGTTCAAAACTGGTCCTGCGGGGCGAAGTTTTCGACACGTGTCCGATTTCGCTTGGAAAAAATTTCGACGGGGCAAAAAATAATAAAACCCCTCGGGAACTAGGGCACATTTGCGGGAGGGATCAACCCTCAACACCAAGCGGGTCCCCGTGTTTAGGGTTGGTCCCTCCCGAACGTGTGTCCTGGTTCCCCTAGGGGTTTTATGTTTTTTGCCCCCGTCAGAAATTGCTAATACGAAATAGGACACGTGTCGAAAATTTTGCTCGCAGGACCAGTTTTGAACATAATCTGGGCCTCGCGTGAGCAAACTTCCAGAAAGCTGTACTTTTTGAGTGAACTTAAGACTAAATTTGAGATATTTTTGAAACTATGGAGCTGGTATATACTTTCCCATTTCCATCCCTCGGATTCCGCAGAACGGCCATCGTGCTTGGATTGGGTTTGGTTGTCTGTCTGTGTGTCTGTGCTGTCGTCCTATCAGCTTTCTTTATTCACCCTGCACCCCTCTGCGCAACCTCTTCCTTGCGGCGCATCGCTCGCGTCGCGTCTTAAAGTACAGCCAGAAATCCTCTCGCATTCGCTGCTAGCACTCGATACTGATACACCCGCTGCTGTCACCCTCAGCTGCTTTTACGCCCGCCTCTGTTAAACTCGCTACTGTCGCCCTCGCGGCGGTTGTCACACGCGCCGACCGTTCAATACGTTCTCAGACCGGCAGACACCATCATGGCCATCCAAACGTCTCCCCGCAGCGCGCCGTTTTCTCGAAGCGCGCCGTCTCCTCGTACCGCGCGGTCTACTCGCAGCCCGCCGTCTCCGCTCCTCGTCGTCGTCCTCCTCGTCGCCGCCGCCCTCTACCCTTCCCCCACTCTCGCCGCGCCATCCGCAAATCCCGCTCCGCCACTTCTCATCATGCCCGCCGCCCCGTCCCCTTCCGCACCCCTCATCCCCCCCGCCCCTGCCACCTCTCCGCCCACCTCCTCTCCCCCCGCCCCGCCCGCCTCCTCCTTCCCCGCGTGCCCCGTGACGGGGAAGCGTCCGCAGAAGCCCAAGGTGCCACCGACCAGGTGTCCCGGCGCTGCTGAGCTGTCGTGCTGTGATTCGTGCACGGATCTGAACTCGGCGCTGATGCTCGTGGGGTCCACGCTAGGCGATCTCGTGGCGGCTATCGACCCCGCGCTGCTGGATTTCGTCAATGCAACTCTCAAGGTGCGGTTACTGTAGCTCGTTGTGCCTCGCGTGCTTTAAACGAGTCATCTTGTGGCGGTTATCGACCCCGCGCTGCTGGACTTTACAAACGGGACAACCAAGGTGGGTTTGTGATTGTATCTTGCATGCCGCTTAGCGAATGATCTTATAGCGATGGCCTCGGTTCCGCCGCGCTGCAGAATGCAAAGCTGTAACAATGGCTTTCACGTTGAGTATACTTTTACGTTGGCTTGAATGGCATTCGTCAGGCTTTCAATTCGCTTCGCTGAATTGCGATTTCAAAGCATCAAATTGGGCTTTCTGTGAGGTGGTTCCGGGGTTAAATGCGACAAAATGCGCCCTGTTTGCCGGCCAGTCAAGTGTGCGCAGGCCAAGGAGGACCTGGTGTTGGTCGTTCCCCAAACACCGTGCACGTGTAGAGAGGGTGTTTTTGAGACGTCTCAGAAACACCCTCTCTACTCTACACGTGGCTGTTTGCCGGCCAGATCAAGTGTAGGCCAAGGAGGACAAGGTGTTGATCGTTTCCCAACCACCCTGCACCCAACTGCACCTCTTCACGCGCCCTCCCCACCCTCCACTTATTCACACTCCCCCTCCCTGCTGCAGATCTGCGACCTGTTTGCCGGCCAGATCAAGTGCGCGCAGGCCATGGAGGATCTGGTCTGCGCCGCCCAGTGCAACCCCGACGCCGGCAACTACATCAAACCCGCCGCCCCTGCCGCTGCCACTGCTGGTCCCACCATGACCGTTTGCACGGCCTATGCCGAAAAAGTGTTCAACAGCTGTCAGGGGCTGTCAGGTACGTGTGATGCCGGTGCTACCGGTGCTGCTGCTAGTGCTGCTGTTACCAGTGCTGCTGCCACTGCTGGTCCCACCATGACCGTGTGCACGGCCTATGCTGAAAAAGTGTTCGCCAGTTGCCAGGGCCTCTCAGGAACGTGTGGTGTGGTGCCAGTGCTACCGGTGTTGCTGATAATGCTGTTATGAGAGATGCCGCTGTCACGTACGTAACGCCTTCACTGAAGGTGACTGCAGACTTCGTTTTTATTTAGAAGAAAAGAAAGAAAGAAAGAAAAAACTCAAAGTACACTTCTTTTATCAGGTGACTTTTATGATTTCTCATATTAATCTGTGCTTGCCATCATTATGTACCTTTCTCTCTTTGCTTCCGCGTTTTCTCACTTCCATCCACCCCCCCCAGTTGGTGATGGCATGGACCTGACAGCCATCATTCCAGACGCAAAGAATTTCATGTCCATGGTGGTGGGGAACATAGTCAAAGTGCTGGGCGTGAAGGGCTTCACAGCCAAAGTGGGAGCGGTGAGTGGGTGCGGATGGGTGTGGGTGGGTGTGGGCATTGCTTGACACGTGTCAGGAGAAGACACACATGGGATGGTAATGAGTGCATGGCCCCATGTCCATGGTGGTGGGGAACATAGTCAAAGTGCTGGGGGGCTTCACAGCCAAAGTGGGAGCGGTGAGTTGTGAGAGGGCATTGCCTGGCACGTGCGATTGGGTTAAGGCACATGAGAGTGCAGTGCAATTTCATGTCCATGGTGGTGGGGAACATAGTCAAAGTGCTGGGGGTGAAGGGCTTCACAGCCAAAGTGAGAGCGGTGAGTGGGTGCGGATGGGTGTGGGTGGGTGTGGGCATTGCTTGACACGTCTGAGTGGGTGTCTGAGTGTCTCATGGCACGTGTCAGGGAGTTGGTCAATCAAGCACATGGGTTACCTGGTTACCTGGTTACCCTGGTACCATGCCCCTCTGCTCATTTTCACCCCTCCCCTCCCCGCCCTCTGTCCCCCTTCCAGACCAACTGTTTCGCAGGCACAACCCAGTCCACTCCCTACATTGCCTGCTGCTACCCCCTCACGGTCCCGCCTACCTGCTGACCTATCAGCGTGTTTCCTCCCTCTGTCTCCCCCCCCTCTTTTCCAGACCAACTGTTTCGCAGGCACAACCCAGTCCCCCCCCTACATTGCCTGCTGCGACCCCCTCACCGTCCCCGCCACCTGCCCTGCTACAGGCATCAACACCACTCGCTATGCCTCCATTATCAACCGACCAATCAACTCCTCCGCCTGCCAGGCTGGCATCCTCCCCCCGCCCGCCCCTGCCCCTGCCCCTGCCGCCCCTCCCGCCCCTGCTCCCGCCCCTCCTCCCGAATTTTCACCTGAATCCTCCCCTGCACCTGCTCCGGCTCCTGCTGTTGACGTTCCTCCCTCCTCTCCTCCCACTTCTCCTCCCTCCGCTCCTCCCCCCTCAACTCCCACTCCTCCCCTTCCCCTCACTCCCAGCCCTCCCTCCCCGGTCGCATCAACACCCCCTCCCTCCGCTCCTCCCACTCTCTCCCCCTCTCCTCCCTCTCCCTCCTCTCCCTCCTCTCCTTCCTCTCCCTCCTCTCCCTCCTCTCCCTCCTCTCCCTCAACCACCACTCCATCCCCTTCCCCTCCTCCTCCAAAAACGTCCTCCCATCCTGCTTCCTCCTACCTTTCCCTCCTCTCCTCTCTCCTCTTTTCTGGTGTCACCCTGCTAGCACCAGCACTCCTGCTGTGACCCCCTCCCCCTCCTTCAAAACCTGCCTCTCCTCCTGCATCGGACTAGCTCTCCCTTCTCTCCCCTCCTCTCTCTCTCTCTACTCTTTGCCGGTGTCGCCCTGCTAGCACCAGCACTGCTGCTGTGAATCCCTCTTACCGGATCAGGCTTATTCTTCTTCCCCTGCATCTGCTTTTTGTTCCATGCTTTACCTTTCCTCCGCCTGCCTCCCCCTTCTGACCTCACCGTGATGCATCCGGGGAATTATACACCTCACCTCCCCTTTCATCCGTTTTTTTGGATGAGTAGTTTCAATAGTGGTCGCCCATTCTTCGTATATATTCTGAGATCGTCATTTGTATTTATCAAAACACAGGCATACTGCGTTACAAGGTACCAATGACATGCCTATCTTGACCAAAAAAGAATGCAATTTTCAAATACGAGAATTTTCAAACAATTTGTTTCTTGAATTCAGCATAACAAGGTATAAGGTCCAAAGTCATATGACACCTAGGGTGATAACGCTTGGGAGATACTTTCTTCGGACAGCCAATCAGTCAGCCTATCAGACTATCAGACTATCAGTTCAGTTATCCGCCTAACAGTCAGTCTAATGAATTACAAAACCTTTCCAACGCCACCATGCCATTCCTGCCTGCAAACCCACAAGCACCCGAGTCACGACACATTCATCACTCGTTCCCTCGCAACCAATCACAGCCCACAAGCAACCCAAACCATGCCCAGCCAACACCCAACCGTTACCACTTACCCATTCCCACCACCCAGCAACGCCCACCACCCAATCCAATCCCGCACCAGCCCTCTCAGGGCAATGCACGCAGAAAGAAACCCAGTTCAAACAAGCACATGCAGCAGCAGGCTCCTCCTCACAGAAACACAGCGACTGTAGCCAGCAACAAGGCCGCAACAAAGCCTTAGAGACGTCTCAATAGTCAGAGCAGCAGGCACGTTAGACTCCTCACAGAAACACAGCGACTGTAGCCAGCAACAAAGCCGCCGTCGTCGCCGCCACAGCAGCAGAAGAGGTGGTGGGAGCGGCCTTGGAAGGAGGAGAGGGAGGAGGAGGAGGCCTAGTGCCATTCTCAGAACCGGTCAGGGGTCCGTCCGGGGAAGAAGGCACAGCAGGAGCAGGCGGAGAGGGAGACGGGGATCCGGCAGGGGCGGGAGGAGGTGCAGGGGTTGAACCAGGAGCAGCAGGAGCAGGGGGAGAGGGGGAGGAGGAGGGGGCGGAGGCGGAAGGAGGAGGGGGAGGGGAGGCGGAGAGGCAGAGAGAGGAGTTGATGGTTCGGCCGATGGTGTCGGGGTATTTAGAAGGGTCTATAGAGCCTAGGGGGCAGGAGGAGGGGAGAGAGAGCGGGTCGCAGCAGGCTGGAGTGGCTGGGACGAGTGGTGATCCGTTGAAACAGGAGGTCTGGCGAAGCGAGGGGGGACGATGTGTGAAGAGGGTAGGGGGGCCAAGACGAGTGTGGATATGAGGGGGTATGTCAGCCTGCGAGGCAGTGGTATTGGTTGTGAGTGTGAATGGTCGTGCAAACCCGAATGTGAATGATCCACATACATGTGCATAGCTGCGTGTGCATAGATGCATGTGCATGTGTTCCACCTACATGGAGATATGAATGTGTGCATGTGCATTTGTTGATGAATATGTTCATTATGTTGGCGTGTTTGTTACTGTACCTCTAGCACAGTAATGTTGAAGCTACTAATGCCCATGGCGACGCCAATGATGCTGCTGACAACTGTGCTTAGGAACGTGGCAGCATCCGGAATGGTTGACTCGAGTGTCATATTCCCAACTGCACATTTAGGGATGTAAACCATACACGTAAATAGGGGAGGCATGGTGGTAAGTAGGCTGATATCGAAACTTGAGTAGAAAGGAACAAAGAAATGAAAGCACCCGCACTCATTAGCACATGTGAACCCACACAGACATACACATCCGCACACATACCCAGGCACACCCTCACAAACACATTTATATGCATGCATGCATCCATCCAAACGAGCACAATATCTTGGGTATTCCTTACTTGTAGTTCCCTTGCACACTTCATAGGCGAAGGAAGCATAGCTAGGGCACACAGCCATGGAGACCGCACCGTCTGACACCGACACATATCGACCCGCATCTGCACGCGCGACATAGAAATTTTAAATTATGTTTCTGAACAATGTAGAACACAGGACGAAAAATATGAAAAAGATTGGCTAAAAAAAATGACCGGATAAAGGTAAAACGATTGAGGGCAACCATTGAAGGAAGATATATAGCAACATATGAAATCAATGAGCTGTAACGCACCTGGGTTACATGTGAGTGCGCAGACCATATCCTCAATTGATTGCTCGCACATGAGGTCACTGTAGAGATCGCACAGCTGAACAGGCAAGTGGCGAAGCGAAACAGGGAGACGAAAACGGGGGCGAAAACAGTAAGGGACCTAACGGAACAGATGTAACAGAAAGACAAAAAGAAATCACTGACTGTTGCAATCACGGAAAAAAAAAAGGGGGTTGAACATAGAATTTTCCCCGATCCCACCTTGAGACTGGAATCCACGGAATTTGCCGGGCCGATCCGTTTCACCACATCTTCCAGCTTCGTAGTGACGAGTTTCAACGCGCCATCAATGTCCTGGCAGGCGGTGCAGCAGGAGAGATTCGCCGCAGCAGGGCAGCGCGGCATGGCGCTGCCTGGCGGGTACGGGCTGTTATTGGTGAAGGGGCACTTGGGGAAGGTGGTAACTGGGGGGGGCGACGGGGCGGCAGACGAGGCGGGTGCTGGGGCGGACCCGGGGGCGGAGGGGGAAGGGGCGGGGGCGGAAGAGGGGGCAGCAGGGGGAGGAGGAGGCGGAAGGAGGCTGCCCATGCAGGACTGGGAGTCAATGGTGCGGTTGATCAGATCGGAAGGGAAGTTAGAGGGGTTCAGTGCGGTTGCAGGGCAGGTGGAAGGGGCTGCGAGGGGGTCGCAGCAGGCAGTGTAGGTTGGGTAAACCCCAGTGCCGTTGAAACAGGAGGAATCGGAATCGTCAATGGTTAAGTTGGTTACACTCGATCCCATGAGTTTGGTCATGTTGCCCCCGAATGATGTGAGGAGGGAGGAGGCATTGGGAAAGAGCGCAGAGATAGAGACGTTGTTCACTGCAAGGGGGAAAAAGAGCGTGGGGAGCGGGGGGAGAGGGGGGAGGAGGGAAGGTGGGAGGTGGGAGAGGGGGGGTGATCAGAATTGTGAAAAAAAGACGCGCGGAGGGAAGAGGCGCTGGGACAGAGTCTAGAGAAAGAGATTTGCCTGGGTGTGAAGAAAGTGCGCGTGAAGAATGGTGCAATATGTCGGTTCGGACGAGGGGAGAGGATAAAAAGGGGAGAACCTAATGCAACCTGCAGGTTTTGAGGAACATAGCACTTACTCCACACAGGGCTGCACGCGGTGTAGAGGGCGTCAGCAAAGGCAGTGCACACGCGCATGGTGGTGCCACTTATGTAAGCGCCAGAATCTGGGAATTAATCACACAGCCACGCGGGGGAGGAGGGGAGCAAAGAGGTGGGGGAAGGTACGGGCGGAGAAGAACATCATCACTTGGGTTACACGACGACTCGCAGTTGAGGTCCTCGACCAGCTGCAGGCACCGCTGCTGGTCTTCGAACCCCTTGCACACACCCGAGCTCGGGTTATTGTTTGGTTATTATTAAATAGTTTTCAACACATCGTTTTCATTTGACTCACTTGGGTTACACGATGACGCGCAGTCGAGATCTTCCAGCAGCTGCAGGCACCGCTGCTGTCCTTCGAAGCCATTGCACACGCCCAGGCTCGGGTCGACTGTAGCGCCGGGGCTGAGCTCCGCTACAAGGGCGCTCATGTTCGCCGACGCCAGCTGTAGCGCGCCGTTCAGATCGCTACACGCCGGGCAGCAGGAGAGATTCGCCGCGGCCGGGCAGCGGGCAGGCGGAAAAAGCGCAGGAACGGAGGGGTAATTACCCGTGAAGGGGCAGATGGGGTAGGAAACGGGGGAAGGAGGGGGTGGGGGCGGAGCGGAGGGGAGCGACGCGGGGGCGGGAGCGGGAGCTGGAGGAGGAGACGGGGGAGCGATCCCCATGCAGCTATTAGAGTCAATAGTGCGATTAACGACCGATTGGTACTTAGAAGGGTCGAGGGATGTGACAGGGCAGGAGGGGAGGGAGGAGTAGGGATCGCAGCACGCCGTGTATTGCGGGTAGATGCCCGTGCCGTTGAAACAGGCCGACGAGTCGTCGATCGCGAATGTGGTAACCAGAGATCCCATTATTTTCGTCACATTGCTGGCGAAGGACGCGAGGAGGGAGGAGGCGTCTGGGAAAAGCTGCGACAGCTGAAGCTTGTCCACTGGCAAGAGGCAGGGAGAACGGATGGGAAGGGTGGGTAAGGACGCCGGAGAGAGAAGGGAAGTGTGAGTGTGATGAAGGATAGACAGTGGGAAGAATAACATTTACTCTACACGAAAATGCACACTGTTCTTAAGGAGCCCGAAACATCTCTCACATTATGGCGCATCTCGGAAATCACAAGTCAACTAACACTCACTTCGTACGGCGCTGCGCGCCGTTCGATGGACTAAAAAAACATCGCTCACATGACCTGGAAACAATGTGGGACATAAGCCGTCAGCCAGCCAACACTTACTCGTTTCGAGACGTCTCAAAACTAGAGGACATCTCTCACACGGTTTGGAAACAATGTGAGTCATAAGCCGTAAGCCAACCAACACTTACTCCACACGGGAGTGCACGCGTCGAAGAGGGTCGAGGCGAAGGCGGAGCATACGCGCATGCTCGTGCCGCTGATGTACCCGCCGGAATCTGCACAGCAGGACGACGCACGGATGTATGAGTGCTGGATGATACTTAGTGGAAACAATGTGATTATTAGTTTTATGTTATTATGATATATCTTCCGATATTACTACTTCTTTGTCGTTCGTTATACTGCGACTTTGTAATACTGCCACTTCATGTCACGTATATTCCCTTTTTTTTCGATTTTTCTTTTTTTGCTTCCCGGTTCTGATACTCACGAGGTTCTTTCTAACCCACCTGAGTTGCAACTCGACGCGCAGTTGAGGTCCTCGAGAAGCTGCAGGCACCGCTGCTGTCCCTCAAACCCGTTGCACGCGCCCAGGTTCGGGTCGACTGTAGCGCCGGGGCTGAGCTCCGCTACAAGGGCGCTCATGTTCGCCGACGCCAGCTGTAGCGCGCCGTTCAGATCGCTACATGCTGGGCAGCAGGAAAGATTCGCCGCGGCCGGGCAGCGGGAAGGTGAGACGGAAGGAGCGGACGGCTGTAGCCCGGTGAACGGGCAGGACGGCGGAGTTGCGGGGGGAGGCGGAGACGGACTGGCGGAAGGGGGACTGGCGGAAGGAGTCGGCGCGCTTTGTGCGGAGGAAAGGTCAAGGCAGGTGAGGGCGAGGAGAAGAAAGGGGACAAGAAGCAGCACGGGGCAATGCAGAATAGGAGAGTGCCGGCGATGGCGTGCTGATTGCGGGCGATGTTGCCGCGTGATAACCATTTTGAACGTCGACATCTTTCCGTTCGCGCTGTACTCGCGCGGATTAACCGAGTTCTCGTTCTTACAGTGAGTCCACCTTTCCCCCCCCTTTCTGTTACGCCAGCCGATCTACTAGATTCCAAAACGAGCCAAGAAAAGGACGGTTTCAGTAGAAGGGCAGGCACAAGTAGCAGCAATGTGGTGGAAATGCAGCTGGAGTTTCGACGAGTTTATGTTGTAAGAAAAGAGGTTTGCAGGCTAGAAGGGCACTAAATATCTTTGAGCAACTTGAATGTGGGGTCTGCTTTGTTGTTGGTACTCACGGGCAGGTGTGTTCAGATTGCAAACTGACTGTCGGGGTGCTAGATCTGTTACAATCTCGAATGTCCCGCATGATCACCCGCTGGCTGGAAATGGAAACTCGTATTCATTTGGTTTTCCTATCAGCACGGAACCACCGACCTTTCTTCGGTCGTCCAAATAAGACCTGCAGATGGGCTGGCTTGGGTACCTTCAGCTGTTTCCTTGTTCTCTCCCTGCAACCCAATGCGCCACGAATGCCATGTCATTGCGCTTCGGATATCTGTCGCGTCTCGGCCGCCTCTGTTCCATGATGGGTTGAGCTACTCTTCTTATTGCAATTTGCGAACAAGACGAGCTGTGGTAACAGACCCAGCGAGATATTCTCGGAAGATCAAGCGATATCAGGCAACAGTCGATCCTAGCATGTGATTGGTGGATAAGCCTTATTGTCAGGGAGAAATGGAATCTGTGGTTCGCCGCCATCGGTGAGGGACTACGGGTTGTTGGTGTGAGCACGAATCGCCTGCATTGCCGCTTCGAGTCATAATCACTGCAGGCGTGACAGTCTATCTGACACTCTGGCACAGGCATCTCCCTTAAAGTGTTTTGTTCAGTTTTACTGGGTTATTTCACAGTGTCAGGGTTATATGATTAGAGATGTGTTCTGGAGCACTGTAAGGATGAAAAATAACACAGATGTGTCTCTGTAGTATCGACATATATTTTTTGTATGATGTAATTAAACGCTAAAAGGGGTGTCTAAAATCAAATTGCTGATAGATGTCACTTCTTGTTCTTTAATGCATAACTTCCCGTCTAGTCATTCAACTGTAATTCTTTGGCACTATTTAGTGCCATTGATTACATAACGAGTCATTTCCCGCCTGGCAGTCCAGTCAAGGAATTTGCAGAAATTCTGAATTGCGGGAAGTGGAACAAGCCGCGTCAGCCAGCGTCTGTGCGCTCTGCAAATGCGGCTCGGCATGACTTTCGATTTCCGCACAACCGAATTCTGTCCGCCGCCAGCGGGTTCAGTCACTTCCCGTCGATAGCTTTGAAAGCCTCACTGGTTCCCATCTACTTCAAAACTCGCTGTGAACCAGAAAGTCAGGCACTTACGAACAGCTGACAGATTAGACCTCGTCGTAAGTCGCGCATAAAAGACCCTAGTGCGTGGGCGTTTTGGTGCGAACCGCAATGCATTGGGATGGTCAACGCTTTGCACCGTACCAATACATACTGATACACAATATCACGTAGAATTACCGTGCACAACCTTTGTGAATGTCCGCACTTTCTGAGTCGCATGTTCCGCGCCCTTGGGGTTTCGCTGTCGCTTGTGGAGGATGCCCAACAAGTCACACTGACAAACCATCCTACAGTGCAGGGAGTTACTCCCCGTGCTTCATTCTTTCACAAAAAGGCGAGCCGTCTGTGTTCTTAGCCCAGCACATCTTCTCCAGCACCCAGCCCTTATCTATCTAATCAAGTGACTACGGACGGCGATGAGAAGGGCCCCTCGATCATCACCACTTTTCGCATCGAAGAGCTTAAATCAAAACGAGGAGCGGAACCTTGTCCTTACTTTATTAGCTATTGAGCTCGCACCTGATCAAATAGTCTACATAATTTAATTGTATTTAGTTGGATTACTTAGACTGTAACTAGTCGCAAAAAATGCGTCCACGAAAACTTTTCTCGTGCGTCGCGCTACTACTCTCCGGCGACGCAGTAATCTCCCCAGTTAAAGCCGGCGTCCGCGCCGCTGTTACTTCCCGAGCTGCGCTACTTATTTCCCTCGTCGTCGTAATTCACCTCTCTACCTCCTCCGCGCAGCCCGCGCCTATCCTCCCCGCTCAAGTTTCCGCCCAAGCCAAGCCCTCCGCATCCCTGCTTCCGCCAGCGCTCTCCCAAGCGTGTCCGCACACGGGGCTTGCGCCGTCCGCAACCGCCATTGCGTCAACCCGATGCCCCGCGGCATCCGCGCAATCGTGCTGCGGAGCTTGCGCGGATCTCAACGCCGCGCTCGGCCTTGCCAGTGCGAGTTTGGGCGACCTGGTGTCGCTCGTCAGTCCCGATGCTCTAAGTTTCGTGCAGACCAGCGCCAAGGTTCGTTAAAAATCTAAACATAATATCTATAATCTGCAATTTCACGGTAAGTTACTGTAGCGGGTTAGCTATCCAGGTTGGGCCGACCTGGTGTCCTTCAGTCCCGAGGCGCTGAGCTTCGTGCTACCCAAGGTCAAGGCTCGCTGCAAGAAAGAACAAATCACCAAAACAAGACACTGTCGCATAATCCGCATTGGTACATTCGGTCATTATGACGCATAGCATTTCAAGTTTGGTCAACCTGGCGTCGTTCGTGACTTCTAGAATCGCAATCATTACCTCGCATCCCCCTTCACCACCCCTTACTCCCTCTCACCGCACCGCCAAGCGTGCGACGCGTTCATCAGCCAGACTAAGTGCCTGCAGCTGCATACATCCGCCGTCATTCACACCTCCTCTCAACTCCTCACCTCCTTTCACCCATTCTCACCCCTCTCAACTCCCCTCACTCTCCGACCCCCAGGCGTGCGACGCGTTCATCGGCAAGACCAAGTGCCTACAGTCGCGGAAACTGGAAACTCCCCTCATTCCCGCTATCTTTCCTCTCAACCCATCAACCCCTCTCACCCCCTTTTACCGCTCTCAACCCCCATCACTCTTCGTCCGCCAGGCGTGCGACGCGTTCATCGGCCAAACGACGTGCCTGCAGCTGCTGGAGGACCTTACCTGCGCGCTCACGTGCAACCCAGGTCGGTTCAGAGTGGTGGTATGCACGTGGTAAGGTGCGCGATTCGGTGACGGCGAGGGTTGCCTGCAGCTGCTGGAGGATCTTACGTGCGCGCTCACGTGCAACCCAGGTGATTCCTAGCCTCCCCACGAGGTGGTATGACTTGGTATCAAGTTGTCTTTTGAGTCGACTCAAACGTCCGACCCATGAGCTGGGATTTACTTGGTACCGAGTGTCAGTCTGTGCGAGAGAGAGCTTTTGTGTGTGGAGTAAAATAGTGCTGGGTAGCCTATAATAGAATAAGAGGCTCTTAGACAGCACTTGGGGATGAAGGAAGATATGCACAAGGTGGTAACCCGATGCTGTGCAACCCAGGTGGTAACCCGATGCAGTGCAACCCAGGTGGTAACCCGATGCTGTGAAACCCTGGTCGGGAGCAGAGTGTCAACTCAAACAACTTGCTCGTCCCCTGTTTCTTCCATGTGTTTGCCTTGCTGTGCGCACATAACCAGATTCCATTGCGCATTTGAGCACCTCTGCTGCACGCATGTCATCGCGGAAAAGTCGTGTGTCCAACTTATGCGGCCGTGGGTTTTTCCACAAAAAAGCTTACACAAAGTCACAGAGCTACGGGAAAGTCCCAACCCTCTGTCACAAAAATGTCACCACTCTGGCAGGGCTGCGCACACGCGGGCGAATGTCGCGGCCCGCCAATTTCTGCCCCCCGTTTACCGACTCGCAATTTCGGACCGAGTCGCAATGTTCGGCTCCACGATCCTGACACTCTGCAAAAAATCGCCACAACAATGTCCGCGACATATGCAGGCGCGACACATGGTGTAATGACGGTCATTTGTCAGTCGACTAAAAAGGCATTTGTTTTTTCCATCCCTTACTCTTCCAAACAACCATGTGCGATCACGCGCAGATGCGGGCGCGTATGTGAGTGTCACTGCTGCAGGCACGGTAATCAGCGTGTGTGACGCGACGATGAGTTGACTCGAATGTCCTCCCCTCCCTGCCACCTCCCCACTGCCTCCCTGTGCGCACATTACCAGATGCGGGAGCGGATGTGAGCGCCTCTGCAGCAGGCACGGTGATCAGCGTGTGTGACGCGACGATGAGTTGACTCGAATATCCCCACCCTTCCACCACCCCACTGTGTTGCCGTGCGTCCCCCCATGAGCAGATGCGGGCGCGTATGTGAGCGCCACTGCAGCAGGCACGGTGATCAGCGTGTGTGACGCGTTTGCACAGGCGGTGATGGAAGACTGCCAAGGCATTGACCGTGAGTGACTCTCTTGACTTGCGTTGACTCTGAGTGACTCTCTTGACTTGCGTTGACTCTGAGTGACTCTCTTGACTTGCGTTGACTCTGAGTGACTCTCTTGACTTGCGTTGACTTTGAGTGACTCCCTTGAATTGCCTCCTGTGCGGCCCGTTGCACAGGCGGTATTCCTGAGTCGAGTGGCGCCACACCCACAGTCCGCCCCCCTCCACGCATATCAACCCCCCTGCCCGCCCCCCTCGTTTCTTCCCAGTGGCACAGCCGGTATCCCTACGTCGAGTGGCGCCACGCCCCTCCTCCTCCGCGCAATAAACCCGTCCCCCCTCCCCCTTCCTTCCCCTTGCCTTTCCTCCCTCTCCACCTGCCAGTGGGGGAGGTATCCATGAGTCGAGTAGCACCACACCCCTCCTCCTTCGTGGGCATAGTGGCAGCAAGCGTGGCGGCGGTCAAGCATCCCACCCCTTCGATCCCCTGCCCTTCCGTGCCCCCATCTGCCAGTAGGAGAGGTGTCCATGAGTCGAGTCGAGTAGCACCACACCCCTCCTCCTTCATGAGCATAGTGGCAGCAAGCGTGGCGGCGCTCATGCATGCCACTCCTTCGTTCCCCTTTCCACTTTCTTCTCTCTCCCCTTCCACCCCCCAACCTGCCAGTGGGGGAGGTATCCATGAGTCGAGTAGCGCCGGACCCCTCCTCCTTCATGACCATAGTGGCAGCGAGCGTGACATCACTCATGGGCGCGGCTGACGTCACCATCACCGTGGACAATACAGTGAGTGCGCCCTCTACACTCATGGCAGTGATTGGCTATGAGGATGACTCCCATGGGGTGACTGGCGCCAGACCCATCCTCCTTCATGACCATAGTGGCAGCGAACGTGACATCACTCATGGGCGCGGCTGACGTCACCATCACTGTAGATAACACTGAGTGTCTTGCTTTCTCTCCCCCCCGATCTCTTTCCCCCCCTGATATCTCTCCTCCCCACCCCCCCCCCCCCCCCCCCCCCCCCCCTCCGATCTCTCATCCCCCCCGGTCCCCTCCTCACCACTCCCTAGGCCTGTTCTCTCGTGTTCTGATTGGTCAGCCCATACTGTAACCCCCCTTGTCTCGTGCAGGGATCTTGTTTCAACGGCAGGAATCTTGTTTCAACGGCAGGAATCTTGTGTCACCGGCACGGGTCTTTACCCCCGCTACACCGCCTGCTCGTTTTTTCACCCTCTCCCTCACCCCATTTTCTCCCCCTTTCTCTTCACTCCTTGCAGGCATCTTGCTTCAACGGCACGGGTCTTTACCCTCGCTACACTGCCTGCTGCGACCCGCTCACCATCCCCCCCACATGCCCTCCCAACTCAATCAACTCCTCTTACTCCTCCTCCCTCTCCTCTCGCTCCACCACCTCCTCCTCCTCCTCCTCTCTCCCCCCTCTCACCCGAGTCACCGACCCAGACGCGTGCATGCTCGGCACTCTCCCCCCAACCTCCCAACCTCCCGAACCTGCCCCGTCCTCCGAGCCTTCCCCGGGCCTCTCGCCCGAGCCTGCGCCACCCACTCCCGGACCTGTCGTCTACCCTGCATGTCCGTTCACTAAAGAACCCCCGACAATCCCTAAGAGGGTCCCAACTCGTTGCCCTGCTGCGGCGAATAAGACGTGCTGTGCCGACTGCAGTGACTTAGGTTCGGCAATGAGGCTCGTGGGGACGAACCTTGAGGATGTTGTGGTGCTGATTGATCCGAGCCTGGTTGGATTCGTGGATTCGGGATTTAAGGTATGTGTGTCTCTTCAAATCAACTACATTTCTTATTATCATATTGTATCCTATAATCTCACATTTCCTGTGTTATTACATCTCCGCTTCTACCCTCCAGATGTGTGACATGTTCACAGGCGGTCAGATGTGTATCGTATCATACCATATCATATCTTACAATATCGTATTTCCTGTGTTGACGCATTTCCCCTTGTGTCCTCCAGATGTGTGACATGTTCACGGGCGGTCAGATGTGCGAGCAAGCCATAGAGGATCTGCTGTGCGCCATCACATGTAACCCAGGTGAGATGGCACGTAAATGACATGTAACTCAGGTGAAATGGCACGTAAATGGCATGTAACTCAGGTGAAATGGCACGTAAATGACATGTAACTCAGGTGAAATGGCACGTAAATGACATGTAACTCAGGTGAAATGGTACATGGATGACATGCAACCCAGTTGAGATGGTATATACATGACATGTACGAAAAGGGTGAGCTGCCAGCCTGCTGCTCCTGCTGACTGTACCATCTACGTTTCTTAGAATTCTGAACAGCGACCTGTACTCTCTTCTACGTGATGCAAAATTCAACGATGTGCCATTTCCTATTGTATGTGACTATATCGAACGTTGCACGCTGACCATTTTATGTGACTATGGGATGTATGTTTCCGTACTGTGCAGATGCGGGTAACTACACCCGGGTAACAGCGGACGCCACAACAATGTCCGTCTGCGCTTCTTACGCTGAGTTCTTCTTTGGCGTCTGCCAGGGCATTTCCAGTTGAGTGCAGTGCGGTTGAGTGCAGTGCGGTTAACTGCAGGCTTTGTCTGGTACACAACACAGATCGCTCTGCACAGTGCGACAAACATGGCCTGCATAGTGTTGAGATGGAATTCTTCCCATCACCACGCAGACCATATTCAAATTATACCACTGTTCAAACTCTTTCTCAACTAGCACCACTCTCCTCATAACCACCCCCTCCTCCATGCCCTCCCCGTTCCCCCCTCCCCCCCCCTCCCCCTCTACCTGGCAGTCGGAGCTGTCCCCCTCAGCACGCTCATCACCTCTTCCGAGTCGTTCCTTAATGCCATCGCAGCCAGTGTAATGAAGGCCATCCGCTACAGTAACTTCAACATCGTTGTAGAGAAGGTACAGTGCTGCATTTGCATCTAAAAAGTGTTGTATGTGCACACTCGCATCCCTCAGTGACCACTCAATCTCGATAAGAGGTTATCTCCTCTTTCCGTTCGTGTACATCCAATAAAACTACCATTTCGTTTCCTCATGTGCTCCTTATTCCATCCACCAGGCTTTTCCTTTTTTGTTTCCTTAAAATGTCTCGAAGCTTACACCTTTCCTTCCATCCACCTGCCGCCATATTCCCCTCCTGCAGAAAGCATGCTTCAGTGGTTCTCAGGTGTTTGCTCCAGTAACCGCATGCTGCGACCCATTCGCCATTCCCCAGAACTGCCCTGCCGGCGCTGTAAATGCGACACAATACAGCGATCTGATTGGCCGCGATATTGATCATTCTGTGTGCAAGACCCCTCCACCCGTTCCTCCTCTTCCTTCACCTCCTCCCCCTCCTCCCACTTCTGTGTCTGGGGCATCGGCTCCACCTGTCCCTTCCCCGCCGGCCGGCCAATCACCAGCTCCGCCATCACCTGGAGAGCCTGTTGGACAACCTCCCCCGTCTCCGATGCTTGCAATCGCACAAGTACCACAAAAGTCCACCATTTCTTTGGCAAATAATGCAGCCACTATTAGCGTGTCTTGTTTGTTGAGTATTCTGGGTCTTATTTTGTTATGAAACTGCTATATATACACGCATAACAACTATTTAGGGAGCAGTGAATAGCTTGGCTTGTGTTTGTTTTCTACAGTAGTCTGGTCTTGAATATTTCTTCAATCATCAAACGTAGTATCGAGGAAGTGGATGTCGAGTTCATCCTTTATCTTGATTGGAAGAGGCTCGAGAGAATCGCGCAGTCTCGATCAACCTGATCTTCCACCCTTTCCATTCCCCACGGACCACCACGTCGGTTCGGCGCGTTTCCATTCGATATCTGCAGAGCAGACTGTCGCCGAACTCTCCGTACAGTAACCCTACTCAATTCAATTCGCATCGCCACCGAATCTCCCACCCACTGTCGTGGACGCACTTGCGCCTAGTTCCAGAACAGTTGCCGCTGTTCATTGACGACGCGATCAGGTAAGCTTTGGGCCGCGAGGCAGTCTTCTTATTACTGTACAAGGCTTCTTCTTTTGGCAGATTTATCTCCGCTGAGGTGTTCCGCCGTGTTTCTGTGTGCTTCCTTTTGCGACTCTTCAGCGTTTCGCTTGATCGCCATTGTCGTGCTGCATTACGGAACGTCGGTGCCAAGCGAGAGCAATTCTGGCCCAGCCATTGTCGGGGAACCGTACTACTTGCACACTAAACGCCGTCGCCGGAAGCACGCACCCCCTCCCGTCGTCGCCGCCGTGTCGTCAGATCGTCGCTTACTCGCACTACCGTTTCCCGAGTATCATGGCGCCGCTATTCCCGCGGCACGCGCTGCTCGCGGCGGCCGTGCTGTCCTCTCTCCTTGTTGCACTGGTAACTTGTTCCGCCGCAGCGACTCCACCCGCGGCACCGGCATCCGCTAGCGGCGCGACTGCGAATGTGTGTCCAGCAACGAAGCTTCCGCCGACTGCGCGGAAGACTCCGTCTCTTCGCTGCCCCGTGGCGGCAACCGCGTCGTGCTGCGCGGAGTGCGCGGACGTGTCGGCCGCGCAAATGATGACCGGCACAAACCTTTCCGCCGTGCTCACGAATATCAGCCCCTCACTCGCAGGCCTCGTCGAGCCGAGCGTTAAGGTACGACCCTCTTTGACCCTCGTTGACCCTCGTTGACCTTCGCGTTGACCACGTTTGCGTGCTTCAACGAGGTGTCCCAGGTGCTGCGCGCTGCGAGGACACGCGTAGCGCGCAGACACGGAAACCCGTCGTTACGACACGCGTTCTCCCACGTACCCTTATCGAGCGACGATCGTGCTTCCTCTCTCATTACCGCGCAGGGCGTGAAATTCCCTCATACAACCACTTGGGTCACCTAGCTCCGTTCACCAGCATAACGTGCCTTCACTCTAATTTTCAAGGGCCCCTTTTTTCCAAGTTGCTTTTTGTCAGGCCCCCGGGTTTAGGGCTTGCTTTTCCCCCGCTTCGTTTCCCCTTGCTCTGTACCCCCTGCCCGAACTTCTGTTCTCCCTACCCCTGTTCCCGGTGCGTGATTGTAACAGGTGTGCGACCTGTTCGTTGGCCAACTGGAGTGCCCCTTTCTCGTCGAGGCGATCGTGTGTGGCGCCAACTGCAACCCTGGTTAGTGCGAACGTTCGCGTCTACACCTTCTTGTTACAAATGAGATTTTGGTGAAGTCAGTTGTTTTCCTTTCACGGGAGAGTACATGCTATGTAAAAATTCCCGGCAGAGTGTTCGGAACGACCGACGCATGAAAATCACATCTTGTTTTACAATTATCACATTATTCTCACATTCTAAAGCCCTAAAGGTTGCGCACGAATGTAGCCAAATACAGGGCTACTTTCGCCAGACAAACTTTCCAGCAAGAGGCCAGCTCAGTAACGATTCTAGTTCGCCGGGCCCACTCACCTCCCTTACTTTCTTCCTCCCTTGGTGCTGCGGACGTGGCAGATTCGGGCAGCTATGTGAACAGCACCAAGGACGGCGCGTCAGTCATGTTAATCTGCCCGGAATTCGCTGACCGCATCTTCAGTGCCTGCAAGGGCATCAAACGTGAGTGACAAGCAACTCCATAGCTCCTCTTGCCATCATATTCTGAGACCAGATGTCTCAAACACGCCCAAACGTGAGTAACAAGCAACCTCATAACTCCTCTAACCGCCTTGGTACCCCTTCCTCCCCACTGCTCCTCTTTCTATCCCATGCCTCCTTTTTCCAACCCTGACCATCCTTGTACCTCCTCCCCTCCCCCTATCTTGATACCTCCTTTTCCCTGCTTGATCCCTCCCCCTCTGACCACCTCATGTCTCGTGTATCCTATTCAAAACATCCCCACCTTACCGTCACTATTAGACACTCTCGTGAATGACCTTCCTCAAGCACCGGCCTTCACTGCTTTTCACCACCGTGGACATTCCCTGTCTTCCCTGCTAGCTACTCCCTGCAGTGGTTTTGTGTGTGCTGAGCGACCTGATAGCGGATGCGCAAGCATTCATCGGCACGGTTATTGTGAACACTGTCTCAAGCAATCTCCCCGCAAGCGCCACCCTTCACCGCTCCAAACCGCTCTTCACCTGGCCCTTCTCTTGCCGTCCCTTCCCTGCAGTGGGCACGTATGTGCTGAGCGAGCTGATAGCGGATGCACAAGCATTCATCGACACGGTTATTGTCAACACGATCAAGGTGGCTGGAGTGCCCAACCTCAACGTCACAGTCAGCAACAGCGTGAGTGGGATGAGAGTAGTACACAGTAACAAGTGGGAGCGAGACGAGAGGGAGTGTGAGTGGGATGAGAGTAGTACACAGTAACAAGTGGGAGCGAGACGAGAGGGAGTGTGAGTGGGATGAGAGTAGTACACAGTAACAAGTGGGAGCGAGACGAGAGGGAGTGTGAGTGGGATGAGAGTAGTACACAGTGACAAGTGGGAGCGAGACGAGAGGGAGTGTGAGTGGAATGAGAGCAGCAGGGTGGAGTAATGAGTGACAGTGCTGCCCTGTTTTGAGTCGACTCAAAACTCGACTTATCACACACAGTGGGATGAGAGCAGCAGCGTGGAGTAATGAGTGACAGTGCTTCCCCGGAGTGTCAAGCTGGCTGCTGTGCCCAACCTCAACATCACAGTCAGCAACAGCGTGAGTGGGATGAGCGGGAGTTTAGTGGGATGAGTGGGAGTGTGAGTGGGGTGAGAGTAGCAGGCACAGAGTCATGAGTGGCAGCGCTCCCCTGCACTGTCAAGCTGGCTGCTGTGCCCAACCTCAACGTCACAGTCAGCAAGAGCACGAGTAGGATGAAAAGCAGTGTGAGTGGGCTCAATGCAATCTCGCCTTCCCGTCTCTTGCTCCTGTTTCCTTGAAGCTTCGCCGCCCTTGTTTCCCCGTTTCCCCCCTTTTTCCCCCGTTTGCCCCTCCTTTCCCCATTTCCCCCCTGCTCTTCCTCTGTCCTTGCTCCTTTCCCCTATTTCCCCCACTCTTCTCCTCCCTCCCTCAGACCTCGTGCTTTGCAGAACCAGCCCTTGCCAGCACAAGCCCATGCGACGCTGCTGCTTCCATTCCCCCCACTTGTGCAGCTGCTGGTGGTGGCAGCACAACCATCACGAGCCTCCATTCACTACCCCTCCATCTCCTTCCATTACCCCCCTTCCCTCCCCACCTCCCTCCCTCAGACTTCGTGCTTTGCAGAACCAGCCCTCGCCAGCACAAGCCCATGCAACGCTGCTGCTTCCATTCCCCCCACTTGCGCTGCTCCTGGTGGTGGCAGCACAACCATCACGCCCCCCCCTTCACCTCCCCCACCTAAGAGTGGTGCTTATTCAGTTGTGCTGAAGGTGGCTGTTGCTGCTTGGATTGGTCTATTCGGTCTGGGTTTCTTGCTGTTGTAGCATCTCATGTGAGGTGTCAGCATATCTGACTGCTGGATTCTGAACCACTTTTTTATGGTAAACGTTTGAACTAAGTATTAAGGGGAAGTGTAGTAGATAATTAACTTATAAAGGGGATTTGACAAATCTCAGTATGACTTGTTCTGCATGATTAGAAGTTGGGACCAAGACCGAATTCGACCGTGCTCGATATTGCCGTCGATGCTGTCAACAGCAAAGCGTCTCGCTAATTCACCACAAGTGAAACTTCTTCCAAATCTTGCATTGCATTCGTTCCTCATGTACGGTACTCAATCTTGGATGTACGCTACGTAGTAATTACTACGACGGCCGCCGCTCCTTACCGCAACCTTTATCGTACACGAGTGAATTATCTGGAAGCTTCGTTCGTAGGCGCGAACTCTAGGTAGTGTGCGTGCTAGAGTAGGGAAGCCGTGTCACCCACGCGCCTCGCGAAATTAATCACTTTTTACAAGGTCGCGCGAGATGGCGCCTTCGCCGAAGATAGCGCCGTCCATGCTTTCGTCAGACTTCGCGAATCTCGCGAGCGAGGCGCAGCGGATGCTTTCGTGCGGCGCTGATTGGCTACACATGGATATCATGGTAATTCCATACCTGCCTTACATTTGAGCCAGAAAGCTAGCCGTTGATGAGGTGCGCTATGGATCATCAGTATTTTCGCTTCTAATTCTGGTTCCTATCACGGTTGTTTGCGGTCCCTCACGTTTAACATCCGTCGCTCCTCTCTGACTCTTTCCTGCCTTCCACCCCCTTCTCCCTGCCTTGCTATCTGTTCCGCCATCGGTCAACGCGGTCAACTCTGTGTGTGCTTGTGTGTGCTTGTGTGTGCATGCATGTTTCTCCCATGCCGTTCGTGTGCATTTCTTGCAGGATGGGTAGGGTTCAACTCAAGTACACACTGGTTTCTCACCCCAAGCACACTGAACTTACCAGCACGCGTCGCTGAAAGCACATCTCCTTTGAGCCTCAGATCATGCTTTCCTCCGTCCATATGTCAAAATGCCATTTGCGAGTGACCTTTGAGAATTCTAAAAAAAGCACATCCCCTTTGAGCCTCAGATCACTGTCAAAATGCCATTCCTTTCTAGTGATCATGCTTTCCTCCCTCCATATATTACCCTCCCTCCCTCCTCCCTCCCCGCGTCTCCTCGCCTCGCCTCTGATCCCTCTCATCAACTTGTGACCTCGCACTTTCTCCCCTGTCCCTTGAGTCATTCTCATACTTCCCTCAACTTCCTTCGATTTCGCCTTTGTCTGCCTCGTCGACCTTGTTTCCTCCACTGCCTCTTCGCCCTCTTACCCCTAGACCTCTCCCCCTTTCGACTCTTCCAATCTCTTCCCTCCCTCAACTTATATCCTCTCCCTGACCCTCCCCGACTCTCCCTCTCCATCCTCTCTCCCACCTCCGCCTTCTTACCCCTAAATATCCTCCACGTCTACCCTCTCCCTTCTTCCACCTTCTCTCCTCCCCACCCTCTCCCCCTCCGTACTTCCCACCTTCCCAGCAACTTTGTGCCGAACCTCACCATCGGCCCTCCGGTGATTGCTGCGCTTCGAAAGCACACGGAGTAAGCAGCTTTCACACCCATCCCGTTGGGCTCGGCTCACGCGGTGTGCCCGACCCCTCATGCAACACACACACCTAGGGATGAGCAATTCGAGGCGAACGGAACAGGATTTTTTTTTTGCCTAAGTTGTTCGGGGCGAACCCGTTCGGTGTTCGCCCGAACATGTTCGCCGTTCGCCCAGCTCAGCTGGCCGAGGCGCGTCGAACACGAACATGTTCGTGTTTGACACGTGCCTTCGACAAACACCAATGTGTTTGACACGTGCCTTCGACAAACACCAATGTGTTTGACACGTGCCTTCGACAAACACCAATTTGTTTGACACGTGCCTTCGACAAACACCAATGTGTTTGACACGTGCCTTCGACAAACACCAATTTGTTTGACACGTGCCTTCGACAAACACCAATGTGTTTGACACGTGCCTTCGACAAACACCAATTTGTTTGACACGTGCCTTCGACAAACACCAATGTGTTTGACACGTGCCTTCGACAAACACCAATGTGTTTGACACGTGCCTTCGACAAACACCAATGTGTTTGACACGTGCCTTCGACAAACACCAATGTGTTTGTCGACGAATAGGCCCTCGACCAATTTTTAGGTCGCGGGCCTTGGTGTTTGGGCTCAGATTTGGCATTTCGCCGTTACTTAAGTGCAGGTCTAGCACTACGCCGTCAGTTAAGTGCAGATCTAGCATTTCGCCGTTGCTAAAGTGCAGATCGAGCATTTCGCCGTTGCTTAAGTGCAGATCGAGCATTTCGCCGTTGCTTAAGTGCAGATCGAGCATTTCGCCGTTGCTTAAGTGCAGATCTAGCATTTCGCCATCACTCGCTGGCACTAGCATGGATGAAGCAGGGCGGGACTGGCTTGGGGGGTGGGGGGAGGGAATGTGCAACGATTTGAATTTTACTCTATTTGGACGTTACAACCACCTAACAAATGTCAACAATACACAATCCACAAACGTGTGACTTTAGTGAATGTAGTCCCGGGGCGAACACGAACGTGTTTGCCACGAACACGTTCGTGTTCACCTGCGTTAACTAGGTGTTCGCCTTCATAGGCGAACGGCGAACACCCTTTTTTGGGGAAGTCGTTCGCCGAACGGTGGTGTTCGTGCAGGGGCGAACCGAACACGCCTTTTGCTCATCCCTACACACACCCACCCTGTCCTCATTTTTCCGGAATATGACTGTTGAGGCGCCTCAAAAGTCATTGGGCTCTCTCAGTGTTCCCGACCCCTCATGCAACACACACACCAACCCTGTCCTCATTTTCTGGGAACACCCCCGTCACACAATCCCCTGTCCGTCTGCATGCTAACCGTCATGCTGGGGTGGGGCCTTCCTACACCTGTGTAGACAAGCTGCGGCTTCCATATCCTTCCACCCCTCCCTTGGTGACTTTTGAGTCGACTCATAAGTCACCTTCGTCTGCATGCTAACCCTCATGCTGGGCCCTTCCTGCAACTGTGTAAACAAGCTGCGGCTTTCATACCCTACCCTACCCCTCTCTCCTCCCCTTCCACCCCACTCCTCTCTTGGTTTCCTTGGTTTGTGAGAGTGCAGTGTGTACCTCGACTGCAGGGTTTTTTTTAGACTTCCCGAACCCTGCTTCGTTTATGAAAAGCCCTGCTTCGTTTTTGAAAAGCCCTGCTTCGTTTGTGAGAGTGCAGTGTGTACCTCAACTGCCACCTCCTAGTCACGGACCCATACCATACGCCTTCACATCACACCCATCCCCTCCCTACTCTTCCCCTTCCTTTCGACACCTTTTCTCCCGCATGATGATCGCGCAGTTGCCTACCTGGACTGCCACCTCATCTTCACGGGCCCCTTCGTCTACGTGGAGTGTTCAACCGCCAGCTATACAGCCTGTGGCCTCTACACCCTTCCCCTCTCTCATCTTTCTCCCTTTGTTTTTTTTTATGTGGGGTTGCAGTGCCTACCTGGACTGCCACCTCATGGTCACAGACCCCTTCGCCTACGTGGAGTCTATGAAGCAGGCCGGGGCTTCCTCCTTCACCTTCCATGTGGAGGCTGTGCCAGGTCAGCGTGCCAGGTGTCAGGTTGTACATCAACCCTAAACTCAGGCTTGTGCCTCCGAGCAGGAAGTCGCTTTAATAAAGCAAAGACCCATCTTCTTTTCCACCTCCCCCCTCCTTTGCGTCTGGTTTGTCTTCGTTCGAGCCGCCTCAAGGATACCCCCTCTCCCGTCCCCCTCTCTCCCTTCCTTTCTTCCCTCCTCACCTCCCCGCACATATATACCCCAGGCAGGGCACAGCAGCTGGTGGCTGAGGTGCATGCAGCGGGCATGAGGGCGGGGGTAGCCATCAAGCCTCAAACGCATGTCTACTCTGTCCTACCCCTCTTTCTCCTCTCTCCGCACACCCTGCTCTCCCCTCCTACCCAGGCAGGGCACAGCAGCTGGTGGCTGAGGTGCATGCAGCGGGCATGAGGGCGGGGGTGGCCATCAAGCCTTCCACGCCTGTCGAATCCGTCCTGCCTCTCGTACGTTGCTTGCTTGTTGCTGCACAGCACACGCCCCGAATACCGCCCATCGTACCTTTTCTTTTGCGGTCGCTCGTACGTTGTTGGAGAGTATAGGTAGCGAAGCAGCGAATATTGTGATAGCGATGATTACAGTGGAGCCAGGAGTCAAAAGGCAGGCATGTCTCTTATCCCCCATTCTCCCTCCCTAACCATTCTGTCATATTACCATCACCCTGTGTGATCACTCCGTATCACAGTTGGAGGGACAGATACTGAGTGATTTCACAGGTTGATGGTGAGATGGCAGAATGGTTAAGGAGGGAGAATGGAGGATGAGGGCAGTGGATGTGGTGCTGGTGATGACAGTGGAGCTGGGGTTCGGAGGGCATGTGTCTCTCTTATCCCCCACTCGCCTCTCCCTAACCATTCTCCCATCATCACCCACCTGATCATCCCTCATGGCAGTTGGAGGGGCAGGAGGCAGGCAGTGGATGTGGTGCTGGTGATGACGGTGGAACCGGGGTTCGGAGGGCAGGCCTGTCTATTACCATCACCATCACCATAATCACCCCTAACCGGATCAACCTTAGCTGTTCTGTCGTCCTCCCCCCCCACGACCACCCCCCATGACAGTTGGAGGGGCAGGAGGCAGTTGATGTGGTGCTGCTGGTGATGATTGTGGAGCCGGGGTTCGGAGGGCAGGTCCGTTCATCATTACTACCATAATCATGCCTAATTGTTCTGTCAACCCCACCTCTCATGACCGCCCTTAACTGCAGTTGGAGGGGCAGGAGGCGGTGGATGTGGTGCTGGTGATGACGGTGTAGCCGGGGTTCGGAGGGCAGGCATCTCACTCATGATTACCATTATCGTTCCTACCCCTCATGCTCACACCTGATTGCAGTTGGAGGGACAGGAGGCAGTGGATGTGGTGCTGGTGATGACAGTAGAGCCGGGGTTTGGAGGGCAGGCGTTTATGCCTGACATGATGCCCAAGGTGCAGTTTCTACGGTCACGATTCCCAGAGCTGGATATTCAGGTGAGATGAGGAATCTTCCGGTACTCCTGTGTTTACACCCCCAAGTGTTTATGCCTGAGTTGATGCCTAAGGTGCAGTTCTTGCTACAATGTTTCCCGATTTGACTATTCGGGTGAGAGGAGGAGGAATGCGCTCCTACGCTCACACGCAGACGTTGATGCCTGAGTGTTTAGCATGCTACGTATTTTCTTGTTATATTTTACGACGTATCTGTTTGTGCAGGTGGATGGCGGGTTGGGTCCATCGACAATTGGTCAAGCAGCAGAAGCTGGAGCCAACTGCATTGTTGCTGGAAGCTCTGTGTTTGGCGCTTCCGACCCGGCCGCTGCCATTGCTGTCCTCCGTGATGCCGTGCTAAAAGCGCAGCAATAAGCCTTGCAATAAAAGCAGCTTCGGGAGTGCTCCATCACACAGCCATGAGACCAAATGTTGGGAGTTGTGGTTGCATTTCATGCTACACATGCGGAGTTATGATGGCATGTAGATATAGCTGAATAAGAACTGGGCTTTGGTGGAAGTTGAGCTCGGTGTAATTATGTGTCAAAATAGCACATTGTGTCCAGCTCTACAGTAACGTTGTGCTTTATCAGTTACTGTTGCTTCTCGTAAGTGTTTCTGTGCAAATTTGCTGTTATCAAAAGAGTCAGGCACGTATCGCGTCAGCGGACCGCATTCGGTTCAAATGTCGACTCTGGCGGGAAATCCTATTTGAATTTCTGCCAAAACCATCACATTTCAAATTCCCCCCCAAACCCGTCTGAATTTCTCCCCGCACGCATGGCACGTCCACAACATGTTCTATCACATCACCCTACTCTGAGATGATTCAACTCATGAGTTAGGGCGACGTCAGGTTGTACGTTTCTCAGAACCTTTGCAGTTCTTGTATCGAGGCTGAGGACAGTTCCACACGGTGGGAAGCGGTTCTCAAGCTTTACCGTTTTGCACCGTGAAGAAACGGAGTTGAGCGTACAGAAGTTGTACAACCTGACGTCGCCCTTATGACGACAATGGTGACGGCACGGCAGCCCGACTCGGGTCCTCCTCGATCTTTTGCCGAAAAGCATCGAGCGAGCCAGGGGTCCTTTTTTTGCACCACATGCCACGTCGTCACTTGCACGCGTTTATGCCGTGGCTGTGCTGTGTATCGCGGCGCTTTTCACTAGACGTGACTTGGACGGAAGGGCAGCATTTGCTTGACGTATGCTTGGATAGTTTCAGTGCACGAGCTGACAGCGAGTAGACGCCTCCTAAGCAGCCAGGAATTGATCGGCAGGCCGACTTAGTAGAACCACTGTCGTCGCGGTCGCGACCCAAGAATAGAAACCTTACATTGTACATACCATCATAGAAAAACGCCATTGTAGTGTTGCCTCGTTCCTTACTGACTGAGCAGTGTTTTGAGTCAACTCAAAACACGGTATCTCACTGACTGACTACGTTTCCAGCTAGACGCACCAATGACGGCAGATAGACTTTCCGTTCGAGTCGCGCTATGCACATGCATGCTCCTGATCAGGTAGGTAGGCGGAAGCAAGTAAAAGCGCATCGGTAGCCCGTACTGTATCCCCCTACAGGTGCTGTTTCAGTCGATTCAAAGCATCCCTGCAGCAGCGAACCCGCATATTAGTCGCTCGGTGGCTGCTGTTATGTTTTTTTTTTTTTTGGCACCTCAGAAATCGTCTCAAATCAACCGCGTAGTAGTCCTCTTTCTTTTCCTCCAGTAAGTGCAGCCGCCAACGCGAGTCCCCTTATCCCCGTCTCCCCCTTCCCGTCTATCCGCCCCTTATTAGTGCACCCGCCACTGTCCCACTGATCCCGCGAAACAGGGTTGCTTCCAAGCCCGATCCCCGCTTCCAAGCCCGAGCCCCCTAGTACCGCCCAGCCTTCTTCCCCGCCCCTTGCTTCCTCGCCTCATCCCCCTCTCCCCCTTCCCTTCTATCCGCCCCTTAATGCAGCCGCCACTGTCCCACTAATTCCGCGAGACAGGGGCGCTTAGAAGCCCGCGCCCGCTAGTACTTACCAGCTTTTTTCCCCGCCTCATCCCCCTCTCCCCCTTCCCTACCATCCGCCCCTGACTGCAGCCGCTACTGTCCCACTGATACCGAAAAGCAGAGGCGCTTCCTAGCCCGGGTCCATCTAGTACCCCATCTTCTTCCTGCCCCTTCCCGCCTCCCCTTTCCCTCCCAATAGCCTTACTAATAGCAATTTCCTCTCTGAATGCAGCCGCTACTGTCTCACTGATTGTGAAAAACACGGGCGCTTCTGAGCACGCGCAGCCTGCTTACGCGCCCCCTGCTTCCTTGCCTCATCCCCTCTCCCCGTCCTCCCCTCCTATCCCTCTCCCCCTTCCCTCCCATCGCTCTCCCCCTTCCCTCCCATCCCCCCCTGACAGCCGCTATTACCGCCCCACCGATACCGAAACACAGGGGTACTTCCAAGCCTGGGCCCGTCTACTATGGCTCACCAGACCTCCTTTCCAACCCGCACAAATCTTCCGGCTCGTCTAAATCTGGACCGTTGAAATCTGGGCCGTCGAAATCCGGGTCCACGAAGCCTGGTAACCCGGTATCCGGAGGCACCCCGACAGCGGGACCGCGATGCGTTAATCGCTTTCCCTCCCGCCCGCTCTGCAAATTTGTCGACAGCCTCCGCGCGGCCGGCACGAGCGGCAAGGCTGGGACGGCCGGCACGGGCGGCAGGATGGAGCTCGTGGACGGCACAAGCGGGAAGATTCTCCGAATCGGAGTGTATCAGATCCGGCAGAAGTTTCACCGAGATCTGCCGCCCACGAAGCTGTACGCGTTTGGGACGAGCCGCGCGCGCGCGTCGTATCCGGGTCCGACTATAGTGGCGAGGAAAGGCGCCATGACTAAGGTGCGAGATGGGACGCCGCGTAAATATGGCAGATTTTTGGGTTTGTGCACTAGACGCGTTGTTTTGAGACGTCTTAAAACTTACTGCCAGTCCACATTTCGGCTTTGTGTGAAAACACGCAGGAGCCTCCCACCCTGTTGACATACTTCATGATTGAAGAAGGGTTTTGAGACGTCTCAAAACCCTTCTTCAATCACGTGGCATTTCTGCTTTGTGTGAAATCACGAAGGAGCCTCCCATCCTGTTGACATACTTCACAACTCTCCTTCGTGTTGGATTGCACGTGGCAGATTCGGTGGGAAAACCATCTAACGGACGAAAAGCACATGTTGCAAGTAGACTACACTATCAATAAGGACGTCCCTAGACCATCCCGTGGCGGCATTCCCTTCGGTGAGTGGTGCCTCGCGGTGACTTTTGAGTCGACTCAAAAGTCGCTTTGGTGAGTGGTGCCTCGCTTGAATGTTCGAATACGTTAGCGGCGCCAAAGTGCAGTGTAATTGCAATAAATACACTGTAATTAAAGACGACCCTATAACAAACTCCCACATGCACCCGCCCTGTAGGCTGTATCAGCGCACTCACTTCTCCCCCGTTGCTTGAACTTTGAGAATTCTCACAAGTTCAATCAGCGCACTCACGTCTCCCCTCCCCCGTGCCCTCCACATTGCCCGCTTTCCCCTGCAATGCCCTTCACGCAAGGAGGTCATGCACACAGCGCCTATTTCGGCTGTTCCCAGGCGTGGTTCGCTCAGTACGAGCCTGACCCCATTACTCTCACCCACCTCCCGTTCCTTTTCTCCCCTTCCCCTCCCCTCCCTGCAGTGCCCTTCACGCAAGGAGGCCACACACACAGCTCCTACTCCGGCCACCCACAAGCCTGGTTCACTCAGTACGGCGAGCTCGGCCCTGCCCTCTCCTCCCTTCCCCAAGTCTTATCTTCTCTCTCTCGCCCATGCCCCTTCTTCCCTCCCTGCAGTGCCCTTCCGGCAAGGAGGCCACGCGCACAGCTTGTATTCCGGCCACCCCCAGGCGTGGTTCACACAGTACGGCGAGCTCGGCCCTGCCTTGTCCTCCCTTCCCCAAATCTCCACCTTTTCCATCCCGCCCATGCCCCAACTCCCCTTCCCTCCCTGCAGTGCCCTTCCGGCAAGGAGGCCACGCGCACAGCTCGTATTCCGGCCATCCCCAGGCGTGTTTCACACAGTACGGCGAGCTCGGCCCTCGCCCCACTTACACAGTACCTACTTTCTGTCTTCTCTCTCTCCCCATACCCCTTCCCCTCCCTGCAGTGCCCTTCCGGCAGGGAGGCCACGCGCACAGCTCGTATTCCGGCCATCCCCAGGCGTGGTTCACTCAGTACGGCGAGCTCGGCCCTGCCCTCTCCTCCCGATCCTCCACCCGAACCTCCCGTGCCTCCCGAACCTCTCCACTTCCCTCCTCCTCCTCTTATCCCTCTTCCGGAGGCCCTGAGGCCCCTCAAGAGCATGCATACTATTCGCAAACGTACAAGTATCTGAACCAGCACTCTGCGGCTCTGCTCTGGTATCGGGACCGCACTCAGGGCGTGGGGAGGTTGAACCTTATAGCGGGGATGGCAGGCCTGTACGTTGTAACGGATCCTGACGGGGCCGAGGGGAAGCGGAGAAGTGGAAAAGCAGGGAGCGGAGAAGCAGGAGGGGGAGGATCAGGAGGGGGAGGAGGAGGAGGGATAGGGGAGCAAGGGGGAGGAGGTGGGAAGGTATCGGGGGCGGGAGTGGGAAGCTGGATTCCCAAGGGGGATTACAGTATTCCTCTGGTGTTGGCGGATCGAACGTTCACAGCGAATGGATCGCTGTATTACCCGAGGAGAGGGGTGGTGCCTGATGTGCATCCCAACTGGGTGGACGGGTTCTATGGCAACACCATTGTTGTGAATGGCCTGGTGAGAGCTATAACGAGTGTGCTTGTAAGGAGTATAGGAGCTTGTTATTCTATCATGTGGGTCCGTATTACCCGAGGAGAGGCGTGGTGCCTGATGTGCATCCCAACTGGGTGGACGGGTTCTACGGCAACACCATTGTGGTTAATGGGCTGGTAAGAGTTCACCAACCGTGGATATAGCGAGTCCGTTTGTAAGGAGTATAGCGAGTCTGTTTGTCTCTCCCTCCTAGCACACCCCCCATTCCCTCCTGTCACCCCAGGTCTGACCGTACCTCAAGGTCCATCCAGCTCTCTGCTGCCAACGCCTGTTCATTCCACACAAACCCACCTACTCCGCTGTCTCCCCTCCTGCTCTCCCTCCCTTCCAGGTCTGACCGTACCTCAAGGTCCATCCAGCGCTGCACAGGTTCTGACAGCTCTCTGCTGCCAATGCCTGTTCATTCCACACACACCTGCTCTCTCCCCTCCTGCTCTCTCCCCTCCTGCTCTCTCCCCTCCTGCTCTCTCCCCTCCTGCTCTCTCCCCTCCTGCTCTCTCCCCTCCTGCTCTCCCTCCTTCCAGGTCAGGCCGTACCTCAAGGTGCGTCCAGCGCTGCACAGGTCCCGCCTGCTCTCTGCTGCCAACGCCTGTTCACTCCACCCAAATCCCCTACTCCTCACCCCTCCGTTCACTCCCCTCCCTGCCCTCTCTCCCCCCTACAGGCCTGGCCGTACCTCAAGGTGCGTCCAGCGCTGCACAGGTTGCGCCTGCTCTCTGCTGCCAACGCTCGTTTCTTCAACCTCTCCTTTGTCTGTGCCGATCGCCGCGACTACCCCAACTTCTACCCTCCTTTAAAAGGGAGCAAAGTGAAATTTGCCCAGGTAAATACATGTAGCCCGGCTTGCTTGGATCGGAGGCCGAGGCTGTACATGGCTTGCATGGCTCGCTTCTTTCAACTCGTTCTTGTCCTCTCTGCCCTCCCTCGCCCTCCCACACAAACTCTCTTCGTTCATCCCTCACGCCCCACTTTTCCCAACACCCCGTTTCAGATCAGCAGTGACGCCGGCTACCTCGTCTTTTGAGGCGCCTCAAAAGTCGCCGGCTACCTCGTCTGCCCAACCTACGTCCGCTCCCTCCCCGTCGCCCATGGAGAGCGAAAGGACATTCTCGTGGACTTCTCCTCGCTGCCCTCCTTCTCTCTTTTCACGCACCCTCACTCCTCCCAACACCTCTGCACTCTTTTCAACACCTCCTTTTCAGATAAGCAGTGATGCAGGTTATCTCGTCCGCCCATCCTACGTCCGCTCCCTGCTACTTGCACCAGGCGAGCGAAAGGACATTCTCGTGGACTTCTCCTCGCTGCCCTCCGTCTGCCGGGACGTGATTGTAACGAATTCGGCTCCCTCGCCCTTCCCTAACGGCACGCCTCCGGGCAGTCACACGGGGGTGGTGATGCGGATTGTGATCACCCAGACGAAGAAAATCGCCAGCCCAAAAATACCCGAGAAAATATCGGTAATTTTCCCCAGAACACCCTTAGCCCAATAACATTGACCCGCGCTGCAGAGCAGCGATGGAAAACGCTGGCAACAGTTGAAAAGCCTGTTATGAGAAGACTCAAAACAGACTAACTCCCACGTGCTTTGGTAGACTGCCTCTGAGACCCCTTTCACTAACGTCCCTCTGCTTGTTGCATGCCTCCCTCCCCTCTCCCTCACCCCTCCCTCCCCTCTCCCTCACCCCTCCCTCCCCCACCCCTTCCCCCCCGATCAACCTCAACCAAGTAGCACATGACCGTGAAAGATGCTGGTCTCGGTTAGAGAAACACGTGTATAACGGGTATTTTTGAGACGTCTCAAAGATACCCCCCGATCAACCTCAACCAAGTGGCACAGCACCGGTGGAAGATGCTGGTCTCGGTTAAAGCCGCTCAAGCCGATGCCCCGCCTGACCTTCCTTCCCCACCTCTCTCGTTCCCTGCTTCCCCAGAACCCTCCTCCCCCCGATCAACCTCAACGCGCAGCACAGGTGGAAGATGCTTGTCTCGGTAAAAGCCGCGCAAGCCGACGCCCCTCTCCTCTCTCACTCCCTTTCCTCCCCAACTCTCCCGTTCCCTGCTTCCCCAGAACCCTCTTTCCCCCATCAACCTAGACCAGGCAGCGCAGCACCGGTGGAAGATGCTTGTATCGATTGCAGACACTCAAGTTGACACCCCTCCTGACCTTCCTTCCCCCTCGCCCTTTTCCCATTTTGCCCCCCTTCCCTGCTTCCCCAGAACCCCCTTCCCCCAATCAACCTGAACCAGGCAGCGCAGCACCGGTGGAAGATGCTTGTCTCAGTTAAAGACGCGCAAGCTGACGCCCCTCTGCGCATGCTGATCGACAACATGGGCTTTAAGGACGCGGCCACTGAAGCGCCCAGAGTGGTACGTGTGGGGAGGGGAGGAAAGGAAAACATATCTGTAGCATGCAGGTTCCCTCCCTTCCCCTCTCCTAACTCTTCTTCCACCACAACAGGGGACCTACGAAATATGGCACATAGTCAGCCTCTCCCCCAACGCCCACCCCATCCACATCCCCCTCGCACTCCACCGCCCCATCTTCCTCTCCTCTCTTCTTCTGCTTTGCTTCTTCCCCTTCTCCCTATCCTTCCACCACAACAGGGGACATACGAAATATGGCACATAGTCAACCTCTCACCCATCGCCCACCCCATCCACATTCCCCTCGCACTCCACCGCCCCATCTCCCGCCGTCGATTCGACGCAGAGGCCTTTTTGGACGGATTCTGTGCGTTTGATCGGGCGATGGGGTGGGCCAGCTACAGTAGATCTGGTAACCACAGTAAATCTGGTAACCGTGGTAACAGCAGCAACCGCGGTAGCAGTGGGAACGGAGGGAGTAGCAGTGGCAGCGGCAGCAGTGGCAGCAGCAGCAGAAACAGAAGACAAGAGAAAGAGGAGAACACAAAGGAGGAGACAACAAATACAAAGCCGCCTATCAGAAAACCACCAGCGGAAACAGCACCTCGGTCGTGTTTCATAAAGAAGCCCAAGGGAATACCGGGAGGGGAGAGGCTGGGATGGCAAGACACAAGCGTGGTCTGGCCGAGACAGGTGCTCTCGCTCTGGGTCGCATGGGGGAGCACAGCCAGCATGGCAGCAGCAGCAGGAGGAGGAGGAGTGAAGGGAGGGTTTGGGTTTGATGCGACGAGGGGGCCTGGATACGCATGGCATAGTGGAATTGCCGAGCTGATGGACAATGAGGCTATGAGGCCAGTCGTGGTGCGCGCAGGCAAGTGATAGTGGAGGTGGGGAGGCGAGAGGCTGGGGTGGCAGGATACAAGTGTAACTAGGGTTTGACGCGACGAGGGGGCCTGGATACGCATGGCATAGTGGAATTGCAGAGCTGATGGACAACGAAGCCATGCGGCCCATTGTGATCCGTTCTGGGAAGTGATTCGGCTTCTACCTTTCTGAGGTGTTTCGGAAACACGGCCAAGGGGGTGGTTGCAGAGCGGAGCTGATGGATAATGAAGCCATGAGGCCCATCGTGGTGCGTGCAGGTAAGTGATAAGTTGCTCCCATCGTGGAGGCGGAAAGTCTGAGAGGCCCGTTGTGGTCCGTGGCAGGCAAGAGATTCGGCTTTCTACTTACCGTATTGAGGCCATGCCGTGCCTTGAAGTCAGTCAAAGGGAGGTTGCAGGGGTGATGGATGGTGGGGTGTGGCTACACTGCCGGTGGTTGTCTTGGTGAGGCTGATAGTGGTGAGCCCACAAGGGTACCGGTAAGTGAATTTTCTTCTAGCTTTATACCGTAATTACCTTACTGAGGCGTACCGGGAACACGGTCAAAGGGGATTGCAGTGCAGGGGTGATGGATGGTTGGGGCGTGGCTACACTGCCGGTGGTTGTGCTGGTGAGGCTGATAGTGAGCCCACGAGGGTTTCTTGGGGTGTCGGGTGCTGTGCGGCTGTTGGTGGCTGTCGGGTGAGCTCTCAAGGCGCACAGCTGCGCGGGCTTTGTGGTGTTTGTACAGGACAGGACAGGCGTACCGTAATGTGTTTTTTTACCGGTATGATACAGTAGAAGCACCTAACCCAATGTAATGTTATCAATTTCTAAACCCAACCGAACTACCGTACCACATAGGAGTTCCATAGACACTTGTTTGCATAGTTGCGGTATACAATGACTCGATTGACCAATATACATGGTCTTTAAATAGCTTTACACAATATACAGACGTAAGCGCTGGCTGGCAACTTGCGAATAACTTGCAGCTAAGAAATGGCTGACAGTACCTACCGCACTCAGCCATGCTGCTATCCAAGCTCTCCTCTCCTCTTTGACACATCTCATACCGGTACAAGCTGTGACCGCCCTCACCTGCTGCTCTTGAGGCCCGGCACAGCCCGCTACTCCTCAAGCTGCTATCCAAGCTCTGCCACCCCTCTTCGGCACATCTAATGCTGGTACAACCTGTGCCCGCCCTCACCTGCTGCTCTTGAGGCCTCAAAAAGCTGCTATCCAAGCTCTACCACCCCTCTTCGGCACACCTCATACTGGTACAAGCTATCTGCCCCCTCTCGCCTGCTGCTCGCTCCGGACTAGCAAGGCAGTGCCACCTCATCCCACAGCGGCAGCGCTTCGCATTGCCAATGCAGCATGTCACTCCCATCGCAGCACGCCCATCACGCTGCCATTCCCGCATGTCCCACTCGCTCGCCTGTTGCTCACTCCTGAATCAACGCAAAAGTCTTCTTCACAAATTGCAAGACACACCACTCGCTGCCGTTCCTGCATGCCACTCCTCTTGGAATATCTCCGTCACCACCGCCCTCACTCGCCTGCTGCTCACTCCTGAATCAACGGAAAAGCCACCTCGGCCCATTGCGACACGCCCCTCACGCTCTCATCCCAGCACACCCCTCACGCTCTCATCCCAGCACACCCCTCACGCTCTCATCCCAGCACACCCATCACGCTCTCATCCCAGCACACCCCTCACGCTCTCATCCCAGCACACCCCTCACGCTCTCATCCTAGCACACCCCTCACGCTCTCATCCCAGCACACCCCTCACGCTCTCATCCCAGCACACCCCTCACGCTCTCATCCCAGCACACCCCTCACGCTCTCATCCCAGCACACCCCTCACGCTCTTTTATCTTGACAAAAATGCAAGACACACCTCATGCTGACATCCCAACATGCCCCTCACGCTGCTGCCGTTCCAGCACATGCCACTCCTCTTGGAATATCGCAAACACGGCAGCCCTCACTCGCTTCTTGCTCACCGGATGGTTCTCCCCGAAAATCTTCCCTGCTTGAAGGGACATCGAGGGGGGAGAAACAGAGGGAGAAAGAGGGAGGAGATGAGGAGTGAGATGGAGAGAGGAAGAGAAAGGCAGAGGGGGAGAGAGAGAGAATCGTGTGGCCTAGTCAGACAAGCTTTGGAACAGGTAGTGAGGGGAATGTGGAACAGTGGAATCACGTGGCACGAGTTGGTGACGGCAATTAGTGAGGTATTACTGAGTCGACTCGAAATTCACACAAGCTCTGGATCAGGTAGTGAAAAGTATGTGGAGCCAGGTGGCACGAGTTGGCACGAGTTGGTGACAGCAGTAGATCAGCGATTTTCTCACTGAGTCCGGGCTTTTTCTTTGTTCTCAGCCAAGTTTTTTTTTTTAATCTCTTAAAAGAAAAGAAAAGAAAAACACACACACACATAAATAAACTTGGACGAGAGGCTTACCGAGCTGCTGTTGCACGGATATGACAGTCATCTGCAGCAGCACGTTGGTAGGAGGCGGGGGAGAAGCGGGGGAGAGGGAGGGGAGAGTACGTTTGAGGTGCTTCAAAAGTGTTGTTTGGGAAGAGAGGCACGCCTAGCTGCTGTTGCACAGATACGACAGTCGTCTGCAGCAGCAAGCGAATTGGTGGATGGGGGGAAGAGCCACGTGTAGAGAGGGTGTTTTTGAGACGTCTCAGAGGCACACCTAGCTGCTGGCTGTATCTCCTTAATCGCCTCTGCCCGGAGCCTTCCCTTGTTTTGAGTAGACTCATAACAAGGGAAGGCTCACCTGCTCACCAGGCAGAGCAGGTAGACTGGGATCCCAGTCGCGCTCGCCTGCTTTATATTCCCTGTGTGTGTCCACCACCTTCTTTATCTCCCTCTTAATCTCCTCCGCCAGAAGCCATCCCGCCGTTGAGGCGCCTCAGAGGTAGACTCATCCCAGTCTCGCTCACCTTCTCTCTGCTCACCTGCTCTAGATTCCCTGTTTCCACCACCTTCAGTATCTCCTTAATCGCCTCTGCCAGGAGCCTTCCCTTGTTTTGAGTAGACTCAAAACACGATCCCAGTCGCGCTCATCTGCTCTAGATTCCCTGTTTCCACCAGCTTCTGTATCTCCCACTTAATCTCCTCTGCCAGAAGCTGTCCCTTGGTCCTCTGCCTTTGAGGCGCCTCAGAAGTAGATTCATCCCAGTCTCACTCACCTTCTCTCTGCTCACCTGCTCTAGGTTCCCTGTGTCCACCAGCTTCTTTATCTCCCTCTTAATCTCCTCCGCCAGGAGCTCTCCCTTGATCCGCCGCCTTTCAGCCAATTCACTCGCCGTCACCTTTCCTCTGCGCACCCCACTCAGCTTCCCCTGCGCTTCACCTGCATCCTCCTCCTCCTCCTCCCCCTCTTCCTCTCCCGCTTCCCTTTCGAGCTGGCCCCGGAGTGGACTCACAAGTCGCCTTTCTGACAAACCACTCGCCGCCTGCTTGTCAATCGGCTTCATCAGATTCCCCTCCGCATCACCTGCACCCTCCTCCTCTCCCACCTCTCTCTTTTTTGTCCCTCGTTCTAACATCCTTCTCCTTTTCCCCCGCCTCTCGTCCCCCCTTCCATTCCCCCTCTCATCCCCTCCCTCACGTCCTAACTTCCGCTTCTCCTCTCCAGCTCTCTCCGCCTGCTCCTTTTCTTCCATCGCTTTCTTCTGCTTCCAATGCAATTTCTTCTTCCCGAAGTCCGCCTCCCCAGATTCTCCCGCTTGCTTTCTCCTCCCCTCATCCTCTTGCTTCTTTTCTTCCATCGCTTTCCTCTGCTTCCAGTGCAATTTCTTCTTCCCCAAATCCGCTTCCCCGGATTCTCCCGCTTGCTTTCTCCTCCCCTCATCCGCTTTCCTCTTTTCTTCCATCGCTTTCTTGTGCCTCCAATGCAATTTCCTCTTCCCCTCATCCGCCTCCTCAGTTTCTCCCGCTTGCTTTCCCTTCCCCTCATCCGCTTGCCTCTTTTCTTTCATCGCTTTCCTCTGCTTCCAGTGCAATTTCTTCCCCAAATCCGCCTCCCTGGTTTCCCCCTCTTTCTTTCTCTTCTCGTCTGCTTGCTTCTTTTCTTCCATCGCTTTCTTCTGCTTCCAGTGCAATTTCTTCTTCCCCTCATCCGCCTCCCCAGTTTCTCCCGTTTTCCTTCCCTTCTCCTCGTCCGCTTGCTTCCTTTCTTCCATCGCTTTCTTCTGCTTCCAGTGCAATTTCTTCTTCCCCAAATCACCCCCCCCACTTACCCCGCCTCTAGTCCCTCCACATGCCACCGTTTTCCCCGTACCTCGCATCGTCTCCTGCCCCTCCTGCCTCTTTCCCCCATCTCGCGTGCTTGCAATCCCCTCACCCGTCTCAACAGCGCGCCCTAAACGGCCGGACCTGCCAGCCTCCCTTCTCTCCCTTCTCTCCATTCTCTCTCTTCTCCCCTCCCTCTTTTCCCCGGCGCGCGTGCTTTCATTCCCCCGAATCCCCTCTCTTGTGGCTAAAGTTCGCTGTAAACGGCCGGACGTGGCGCGAGCTGTAACTGCGTTAACTCTCGCAGGCTTCGCCTGCCGCATCCTCGTCGCTCGGGGAGGGATTTCTCTGACGTCACCTTCCCCACCGCTCCCGTCGCTTCCGCTTTTGTTTTCGCGAATTTCCTCGCATTCGTCGTTAGTCTCCTCAATTTCGCCGCCATCCTGCATCATCATCACCTCCTGAACCTCCTGAACCTCCTCGTTCCCCCTCTCGCCTGCCCTCCTCCTTCCCCCTCTCCATCCTCCCTTCCCTCTTCCCCTACCTATCACCCCGGCCATCTCTCCCACCTACGTTTTTCCCAGTAGAGAATAAGGCGTTAAGATATTCTCACTAATCCGCTTCCCCCGCCCAGTTTCTACACAACAACCACCATCGAGTCGCCGTTCTGGTGTTTACTCGTCGATTTCTCGAGTCAAACCATCCTCAAGCTCCTGCCAACGAAATATACTCCCTCATCGAGAGAATTACTGTAGAACCATGTTCGATGATTCATTCTTACTCGCGTGGCCTCGAATTACTCGAGTGGCCACCAAATTTGGTGATAATTACTGGAGTGGCCACGCCAGGGCATTTTCGAGGAGTTTTTTTCCCCGGAACATTTCCCTACAAGGATTTGTAACCCCGAAATTCCTCGTTCGCACGAGTCTCATCCCGCGGTAGCGTTTCGTACTATTCCCCACCCGAAAAAACTAAAACCCACTCGGAAGGCATGCCATCCGAGGGAGCCTCAACCCTAAAATTTTAGGGTTGAGGCTCCCGAATGGCATGCCGTAAGCCGTGGGGTTTATTTTTTCACCTTAGGGTAATGCGCCGGGAAAACAAGCCAGCGGGAATCCCCTGGCGTGGCCACTCGAGTAATTATCACCAAATTTGGTGGCCACTCGAGTAATTCGAGGCCACGCGAGCAAGGACGAATCACCGAACAGGGCACTGGAGAAATTCTCTCTCCGTCATCGCAAAACAGGGGGGAGGGGATCGTGTGTTGATCGAGTCTTGTTCGAATCTTCCTCGTCTTGCAGGGGTTGGGAATCATGCGAAACTCTGGCTCGCATGTTGCTTGGGAGTGTTGTTCGGGTGTTGCGTGAAATGTGAAGAGGTGCGCGTGTTTATGGAGGTTTGATGTCAACACGCAGACTCGGGTGGTCGGTTCGGTGGAAGCAATCAGTCAATCGCGCTGTTACATGTACGAAATGGTTGTAACAAACAGTGAGCTTTTAGTAAAGCGTTGAAGTTAAATTTCCTGGTAAACCAGCTAGGTCTTATAATTGGTTGGTAAGGTTACGAAAGTTGATTGCGTGTCACAAACGTACACGTAAATGTTATTTTGATGTATAATAGTTTTTCCTTTGGTATTATGTTTGGCGAGCATTTTGTACCTGGTACGAATGTCTTATAGCTATAATGTAATTATATGTACCGTTCCATTTACTTCATGCAGGTGTAACAATGATGGAGTATGTAGTTGAATAAAAAAATAGGCCAATATTATTTTACAGGATTCACGCGAACCTGCTTATACTGGGATCTAATCCTATCTGGTTACCATGACATATGGCGATCCACATGTCATGGAAACTCTCGACCCTTCCTGCTGATTGGGTTACATTATGGCAGCACAGCCGCTTACCCAGATGCTGCTGTCAGAATGTTATCTTATGCTCTAGCCTGTAGTGGGGTGCTCTATAGCGAGTACAACCCTTCTAGGGTTTCCTATTTGTATCCCCATTCTTGCTAGTGCAATCCTCTTCTTCTCTCTTCTTTCTTCTAAACTTTAACATGCTATCAGAGCAGGTCGATCCCCTTGGATCGATCCTGTGGGTGGGCTCACCACCTTGTTGCTTCCGCTGCAACTGCTACTGCTACTCTCTGTGCCGCACGCTTCGTGGCGTGCGGCAGTTTTTCTTCCCGCCGTGCGCCCCGAGGCGCGCGGCGGTTTTCTGCCCGCCGTGCGCCCCGAGGCGCGCGGCGGTTTTCTGCCCGCCGTGCGCCCCGAGGCGCGCGGCGGTTTCCTGCCCGCCGCGCGCCCCGAGGCGCGCGGCGGGTCGCGCGACCCCTACAGCCCCGTCGCGCCGCCCAGGGGAGCCGCGCGCGGCCCCTGCAGCCCCGTCGCGCCGCCCAGGGGAGCCGCGCGCGGCCCCTGCAGCCCCGTCGCGCCGCCCAGGGGAGCCGCGCGCGGCCCCTGCAGCCCCGTCGCGCCGCCCAGGGGAGCCGCGCGCGGCCCCTGCTGCCCCGTCGCGCGGCCCTGCTGCCCCGTCGCGCTGCCCAGGGGAGCCGTGCGCGGCCCCTGCTGCCCCGCCCCGTCCCCGACCTGCCCCGGCCCCGACCTGCCCCGGCCCAACTCCCGTCGCCCGTCGCGGCGCGACGGGAGGGGAGTCTACCGGGGGCCGCGCGTTGCCCCCCCCCCCCCCTCCCCCCCCCCCCCCCCCCCCTACCTCCCTACCCTGTTTTTAGGGTTTGGGGGGTAGTGGTTGGGGGGTGGCGGTTGGGGGGTGGCGGTTGGGGGGTGGCAGGTGTGTGGCGTCGCCTGCTCCTCCTCCTCCTCCGTCTCCCTGTGCTGCAGCTGCCGCTGAGGGGGGGTGGACGTGTTGGAGCCGGTGGAGTGGTACTAAGGGGGGGTGAAGGGGGAGTGGAGCTAGCGGTGTAGCAGCGGGTGTGTGCCAGGGGGGAGTGGGATAGTTTGGGGAAGCTGAATGGAGGTTGCCGTCGTGTCGCCAGCAGCACCTGTATTCCGGGGACTTCGTCCGGTAGCCCAGTCGTAGCCAGCTGTGCCAGCCGCCCGTGGGTCCGTTGCTCGTCTGCCGCTACTTTAGCCGCGGGGCCTGTTACTCCTGTATTCCGGGGACTTCGTCCGGTAGCCGCTGTGCCAGTCTGCCTCCTGTTGCCCGTGTGTCTGCAGCTTCAGCCGTCGCCCCCTATCTCCTCTCCTCTCACTCTCTCTCCTCCTCCTCACTTGCCCGTTGTGACTACCACTAGCTTTGCTCATAATTGTGAACTTAAACTATTGCTTCTTGAACTTGTGCTCAGAATGTGTGGTGACATTGTGATCCACCCTGAGCTTGTACTCCTTTGCTTCCTCTGCTGATTACACCCCACTTTGGCTATGGGGGTGTGTCAGAATGTTATCTTATGCTCTAGCCTGTAGTGGGGTGCTCTATAGCGAGTACAACCCTTCTAGGGTTTCCTATTTGTATCCCCATTCTTGCTAGTGCAATCCTCTTCTTCTCTCTTCTTTCTTCTAAACTTTAACAGCTGCCACGTCCAAGGTTTGGACGGTGTAGAGGCAGTTTCTCGATTTTGGAGTTGGGAGCCATTCAGCGCGTCTCCGAAGAATAAATTTCGACTTCGTCTACGCTAACGAACAATCTTCACTGTAGAGAACTTCGATCGTAAGGTTCAGACTTCCCGACATGACAGAAGCAAATTTCGTAGGCGTTGCAGATAGAAATTCGGACACGCCCTACAGCTTCAATTCTCAATCCACTTCGTAGCAGAGTCACAGGGGTCGTTGGAAACCCCATCACTTTGTTGTGTCTGTTTCAATCTTTCACGGTTTTGCTCTACGCGTAGGACACTGGTTGTCTCTTCCTTGAGAAACTCCTTGCTCGTCCTCAGCACTTAGGGTGTTTCCGCCTCAGCAAACGCATACCAGTCTCTGATGCGTATAGGTGTAGTTGCTACGGTGAGTTAATGTTTTTTTGTGGTCGATGGTCCTACGGCTGTTGTTTTGTCACCGTCATTCTCGTTTCATTCCGATTGAAGGAGTTTCTCATCTGATCTTATGACCTCGTAACGTTCGATTTCTTGTCAATCTTAACCATGATAACAAACATCTACTTCGATCCGTCGCAGGATCTGCATTTGGCCAGGCAACCAGCTTACCGACATCCATCTCGTCTCGTCGTCACGCAGCAGATTGCATTCCGCCACTTGGTGATTAGATCCTTCGCGCGATAACTGCGACCTTAGCTCCAGACGCTAAGGTAAGATCGTGTTTAGGGGTGTCCTATGTTTATAGTGCGGTTGTTTTTTATATTTAACTAATGACGTTCGGCTACCATTGTATATGTAGTAATATCACAAGTTCTCTTTGCGGCCTTGATCTTAAGCCTAAATATGTGCTCGAATACACTCTCTTGCGCTTGCAGGTCAAATTTCCAACAGCTAAACGAGCTTCCGCATCGTCATCATTAGCCACCACGCAGCAGCTTCTGTTCCGCCCTCGTCTGCAAGCGCGCTTGTCCGCCGGTACCCGACTTTTGCGCAGTAGTATAGGCAGGAGGAGTGCTAGTGGTCTCTGGCTGGTGCACAAGTGTGTGTACACTGTAAATTTATAAGGATTTTTTAATCCACCACCTGTTTCTAATGGCTGACCAGGAAGGGCACTACAGTTGTGACCAGGATGGTTGTAAAGTCACTTTCCGAACCCCACTTGAGAAGGCACATCACCTTGCACATGGGCAGCACAACTATGGCTCAGCAGCGGAGAGTTCATCACGAGCTGCTGCTGGTGGAGGTGGCGATGCGGAGTATGCAGCCAGAATTCGTGAGGCTGGTCAAGCCTTAAAAAACCAGAGTCGAAAGAGGAGAAGGTCAGCAGCTGCACAAGAGGCAGATAGGGCTAGCCGTGTGCTGCCTCAGGCGGATAGCGCTCTACCAAACGTCGATACAACTGGTTACGACTTCTCTCCACGCGCTAACCCAACCGTAGTGGATTTTGATTCTCGGCTCTTCAGATTCTGTAAAACAGCAGCTGGTGGCGTGAGACTTTCACGAGCTGACACCAAGGAGTTGATCGACATCGTCATTGAAGCTCTAGAAAATCCAGTCACCGTGAATTTGAAGTCCTTAGCAGAATTCAGCAGGTATGAAGAGGCGAAGACGGCAGAGGCTGATCTGACTGGTTTTTTGAAGGTGGATTTGAGAAAACCTGGAGATTCAAAACCAATTTACCTGTATTGGAGGCCGACAATGTCGTGCATCCGTGGATTGTACCAAAATCCGGCAAATGCAGACGGTTTTGTTGTCGAGCCTGAAGTTCTACCTGAAAACGCGCGAATTATTTATAAGGGACCTGAAAGTGGTTTGTGGTGGCGCAGTGTACAGTCAAAGCTGGATAAAGGAGAGGTAGTGTCGGCGGTCATTATCTATTCCGACGAAACCACGCTGACGACAGATGATGGTGTCGTCGGTTGGCCCGTGTACGTTTCACTGGCCAACATATCGTCGGCAAACCGGTGGAAATCACATGGCCATCGCCTCTGTGCTCTTCTACCGAAGA